CTCCTTAGACAGCAAAAACACACAACAACAACAACAACAACAACTTTTCCCGGGTCTGATCTTATCTTCTTTTGAGAGGGGACTTTCTGCCCAAGCCCCCCAAGGGACAAATTATTTTAAAGAGACCGGATGCTAGCTAGGTAGGAGAATGCTCCAAGGCAGAAAACTTGCCCTTTTCTGTATTATTATTATTATTATTATTATTAATAATAATAATAATTTATTTATTTGCTACATTTGTATACCACCCCTCTCAGCCCGTAGGCAACTCGAGGCGGTTCACAAGGCAACAATTCAATGCCAATAACATCATAAAACATTAAAAAGCATTATTATTATTATTATTATTATTATTATTATTATTATTATTATCTGTAAGGTCATTTTTCTCTAAGTTTAGGATCTAACCCAGGCATGAGCAAACTTTGGCCTTCTCTCCAGGTGTTTTGGACTCCAACTCCCACAATTCCTAGTCTCAGGACCCTTCCTTTTCCGCTTCAGCTGCTTAACCTATCTATTTGCCTACCTATCGATCTATTACAGATTGGACTGGATGGCCCTTGGACTCCCTTCCCACTCTAGAATCCTCTCTACTTCTCTATTTACCTATCTATCTATTGATGTGTTGGACTGGATAGCCTTCTTTGGGGTCCCCTCAAACTCTAAGATCCTCTCTCTCTCTCTTTCTCCGTCTCTGGAGGTCTTTAAACAGAGGCTGGATGGCCATCTGCTGGAAGAGATCAAATTGTGCCTACCTGGGCTAGACTGGATGCCCTTTGGGGTCCCTTCCAACTTCCAGATACGATGACTGCTTAACTCATTCATTGTGTCCTCTATGGCAGAATGGGGTTGGACTGGGTGGCATTTGGGGTTCCTTCCAGCTTCAGCAATCTATCAATCTATTTCCTTCTCCAGAGGCTGGATGGCCATCTGTCAGGAGAGCTTGGATTGTGGCAGAAGGTGGCGCCCAGAGGCTTGGACCGGCTCATTGCACCCATATATGGGGCCTTTCCTTCTTTTCCCTGATCTTTCACGTATTTTATTTCGACATTATTATTTGCTTGTTTGTATTTTATTTTGTTGTACTGTAATTCTGGGCTTGGCCTCATGTTAGCCGTCCTGAGTCCCCTTTGAGGAGATGGTGACGGTTTATAAATAATAATAATAATAATAATAGTTATTATTATTATTAGCTGAGGGAGGGCTATGCAGCTACTAAATTTCAAAATAAAAATAAATAGCAATGAAATTACATTAATTGAGGTACCCCTCGGTTGCTTTCATGTGGTATTATTTCTAGCACCCACTTTTTGCTTGACAGTCAAGCAGGGCTGAGTGACTCCCCAATATGTGGGCGTCCTGCAATGCTCCCGTGGGATTCTTTCCCGGGTGTAATCCTCAGAGCTCGAGAGGCCTGTCTGTTCTTAACACATGCCTGCACTTTAGAGAGATTAGGAACCAGCTGTTTTTCCCTGTAAGAGCATGTCTAGCTTCAGAGAGCTTCTGTGCAACCATTTCAAAGCTCCCTGCTTGGGCGGTGATGGCATGATCGTCAGCATAGAAGAAACACTCTGTCCCTTCTCACAGCAGCTTGACATCTGTGTAAATGCTAAACACTGATGGAGTCAGCATGCTCCCCTGTGGCAGGCACACAGAAGGCAGCACTCTGGGACCACAAGATGCAGAGCCAGCCTTCAGAAATGGGACCACAAAGTGGAGTCCCCGACATGCGAGTGCGGAGAACAGCAAACCGCAGACCACCGACTACAATGCAGCCACACACACAATGGAGGACCTTCTCACAGCCACACCAGAGGCACTCCAAAGGGTCCAAGGACATCTAACACCATGCCAAGCCCTTAAACTTTGTTTGTGTTTTGAAATACATTACAACTGCACCCTCGGGTTGTTTCTGACACAATAAATAAAATTATGTAGGGCTTTAAAGGTCAAAGGCAGCAGCTGGAATCGGGCTCGGAAACACATTGGCAGCCCGTGGAGGTGCTGTATTTGGCCCAGCACCTGCCTGTCAATCCCCTGGATGCAGATTTAATAATAATAATAAAAAAACTTTATTTATATACCGCTCTATCTCCCCGGGGGGACTCAGGGCAGTTTCCAAACACAACATCAAAACATACAGAGTCACAAATTGAACAAAAAATTACAGTAACAGCCACATAAGCACGGAATTACACAACAACACATAGTATTAAAAGGAAAAATCCGGCCTGCTCTTCATGTCTACTTGTTAGGACATGGAAAAGGAATGGGTCAGGACAATTAAAAGGCTGGGTCAAGACTGATACAGACTGAAATAAGTTGGGACCGGCATTTGGGTACAGCACTGTAGGAGGTAAGTGACAAAAGCCAAGACAGGCTATTTCCAGGGGTCTGTCAGGAGAATGACCAGGGTATTTTTGAGGGGGCAAGGTCGTGTCTGGGCTGAGTTAGCACTGGTCACTCTCGAAGATTTGTTGAAACCACCAAGTTTTTAAACTCTTACGAAAGGAGGGGGATGGATGGGGCCTGTCTAATTTCACTGGGGAGGGTGTTCCAGAGATGGGGGGCCACCACCGAGAAGGCCCTCTCTCTCAACCTCACCAGTATTTTAGTTTTTTATCTTCAACATGCAGCCTGCTCATTCTTATTTTATTGTGTATGGTTTTGCTTTATCGTGGGTTTTTTTTTGTACTCATATGTTGTATGTATTTTACTGTGTTGTTATTGTGCTTTGGTTTAATTTTATTGCCATATGCTGTTGGGCTTGGCATCATGTAAGCCGCGATAGTGGCGGGGTATTAAATAACATTTGTTATTATTATTAACCTTGTTTATGACAGAGGTGGGACCGAGAGGAGGCCCTCCCCGGAGGATGTTAAGAGTTTGCGCTGGTTCACAGAAGGAGATGCGATCGCAGAGATAAGCGGGGCCTGAGTCGTTTAGGGCAGAAGTCCTCAAACTTTTTAAACAGAGGGCCAGGTGACAGTCCCTCAAACTGTTGGAGGGCTGGATTATAATTTGAAAAAAATAATGAATAAATTCATGTAGTGCAAAAAACATTTAAAAACAATACAGTAATTAAAATGAAGAACAATTTTAACAAATATAAACGTATTAGTATTTCAGTGGGAAGTGTGGGCCTGCTTTTGGCTGATGAGATAAGATTGTTGTTAATGTTGTTGTTGTTGTGTGCTTTCAAGTCACTTCAGACTTACATTGACCCTGAGTGAGGGCCGGGTAAGTGACCATGGAGGGCCGTATCTGGCCCTCGGGCCTTAGTTTGAGGACCCCTGGTTTAGGGATTTATAGGTCATGACCTGCACCTTGAATTTGGCTCGGCAGCTTATGAAGCTGTTTTAATAGGGGCGTTGTATGCTCCCAATAGTTTTCTCCAGAAAGGAGCCTGGCTGCCGCCTGTTGGACCAGTTGAAACCTCTGGGCCGTCTTCAAGGGCGGCCCCACGTACAGCGCATTGCAGTAGTCCAGCCTGGACGTGTCCAAGTCAGGCCTCACAAGTGGGAGGTGTGTCAAGGCCCTCCTTCCTTAGATCTCTGACCCAGCGGGAGTTTCCAGGCACTCTTGAGGGTCAGCCCCACGTACAGCCCCTGACAGTAGTCTAGAGGGGAGGGAACCAAGGCGAGGCCTAACCCGGGCCCGAGTCCCCACTGGGGAGATGGTGGCGGGTTATAAATAAAGTTTATTATTATTATTATTTATAATGAAGCTGTTTGAATAGGGGTGTTGCATGCTCCCTGTAGTTTGCACCAGTAAGGAGCCTGGCTGCTGCTCGCTGTACCAGTTGAAACCTCTAGGCCGTCTTCAAGGGCGGCCCCACGTAGAGTGCATTGCAGTAGTCCAGCCTGGATGTGGCCAAGCCAGCCTTCACGAGTGGGAGGTGTGCCAAGGCCCTCCTTCCCTAGATCTCTGGCCCAGTGGGCGCTCTTGAGGGTCAGCCCCACGTAGAGCCCCTGACAGTAGTCTAGAGGGGAGGGAACCCAGGCGAGGCCTAACCCGGGCCCGAGTCCCCACTGGGGAGATGGTGGCAGGGTATAAATAAAGTTTATTATTATTACTATTAGTATTACTATTTATTATAATGGAGCTGTTTGGGTAGGGGTGTTGTAACCTCCCTGTAGTTTGCCCCAGTAAGGAGCCTGGCTGCTGCCCGTTGGACCAGTTGGAGCTTCCGGGCCGTCTTCAAGGGCGGCCCCACGTAGAGTGCATTGCAGTAGTCCAGCCTGGATGTAACCCAGTCAGCCTTCCCTCGATCTCTGGCCCAGCGAGCACTTGAGGGTCAGCCCCACGTAGAGCCCCAGACAGTAGTCTAGATGGGAAGGAATCAAGGCGAGGCCTCACCGGGGCCTCCAGGCGCCCTCTCCCCGCCGCCCCGAAGGAAGCCCCTTCCCGAAGAAGACGAAGAAGAAGGCAGAAGAGGAGGGAGGCCTTACCGGGAGGGCGGCCTGGGCGGTGGCGGCGGCGGCGTCGCCAGCAGCAGCATGGGGGGCTCTTCCTCCTCCTCCTCGCCCTCCTCCTTCCGGCTTCCCCTCGGCGAGGCCTCCTCTTCCGCCTCCACCTCCTCCTCAGGAGGCACTACTTCCGAGGCGCCCCGCTCCCCCGCCCTGCCCTACTTCCTGAACAGCAAACACTTCCGGCGCTCGGCACTCCGACACTTCCGGCAATGCCCGCTGGGACATGAAGTCCTTATTCTAATCCCTCTCTAGGAGTCGCAGCCTTCCCCGCACTACGACTCCCGGCATCCTTTGAGACCACAGCCTTGGTTAAAAAGGGAGCCAATCAGGCTCGGCGACGTCACGGAGGGGAGCCAATCGGGCTCGGCGACGTCACAGAAGAGAACCAATCAGCGCTGGCTTTGAAAATATTTCGCTCCTCAAGTGTCGGTTGGAGAAAGTCGTTGAAGAGGGAGAAGGGGGCGTGGCTTGCTCGAGGGAAGTCGGGAGGGGATTGGCCCGCCGCGTGGCCCCGCCCCTTCGGGAGCCCCGAGCCGTCCAATCGGGGGCGAGGAGAGGCGCGCGTGCGCAGGAGGGAGCCCGCGTTCTCCTCAGGGCCTCCGGCGTCATGTCGCAGAAGCAGATCTACTATTCCGACAAGTACGACGACGAGGAGTACGAGTACCGGTAAGGGAGGGGGCGAGGGGCACCGAGGGAGGGGGAGCCAGGCGGAAGGAGGGGGCGGGCCCCGTTGCCCCGGCAACGCCTCAGGCAGGCCAACCGGAAGTCTAGGCCTTCCTCGGGTTGCATTTCCGGTCTGAGATTTCCGGTCTGCCTTGCTGTGTTCCAGAAGCACTCTCTCCTGACTCGATGCTGCCCAAGTGTGAATGTTGCCACTGGCCACCCCGATTAACACTAAATAGCCTTGCAGCTTCAAAGCCTGGCTGGTTGCTGCCTGGGGGATTCTTTGTTGAACTAAATCTGCCTCCCAGTACTTAAAAAAACTCTAAAATCAGGGCAGGAAATAAAGAGCAACACTCAGAAAAACAGGGAATTCCAGACAGGAAACAATCAGGGCCAGTTAACACCTCCCAACAAAGGACCCCCCCCCCAGGCAGCAATCAGCCAGCCCTTGAAGCTGCAAGGCCATTCAGTGCTCATCAAGGTGGCCAATGGCAACATTCACACTTGTCTCCAACAGACAAGAGTCCTTTCTCCCACCCTGGACATCGTTCCACAGGGATATATGCAAACCCCATTTCCCTAGTTTCCAACTAACCAACAAGGGATTCCCCCAAGCAGTAAGAAGCCAGACCTTGAAGCTATTTAGCCATTAAAAGCTAATCAAGGTGGCCAACTGCTACATTCATGCCTACCTCCAACAGACAAGAGTCCCTTTTTCCCCACAGGGATATAGACCCCACTTGTCTAGTTTCCAACAGACCCCTCAACCTCTGAGGATGCTTGCCATAGATGTGGGCAAAATGTCAGGAGAGAATGCTGCTGGAACATGGCCAGGCAGCCCGGAAAACTCACAGCAAGCCAAGGAAGGCAGCCTTTAGGACCCAGTCAGGGGCTGCTAAGTGTTTATTTCCGTATTTTTAATAATAATAATAATAATAATAATAATAATTGTATACCGTTGTTTATTTTTAATTCTATTTTAAATTCTATATATAAACTATAATAAAAATTTATTTATTTTTAATAGTCCCAAGTTTAATTCTATTTTAGAGTTTTATATGCCTCAGGTTGTCATTTCAAGTCTTTCTTTTCAAAGACTATTTATATAGGTTGCTGTGAGTTTCTGGGCTGTATGGCCATGTTCTCTCCTGACAGCCATGAAAGCCTTCGACAACACACAGATTATATGTAAATAACAATACGTGTGGCTTGAGAACATTTGAACTGCTGAGGCTCAATGCGATAGGATGCTTGGGAAGGAGCTGTAGTTTTATAAGGTCTTTAGAATATGTTTTGGTCAACATTGTTTTCACCTCTGAACTGCCTGAGATGTGTAGGTCTAGGGATCCATTGTTGGAAGGGGTCACCTGGTCTGCCCCTTGCTGCTGCACAATCCGATCCCTCCCGACAGATGGCCACCTGGCCTCTGCTTCAGAACCTCTCAACCGAGGCTCAAAGCGGCAAGCGCCCTTGTGACCCGTGCCTCTCTTCCCCTTTTGGCCTCAGGCACGTGATGCTGCCCAAGGACATTGCGAAGCTGGTGCCCAAGACCCACCTGATGTCGGAGTCGGAGTGGCGGAACCTGGGGGTCCAGCAGAGCCAGGGGTGGGTCCACTACATGATCCACGAACCAGGTGCGTTGGGGGAGGAAGCGGGTCTCTGGCTCTCACCAACTGCCCCTCGTGAGCAGCCGGAGCTTGGGTTCATATAGAATATAGGTAAACAAGTGTTACATATATGGACTACTGCAATGCGCTCTACGTGGGGCTGCCCTTGAAGACGGCTCGGAAACTCCAATTGGTTCAGCGGGCAGCAGCCAGGATGCTAACCGGGGCTCATTATCAAGAGAGGTCTACCCCTCTGTTTAAGGAGCTCCACTGGCTGCCATCTATTTTCCGAGCCCAATTCAAGGTGCAGGTGCTCACCTACAAAGCCCTAAACGGTTTGGGACCACCCTACCTGCGTGACCGCATCACCATTTACGAACCCGCACGCTCGCTCCGGTCATCTGGAGAGGCCTTGCTCGTGATCCCACCCACGTCGCAAGCGCGCTTGGTGGGGACACGGGACAGGGCCTTTTCTGTGGCGGCCCCCCGACTTTGGAACGCCCTTCCAAAAGATCTCAGACAGGCCCCTACTCTAGCCGTTTTCAGAAGGAATTTAAAAAGTTGGCTGTTCCGCTGTGCCTTCTCAGATTAGGAATCCCCACCCCAAGTCCTAGTAGCACTTTAGCTTAACAAACCGTTGCTGCACACCGCACTTTTAATCCTACGTGCCTCCTGTCACTTCAGCACTTTTAACCCTTGTACCCAGTGCGCCGGCCGAACCAGTTTTTAATAATGTCTTTTTAATAATGTCTTGATGTATTGCCATTGTCGTTATCTTGCTTATTGTTGATTTGCTTTGCTATTGTGTTGTTATGTTTTATTGTATTGTGTTTTGAGGCTTCGGCCTGTGTAAGCCACATCGAGTCCTTCGGGAGATGCTAGCGGGGTACAAATAAAGTTAATAATAATAATAATAATAATAATAATAATAATATAGGGTTCGGTCCTGGGCCTAGAGTTGGAAGAGATCTCATGGCCACCCAGTTCAACCCCATTCTGCCAAGAAGCAGGAAAACTGCATTCAAAGCACCCCCAACAGATGGCCATCCAGCCTCTGTTTAAAAGCTTGCAAAGAAGGAGCCTCCACCACACTCCGGGGCAGAGAGTTCCACTGCTGAACGGCTCTCACAATCAGGAAGTTCTTCCTCGTGTTTGTTTATTTACTTACTTACGGCATTTATATGCCGCCCTTCTCACCCCGAAGGGGACTCAGAGCGGCTTACAATATATATTTTCATACAATATATTATATTATTAGCATAGTACAATATCACTATATATTATTATATTTCACTATACCATTATATTGTAATATTATTAGTAATATTACATGTAATGTAAATATATAATTATAATTATAATATTGAATTATTATTACTATGTTCAGATAGAATCTCTTTTCTTGTAGTTAAGATCATCTGGGGAGGCCCTGCTCTCGGTCACAAGTACAAGAGACAGGGCCTTCTCAGTGGTGGCCCCTCGGCTGTAGAACGCCCTTCCTACAGAAAATTAGATCGGCCCCCTCCCTATTAGCATTTTGGAGGAAAGTGAAGACCTGGTTGTTTGAGCAAGCATTTGAATAGGTAGTGTATTGAATATAGGAATCTGGAACAATGGATTATGAGACTGGACCATGAGATGATAATGAGATGTTATAGTTATGTTTAATTGATTGTTTATTATGTCATTGTTTTTAACTGTCTTTTAACGCTTTTTATGATGCTGAGCATTGAATTTTGCTATTGTTGACCGCTTTGAGTCGCCCAAGGGCTGAGAAAAGTGGGATATAAATGAAGTAAGTAAGTAAATAGTTTGAAGCCATTGTGCCTCATCGTAGTCTCCAGGGCAGCAGAAATCAAGCTTGCTCCCTCCTCCTCCCTGTGGCTTCCTCTCACATATTTATACATGGCTCTCATCATATCTCCTCTCAGCCTTCTCTTCTTCAGGCTAAACATGCCCAGTTCCCTAAGCCGCTCCTCATAGGGCTTGTTCTCCAGACCCTTGATCATTTGAGTCGCCCTCCTCTGGACACATTCCAGCTTACAGTCAATATTTCTCTTGAATTGTGGTGCCCAGAATCGAACACAATATTCCAGGTAAAGTGGTCTAACCAAAGCGGAATAGAGGGGTAGCATTACTTCCCTGGACCTAGACACTATGCTCCTCTTGATGCAGGCCAAAATCCCATTGGGATGCCCAGCTCTTGAAGCCGCTCCTCATAGGGCTTGTTCTCCAGACCCTTGATCATTTGTCGCCCTCCTCTGGACACATAATCAGGGTAATCAGTCGTGGAAGTCTGTGCTCTCCTTGCTGCCCTGCGGCTACGGTGTTCTTGCCAAGGCTGGCTGAATAATCTCTCTCGCTTGCTCTCTCTCCCCGCAAGAGCCCCACATCCTGCTCTTCCGGAGGCCTCTGCCCAAGAAGCCTGAGAAGTGATGCGGGCGGCCCCTTCCCCGCCATCCGGAGACCAGCACCTTTCCAGCCACCGCCGCATTCTTGTTTTCTGCCAAGAGTTTGAAAGACAGTTTTCAAATGCCAAGAAGCACCGCCCCAGGGACGCCTGGCCCGGAACAAAGCCCTCCTTCGCCGCCGAGCGGTGGCCTGGCCGGACGGACGGGAGGACGGGGTGACGCTCCACCAGCCTCGCCGTGGGAGGCCCCGGCCTTCTCCCCACAGGAGGGCGCTGGCAAAGCTTTGGCCAACCCGGAAGCAAGTGCCACGTTTCTCTCTCTTCGTTAAAGTCTTTGTAAATGTGCATTTCTTCCTTTTCTCTGAACTTTCAAGGGTTTTTTTGGAATTACTGTTTTGAAGGCTCTGTCAATAAAGTTGTGAATAAAGGTACACACACACAGCTCTGCGGGGTTTCCTTTCCTGTCTGTGCCCTTGTTTAGGAGATGTCACCCCACATTGGAAAAATGTGGCTTCTTGTGGAAAGGGATGGATGGATGGATGGATGGATGGATGGATGGATGGAAGGAAGGAAGGAAGGAAGGAAGGAAGGAAGGAAGGAAGGAAGGAAGGAAGGAAGGTTGACATAAGATGGAATCAGCTCAGGAGGCAGCCTCCTGAGGGGAACTCCCGGCTGCCATTTTATTTATTTACGACATTTCTATGCCGCCCTTCTCACCCCAAAGGGGACTCAGAGCGGCTTACAAGATAGAGAGACATACAATATATTACATTGTTAGCATAGTTCAACAGCAGTATTAAATATTACTATATTGTACTATACCATTATATTGGAATATTATTAGTAATATTACATGTAATATAAAATATATAATTAGAATATCATATTATATTACATATTTTAAATATATGTATATACATTACATAATAATTTAGGGTAATAGTAATATTTATTTATTTACGACATTTCTATGCCGCCCTTCTCACCCGGAAGGGGACTCAGAGCGGCTTACAAGACATATATACATACAATATATTATATTATTAGCATAGTACAATATCAGTATTATATATTACTATATTGCACTACACCATTATAATGTAATATTATTAGTAATATTACTTGTAATATAAAATATAAAATTATAATATCATATTATTATATTGTATTGCATTATAATATATGTATATACAATATATTATTAGCATAGTACAATATCAGTATTACATATTACTATATTGCACTACACCATTATATATAGTAATATTGGGTTGTTGTAGGTTTTTTCGGGCTGTATGGCCATGGTCTAGAGGCATTCTCTCCTGACGTTTCGCCTGCACTTTGGCAAGCATCCTCAGAGGTAGTGAGGTCTGTTGGAACTAGGCAAAAGGGTTTATATATCTGTGGAATAGATGCAGGCGAAACGTCAGGAGATAATGCCTCTAGAACTGCAGACTACTTCAATCAGAGAAGTCAGCCATAGCAGAGCACCTGATGAACCAACCTTCACCCCTAGCTCCAGCAGACAAGAGTCCTTTGTCCCACCCTGGTCATTCCACGGATATATAAACCCTTTTCCCTACTTCCGACAGAACAACCTCTGAGGATGCTTGCCATAGATGCAGGCGAAACGTCAGGAGAGAATGCCTCTGGGACATGGCCATATAGCTCAAAACTACAACAACCCAGTGATTCCTACATTGCACTATACCATTATACTGTAATATTATTAGTACTATTACATGTAATATAAACTATATAGTTATAATATTGTATTATTATTATTATATTGTATTACATTATAAGATTATACATATTATATGTATATACAATATATTATATTATTAGTAAAGACATTTTTGCCTCACTCCTGCCATTTTACCTCCTGAGGAATACTCCCACCCACAATTCTTGCCTCCTAATTTCCTTCAGGGAGGAAGGCAACCCACATTGCCATTTTGGTATTTATTATTATTATAAAAAGCAACAACGTCTTGACCAACATCAAAGCCCTCGTGTCACTTTAGGACCTCTTGCTGGGCCGGCTCCATAAATAGAAACAGCATTATTTACAGCAGGCACGGGCCGCCTTCGGCCCTCCGTCCAGGAGTTTTGGACTTCAACTCCCACAATTCCCAGCAGCCGTACCAGCTGCTAGGAATTGTGAGAGCCAAAGTCCAAAATGCCTGGACAGAGGGCTGAAGGCGGCCCGTGCTTGATTAATAGAATTACTCGTGTGAAAACAGTCTCCGATGCAGCGACAACAGGCAAGGATTTGCAGGGACTCTCCTTCCTCACTGCGTGGCCACCGCCTTCTGGCCCCGCTCCGCAGACATGTGCTCCAGCCGCTCCGTGTAGAAGCCATTGAAGTCCAACCTGGAGGAGGAGGAGGAGGGGGAAGGATTATGGGAGCGGACCCTGAGGGGGAAGGAAGAGGCGGGACCGAAACCTTGAGTCAACCTCATCCTGCACAGGTCAGTAGTCCTCACAAGGAGATAAGGTTATCTGGCAAAGGCTGGGGGATCCTGATCCGCGGAAACGGAGCGCCCTCCAGATGCAGACACACGAGGCCCTCCCTCCTCACCTGTAGATGATGTTGATCATGCTGTGCTCGCAGTCGTTGGTGCTGTAGAGGCTCAGCTTGTCCAGGAGGTCCAGGAGGTGGGCAGAGAAGTTGCTGTCAAACTTGTTGATGGTGGCCTCGAAGCCCGCCGTCACGCGCAGGGAGTCCGCCAGCAGCTGAGAGAAGGGAGACCCGTTTGAGTCCAACGGAGCCACGGAAAGGGGTTCTGCCTCCACATGTGGAGGAAGGAGGAGTTCCTGGCAGAAGTCAACTAGGAGTCCAATGGAGCCTCCTTCCTTCTGCCGAGGCTTTCAAGCAGAGACAGGATGGGCCATCTGTGGGGAGTGCTTGAATGGCCACTCCAGGAATCTGTGGTTCTGGGACTGTAGGCGGGGCTTGGCTTCCCCAGCCGCCACGCGACCCCTCTGGTCGTCCCCCCCCCCACTGCCGCCCACAGGGTCCCTTTTCCCTCCTCCCCGCGAGGGAAGCACCTTCCTGGCCTTCTGCTTCTGGGAGGGGGCCACCTGCGCCTCCTCCTGCTGCTGGCGCTCTTCCTCCTCTTCCTCCTCCTCGTCCTGCATCCGCTCAGTGCCCAGCTTCATGCTGTGGGAGAACCTCTGGGCAGGGACAAGAAGGGGAGGGGAGGGGAGGGGAAAGAACTCTGGAACTCTCTGCCCAAGGACATCAGACAAGCCCCAACGCTGGCTGTCTTTAGGAAGAGCCTGAAGACCTGGCTGTCCCAGCGTGCCTTCCCTGAATAGGAAACTCCCGGCATCAAGTCCCAAATGCACTTTGTTAGAGATTCAGGGTTATCTGCACACTGCACCCACCTCCAAATGCCTCTACATATCACCTGCCAAGTCCAGCACTTTTACATTTCTGTCTATTACACTTGGCCCGGCCCTTGGTTTTTAAATGCGTCACGGTGTCATTGCTTTTTATTGTTCTCATGCTTTGCTTGATGTTTGTATTTGCTTATGACTTTATTGTGTATGTGTATGTTACTGTTGTTGGCGGCCTTGGCCTTTGGAAGCCGCATCAAGTCCTCCGGGAGATTTTGTGGGGTATAAATAAAGATAATAATAATAATAATAATAATAATAATAATAAAGAAAGAGGAGTGTTGGATTATGTTTACAACCAAGCATGCATTTAGAGAGACCCCTTTTCTCTCGTCACCATACTCTGATGCTGATGGTGTAGTACAACACAGTCATATACAATACAGATATTGTACTAGGCTAATAATATAATATATTGTATGTCTATATATCTCTCTTAAGCCGCTTCCAGGGTTCATGTTCCCAAAGGTCTCAGGAAATTATGTTAATAATATAACATCGATACGAAACATCACGAGACAAGTATAGGACAATTAAAAACAATTATAATATTTATAATATTATAATGGAATACAATATAATACTACTATTACTAATACAATGTTATAATTATATATTTTATATTACATGTGATATTACTAATAATATTACAATATAATGGCGTAGTACAATATAGTAATATATAATACTGATATTATACTAAGCTAATAATATAATATATTGTATGTATATATATCTTGTAAGCTGCTTCCAGGGTTCATGTTCCCAAAGGTCTCAGGAAATTATGTTAATAATATAATATAATATTTATTATTATTATTATTATTAACTTTATTTATACCCCACAAAATCTCCCGAAGGACTCGATGCGGCTTGCAATGGCCAAGGCAGCAACAAACAACAACATACAAATATAACAGTAAAACTCATAAGCAAATAATAAAACATCAAGCAAAGTCAATAAAACACGAAAAACAATGACACATGATGCATTTAAAACCTAAAAGGCCGGGCCAAATGTAATGGACAAAATTTAAAAGTGCTGAACTTGACAGGAGGAATGTAGAAGTGTTTTGGAGGTAGGTGCAATGTGCAGACAATCCTAATCTCTAACCAAGTGCGTTTGGGACATGATGCCAGGAGTTTCCTAATCTGGAAAGGCACACATAATATATATTGCATATAAATGTAATATTTATAATATTATCATGGAATACAATATAATACTACTACTATTAATAATACAATATTATAATTATATATTTTATATTACAACGTGATGGTGTAGTACAATATAGTAATACATAATACTGATATTGTACCATGCTAATAATATAATATATTGTATGTATATGTAGTAAACCGCTCTGAGTCCCCTTCGGGGTGAATCTGTTAAGAGGGATCCAATTGTGCCTTCTTCTTATGGCAGGGTGGGGGGGGGGTGTGGGGGGAGGGTCCAGGAGAGACCCCGCCCCCTCCCCTCCCCCCTCCCCCCCTCCCTACCTGCATGCAGTTGGTGAACATGACGCAGACGGACATCATCTTGGAGAAGATCTTCAGCAGCTCCGGGTTGGTGAGCATGCAGTCCTTCAGGCAGTTGTCCAGGAAGCTGGTGTGGTGCGTCAGGACGTCGTCAATGTTGGAGGCCTGTGCGGGAGGAAGCCGTTCCCCATGTGGGTCAGGGGGAGGACTGCGGGGCCGGGACCCATATGACGTGGGGATGGAAGGAACGGCACGAGAGGGGCCCACACAACCTGAAGGCGCCATCCCCAGAACGAGAGGGAGAGTGGGTCATCCCCGTCCCCCCGTTGCCGTGGCGACCGCCCCCCAAACGCACCGACTTGAGGCTCTTCTCCAGGACGTGCCACGTGGGCTCCATGACCTCAAACATCATGTAGTACTGGATGTTCTGCACAAAGTTGAGCATCCGCTGGCGGAGGGTGAAGGCGCCCGCAAACCTGGACCACAAAAAAAGGGGGGGGTTGAGGGGAGGGCCACCCCCAGGGTCCTCAGGGCAGAAGCCCCTCCCTCCCTCCCTCCCTCTTGGTCCTTCTTTAGGGGGGATGGGGGGGACGGGGTCTCACCACTTGGAGGAATGGAGGGAGTAGCGCTTGGCGGCCTTGCTGCTGATCCAGACGTTGCAGAGCTGCCGCTCCACGTGTTTGCAGTAGAACATGTGCCGGAAGAGCATCTGGTAGCGCGTCAGGGCCTTCCTGAACGGCAGCAAGGGGAAAGAGGCATTACCACTAGTATGAAACGGTTTTGAACCAGGAGATGTCAATTATCTCTCTTTTATTAATTTTGTCATGATTTTATATTATACTAGCCATCTCCTGCCACGTGTTGCTGTGGCCCACTCTGGTGGTAAGGGGGGTTCTGTGTGGGAGGTTTGGCCCAATTCCATCATTGGTGGGTTTCAGAATGCTCTGTGATTGTAGGTGAACTATAAATCCCAGCAACTACAACTCCCAAATGGCATTCCATTTTCCACAAACTCCACCAGTGTTCACATTTGAGCCTATTGAGTCTTCGTGCGAAGTTTGGTCCAGATCCATCATTGTTTGAGTCCACAGTGATCTCTGGATGTAGGTGAACTACAACTCCAAAACCAAAGGACACTGCCCACCAAACCCTTCCAGTATTTTCTGTTGGTCGTGGGAGTTTTATGTGCCACGTTTGGTTCAATTCCATCGTTGGTGGAGTTCAGAATGCTCTGTGATTGTAGGTGAACTATAAATCCCATCAACCACAACTCCCAAATGACAAAATCAATTTTTATTGAAGGACGTACATTGGGTTGTTAGGTGTCTTGTGTCCAAATTCGGTGCCAATTCATCCAGTGGTTTTTGAGTTCTGTTAATCCCACAAACAAACATGACATTTTTATTTATATAGATGTTAATGTTTTGAAATGTTTTTATGGTGTTGTGGGCATTGAATTGCTGCCGCTGTAAACTGTCCTGAGTCGCCTCCGGGCTGAGAAGGATGGTATACAAATATAGTAAACAAACAAACAAACAAATAATGATAATAAGTCAAGAAAATATGTGAGGGATCTCTGTGTGAGAAAAGAAGTTAGGAACTTCTGTTATTGAAGTAGTTAGGAATTCCCGTTTAAGAAAAGGAGAGTTGGGAATCTGTGCCTAAAAGAAGAAGTTAAGAAACACTGTCTGAGGGAGACAGTGAGGAATCTCCGTTAGAGAGTTAGTTAAGAATGGCTGCTTGTGAAGTGAGTTAGGAAGTACTGTTTGTGAAGAGAGTTAGGAATCTGTGTGTGGAAAGAAGAAGTTAGGGACAGGGTCTGTGAGAAATAAGCAATTAAGAAGATGTGTTAGGAATTTCTAATAGAGAAAGGAGTTAGATACATAGAGCTCAAGTTTTAAAGGAAAATAGAGAAGGCCAGAGTTGCCTAAGTCAGAAAAGAGGACAGTTAGGAGCGTATAAAGAAAAGTAACATATTTGTTGGTGTGAAAGATTGAAAGTTTAAAAGGAAAAGCAACCAAATGTACCCCAAGTGTTGGAACTTAAAGTTATAAATAAACATTGTTATTTTTTTACAAATGAGAGCCTCAAGCCTGTGATTCAAAGCCAAGAGGTTTTTGTTTTACAACACACAGAGAGTCCCAGATATTAAAGTGTTGACAGAGGACCGCTCATATGTACGTGCTTCTTTACAAACTTATTATCTTGGGGAGATAGTGGCAGGGTATAAGTAAAGTTGTTGTTATTATTACTACTACTACTACTACTACTACTATTATTGCATTATACTGTTTTACTGTATTGCTGGGCTTGGCCTCGTGTAAGCTGCCCTGAGTCCCCTTGGGGAGATGGTGGCCGGGTATAAATAAAGAGTATTACTATTATTATTATTATTATTGTGCTACATTGTTTTACAGTATTGCTGGGCTTGGCCTCATGTAAGCTGCCCTGAGTCCCCCTGGTTAGATGGTAGTGGGGTATAAATAAAATTATTATTATTACTATTATTATTATTATTATTATTATTATTGTGTTGTATTGTTTTACTGTATTGCTGGGCTTGGCCTCATGTAAGCTGCCCTGAGTCCCCTTGGGGAGATGGTGGCAGGGTATAAATAAAATTATTATCATTATATTATTATTATTATTATTATTATTATTATTATTATTATTATTGAGCTGGGCCTCGGATTTTGTGGCCCAATTGTCCTGGTCACCCTCAGAAATGCACCTGTAGTTGCCTCTCCTCTTTACAGTCTCTAATTTGGAAGAGAGAGAGGGTGGGGATCCACTGAGCAGAATGTCCAGCAAAGACTCTTCCGGAAGCCAACCGCCCCCGTCTCCCAGGGCCAGGCCTACCTGTTAATGATCAGGGAGAGTGGCCACTTGACCACGTAGTCAAAGGAGAAGGCCTCCAGGCCGCTGAGAGAGAGCTCCGTGGGGTCGGCGTTGAGGATGGCCTTCTCCTGCTTGGTCTCGATGGCCAGGACCCGCAGGAGCTGCGTGATGAGGTCGTGGGGCATCAGGTCGATCTGGGGAGAGAGAGAGAGAGAGAGAGAAGGCGGGGAAGGAGGAGGAAGGGGGGGTCTGAGCACCGCAAGGACCCTCCAGGCTTGGAGCAGACACAGTCCGGGCACGACGGGGCTCTTCCTCAGCTGACTCATCCCGCCTGGCTTCAGCTAAGATTGAATGTTGTTGTGTTTTATTGCGTTGTTGTGTGTGTTTGTGTTTTATTTTATTGTAATATGCTGTTGGGCTTGGCCTCATGTAAGCCGCCCCGAGTCCCCGTTGGGGGAGATGGTGGCGGGGTATAAATAAATAAATCAATAATAATAATAATAATAATTATTATTATTATTATTGATACCATCCAGCTGAGAATCGACAGGCTCAGAAGAGGGCCTCTGAGCTGTAAGGGCTTGATTGGGCAGTGTAAATATGCGGCCACCAGCTATTGGGCAGTGTAAATAGCTGGTGGCCGCAGCAGCTCTTTGCTGGGAGCAACGTCTTGGGAAGAGCTACAGCCGGTAATAATAATAATAATAATAATAATAATAATAATAATAACTTCATTTATACCCCGCAACCATCTCCCCAAGGGGGACTCGGGGCAGCTTACATGAGGCCAAGCCCAGCAATACAGAAAAACAATATAACACAATAATAGTAATAATAATAATAATAATAATAATGTTTATTTATACCTTACCACCATCTCCCCAGGGGCCAGGCCCAGCAATACAGTAAAACAGTATAACATAATAATAATAATAATAATAATAATAATAATAATAATAATAATAATCAACTTTATTTATACCCAGCCACCATCTCCCCAAAGGGGACTAGGAGCGGCTTACACGAGGCCAAGCCCAGCAATACAGTAAAACAACATAACACAATAATAGTAATAATAATAATAATAATAATAATAATAATAATAATAATAATAATATTTATTTATACCTTACCACCATCTCCCCAGGGCCCAGGCCCAGCAATACAGTAAAATAGTATAACATAATAATAATAATAATAATAATAATAATAATAATAATCAACTTTATTTATACCTAGCCACCCTCTCCCCAAAGGGGACTAGGAGCGGCTTACACGAGGCCAAGCCCAGCAATACAGTAAAACAACATAACACAATAATAGTAATAATAATAATAATAATCAACTTTATTTATACCTGGCCACCATCTCCCCAAAGGGGACTTGGAGCGGCAATACATTACAGCAACATGAAATATAAACAACAAAAACAACCTCACAATAAATAAACCAACCAAGTAAAATAAAATAATAAACTTTATCAGTGCAAAATAATGTAACAGAAAATAAAACACAGTGGGCGGGCCAAATGCACGACATAAAATGGTAAAACTGGGCGAGAGAGCCATGAACAGGTACGTTTGTGGGGGGGGGGAGGAGGGCTCATAGGGGACTGAACAGTGGCGTTGGGTTACGAGAATTAGTGGGCCTTGCGTTTGGACATATGGATATGGTATGATTCTGAAGGAATGCCTGACCAGGAGTGGCTGTTCCCAGTGCAGCCCAACCCGAGGCAAGAGGCGAAAGGAGGAACGGGAAGGAGGTCTCTTCCGGCGTACCTTGAGGTCGTCCTTGAAGGGGTCTGTGTTGGCGGTGCTCATGCGCAGGGCCAGCTCCAGCAGCGCCTCCAGCCGGGTGGGCACGATGTCCTCCACGGGCTTCTTCAGCTCCTCCTCCGTCAGGTCCATGAAGTGGACGTAGAAGTCCCCTTGGTCCATCAGGAAGTAGTGCTTGATGGAGCTGAGGCGGGAGAGGGAGGAGGGAAGAGAGCCACGTGGAAATAAAGGGGGAGCCGGAAGGGGGCCAGGCCGAGCCGGAAGAGGACAGCCTCCGGGGACCCCGCAAAGGGCCAAGAGGAGGGCCAAGGGGCACACACACCCTCGGGGCTCCTCTCGCCCTTCTTCTTCTTCTTCTTCTGCAGACTCAACAGAACAGGTCTTGAACCTCAGGCTCAACTTGTGTCTCCAAGGTCTCTCTCCCATGTGCCTTGGAGGCCACAATGTGCATGTCTCTGTTCGTGATGGCAAGGAGACCGTTCACCCAACCCTTCCTCCTCCTCCTCCTGGCGCCCCCCCCCCCCCCCCCCCGATGCCCTGGGAAAACAGCCTCCTCCCAAACCTCTTCCCTTTCTGGAGCGGGGCCAAACCCATGGCCTGCCTTTGGAGGGGCGCTGGAGGAACGAGCGGGCAGGCGGACGCACCGTAGGTGGGCCACGAGCTCCTTCTCCTCCATGAGGAAGTCCAGGAGGACCTTGCTGGCGTAGCTGTAGGCCTTCTCGATCTGCTCCACGTACTCCCGCTCCTTCAGGGTGTAGATGACCTCCTTGGCCACCGGGCAGCTCACGTTCTGGCCACACTCCCGCACCACGTTCAGGTACTTCCCTGCACAGAAAGGGGCAAAGGGATCTATTTATTTACCAATTTATTTATGCTATTTCTACCGCGCCCACCTCACCCCGAAGGCGACTCAGGGCGGCAAACAGTCGGCACAATTCGATGCCATATATAAAATACATATGACAATAACAATAAAGCATCCCATTACACTGTATCTAAAAACATCAAAACATTGAACAATAAAAATATTAAAACTATGTCGTCATGTCCAGTCCTCATCCGTCCTGTTGTCTTAGCCGTTCCTGGGTCATTTTCTGTTTCAAATTTGTCTAATTATGCTGAGGCTCAAAAAGTTTGATCAAAGAGCCACGTTTTCAGGTTAGGAGGGAGGGGGCCGATCTAATATCCCTGGGCAGGGAGTTCCACATTTGAGGAGCCACCACAGAGAAGGCCCTGTCTCTCGTCCACGCCAGACGTGCTTGTGAAGCAGGCGGGATCAAGAGCAGGGCCTCCTCGGACGATCTCAAGTCCCTGGTGGGTTCATAGGGAGGGATGCGTTCAGACAGCTAAGCTGGGCTGGAACCGTTTAGGGCTTTGAATTGTACCCGGTGGAGCCAGTGGAGCTGACACAGCATGGAGTTGTATGCTCCCTGAGCGCCGCTCCTGTTAGCAATCTGTCTACCGCTAGCCATTTGGACCATTTGGAGCTTCCGAGCCGTCTTCAAAGGCAGCCCCATGTAGAGCGTGTTGCAGTAGTCTATGCAGGACGTAACCAGAGCGTGGACTACCGTGGCCATCAGACTTACCAAGGTACGGGCGCAGCTGGCGCACAAGATTTAACTGTGCAAAAGCTCTCCTGGCCACCGCCAAAACCTAGGGTTCCAGGCTCAGCGATGAGTCCCGGCTCACTCCCAAGGAAGGAGGGAGGGAGGGAGGGAGGGAGGGAGGGAGGGAGGGGAGGAGTGCTGACCCCGGGACTCCCAGGGGAACCTGGAAAGCTTAAAACAAAGGCCAGGGGATGGCCCTGACCTGCGCTGAGGATCTTGTCGGCCACCTTCTGCAGGAAGGAGGGGATCTGCTGCGGGACGAGGGTGTAGCGCTGGTCCCAGTACTTGTCGTTGTAATCCTCCTGGATCTTCTCCTTCTGCAGCTCGTGCTCCTCCACCATGAATTCACTGCCGGGGGGGGGAGAAAGGGGGGGACACAGCGACACCGGTGAGCAGGGGGCAGTGGCGTTCCGGCCACAACAGGACCCCCTCCTGCCCTCAGACACACAACCAAGAAGCTGGACGGACTGAGTGAAGAGAGTACGAATGAGTGAAGGAATGGGCTGCGAGAGAAGAAGGATAGTGAGCACGAATGTGGAATGTACGGATTAGGAGTAAATGCTAACGTATAAGTGAGGATGAACTGGATGAAGAAGGATGGTGAGTACAAGTGAGTGAATGCATGTGAGTGAATGTTACAGCATTTATGATGCTCCCCCTTTTTTGCTTTTTTGGCTGTGTAACCAATCTATATAAATAAAAATGTCATGTTCGTTTGTGGGATTAACAGAACTCAAAAACCACTGGATGAATTGACACCAAATTTGGACACAAGACACCTCTCGGGCCAACGAGTGACCATCACTCATAAAAAAATACTAAAAAACACAGCGGAAAAGACTTCAAAAGCAATAAAATAAAATACACAGACTGGGCCACAGCAAAGCATGGCCGGGGACAGCTAGCATCTATATAAATAAAAATGTAATGTTCGTTTGTGGGCTTAACATAACTCAAAAACCACTGGGTGAATCGACACCAAATTTGGACACAATATGCATATCAGGCCATCGAGTGACCATCACTCATAAAAACACTAGAAAACACAGCGGAAGGGACTTAGAAAGCCAAAAAATAAAATATTTACATTACAACACATGTGCAAAACCACATATAGACAAATATATACACACACATATATACACATAAAAGACACATACACAGGCTGGGCCATAGCAACGCATGGCCGGGGATGGTTAGAATCTATATAAATAAAAATGTAATGTTCGTTTGTGGGATTAACAGAACTCAAAAACCACGGGACGAATGGACACCAAATGTGGACACAAGACACCTCTCAGGCCAACGAGTGACCGTCACTCAGAAAAATAATGAAAAACACATCAGGAGGGACTTAAAAAGCCAAAAAAAACATACAATACATTACAGCACATATGCAAACCCACATATATACACATATACACAAATATATAAATATACACATACACACACATATATACACATATACACAGACTGGGCCACAGCAACACGTGGCAGGGGACGGCTAGTAGCTCTTATAAAACCCAGTGCTGAGTATGTGTGTCTGCTGCTTTCTCTGAAAGAGCCTGATACACTCTCTCCCTCTGAAAACGGATTTTAAGGTTAAACAACATTTTAAGGTTCAAAAAATATTCATAACCGTCAGATTTGGGCACTTGTCACTCAGCTGAGGAGTGACCTTTCCACACACCCCCCCCCCGCCCTCCCCCTGCGCACCTGTAGGGATCGTTGATGAGTCCCCTGTAGATCCACTTCTCCAGGATCTCGAAATAGGGGACGCTGGCGGCCTTGGTGAGGTAGAGGCAGAGCTCCTGGGCCTGGCTGTCCCCCGTGGAGCTGAAGGTCTTGTCGTGGAGCAGGCTCAGTGTGGCGCCCCCCACGCACTCCCCCCGGTCCACGGCCATCGCTGCAGCAACACCAGGCGAGGGTGAGGGAGGGAGGAAGGAAGGCAGGCAAGCGAGGATACCCTCCCCTCTCCCTCCTCTGAAGGGGGGGGGCTGCAAGGGACCCAGGAGGAGGGAGGGGAGCCCCTCACCGATGGAGGCCAGGATCTCCATGGTGCGCATGGTGGGCTGGATGTAGAACCAGAGCTTCTGGAGGGAGAGGAGGCCTTGGCGCTGGAGGTGCTCCAGCTGGGTCACCAGGATCATGTACTCCTTGACCAGGGTCCGCATGGCGGCCGCCAGCGCGTGGTTCACTTGCCCGTACTCAAACGAAGCCTTCTCCTCAACAAACCTGCAAACAAGGGGAGGGGGGGGAGGGGAGCCAGGACACGTATGCCCCATGGGCAACAGGTTTGGACGGCAAGGAAGGAGAGTCCAACATTGGGAAGGGCTTCCTGCCTCGCTGCCTCCCTTCCCCCCAGTGCCAGTGCGCGTACCTGGTCACCCCGGAGTAACTGGCGGCCACAGGGAGGATGCGCCCAACCAGCTCCTTGACGGACATGTCCAGGTTGGGGTCCACCAGGAAGGTCCGCCCCTCTTGGCCCACCAGCGGCTGGGCCGCGATGTACTGCCCATCCACCCCGATCAGGACGTAGAGCAGGTCCTCCACCAGCGCTGACTCCTGCGCCGCCAGCGGGAGCGTGCCTGGAAGGGGAGGGGGCGATGGGGGAGGGGGGCACAGCGGGCCTTGTTACTTTGGGGTCGCGGGTCAGGAAACGGACACCTTGGTAGAGGCCCTCACTCCCTCCCTCCGTCCCGGAACCCACCGATGGGCACGATCGTGTCCGTGCTGAGGGCGGAGCCCGGGAGGAAGTCCCCGAGGAGGGCGGGGCGCTCGTAGACCCAGTCGGGGAAGGAGGGGAGGGGCTGCCCGGTGTTCTTCCGGCTCTGCTTCTCCCTCAGCTCCTTCCGCACCTGGTGCAGCGGCTGCAGGAGAGACAAGGCGAGTCTGACACGGCTGGAATACATGCAGACTCTGCAAGTGGGGTGCCGTGTGGCTTCCGGGCAGTGAGACCCTGTCCTAGCAGCACTTTCTCCTTTATTCACTTCACCCTGTGCCTTCAGAAGCACTGATGAGCCCCAAGCAAGCGGAGTCTATAATATCCCCCCGTGGAAGAATGTCCAGGGTGGGAGGAAAGAACCAATGCCTATTAAGTAAGGGTGTAATTAGCAAGATGGATTTCCAAGTGTCTGAGTGGGACCCACCCATTTATTTACTATTTATTATTTATTTATTTATTTATTATTATTATTATTAAACTTTATTTGTACCCCGCTAGCATCTCCCGAAGGACTCAATGCAGCTTACAAAGGCCAAGGCCTCAAAACATAGCATAACAAATACAAAACTCAAAGCAATATCAAAACAACAAAACAATAAAACAATACACCAAAACACAATAAAACTGGGGCCGGGCCAAATGTAATGGGTACAGATTAAAAGTGCTGGTGTGACAGGTGGTATGTCGGATTTTAGGGTAAGTGCCGTGTGCAGACAATCTTCAAGTCTAATGAAGTGCTACTGGGACAGGTTGTGGGAGTTTTCCTATTCTGGAAAGGCACAATATATTTACAACATTTATATGCCCCCCTTCTCACCTCAAGTGGCTTACAAGATACACACACGCACACACACACACACACACACACACAAAAATAAATAAATAAATAAAAATGTCATGTTCGTTTGCGGTATTAGCATAACTCAAAAACCACTGGATGAATTGACACTAAATTTGGACACAATATGCATATCAGGCCAACAAGTGATCATCATAAAAACACTGACAATCACTGCGGAAGAGATTTAAAAAGCCAAAAAATTAAAAATTACAACACATGTAATAAATAAATAAGTGCGCAAAACCATACACGCACACAAACACACATATATACACATATACATAAAAATATGCACACACAAAGCACATACACACAGACTAGGCCACAGCAACGCGTGGCAGGGGACAGCTAGGGTATGTGTGTGTGTATATATATAGTACACAATATACTATATTACTAGCATAGTACAATATCAGTATTAAATATTACTATATTGTATTATATCATTATATTGTAATGGTACAATATCTGCACAAGGCTAGCCAGCCAGCATTATTGCACTTTTCATTAATGTACTTTTTTATTTTAAAACCAATTTTGAAATCAATTTACTGTGCTTTTATATGTATATTTATAATACTATAATGTACAGCAATATAAAAATAATATATTATAATTATATATCTACATTACTTGTAACATTCCTAATAATATTATGATATAGTGGAACGATGCAATAGATCAATGTTTAATGCTGATATTATACTATGCTAATAATATAATATATTGTATGCAATATATACCTTGTAAGCCGCTCTGAGTCCCCTTCGGGGTGAGAAGGGCAGCATATAAACGTCATAAATAAATATATAAAATATTATGGTATATATTATTTATATGTAATGGCATCGAATTGTGCCGGATGTAAGCCACCCTGAGTCCCTCCCTTGGGGGTTGAGAAGGGCGAGGTACAAATGTTTGATATTATTATTATATCATATTATTATTATTATATTGCTAGCATTAGAAATGATCTTGTCTGTAAGTTGGGGACAGCTTGTCCGCATGTGAGAAGGTGAGAAGGGCGGCATATAAATGCCGTAAATAAAATAAAAAAATAAATAATAAATAAGCCGCTCCGAGTCCCCACTGAGGAGATGGTGGTGTTTTTTGGGGGTTTTTTTGTTGTGTCAGGAACGACCTGGGAAACTGCAAGTTGCTTCTGGTGTGAGAGAATTGGCCGTCTGAAAGGACGTTGCCCAGGGGATGCCTGGATGATTTTTGATGTTTTATCATCCTTGTGGGAGGATTCTAAAGATTATTATTATTATTATTATTGTTATTATTATTATTATAATATTTCTAGCATTAGAACTGATCTTGTCTGTAAGTTGGGGACAGCCTGTAGTCCCTGTTTGGATGGGGTGAGTGGTTCTGGATCTGCTGGCCTTGTAAGGAGAGGAGAGGACCAGACCACACATCCCGCAATGGCCAGCACTCCCTGGCTGCTGTGGGTCTCCTTCTAGCTTCGTGGGGGAGTTGTGGGGGGTCTTCCGGCTCACCTTGGGCCGGTGGTGCTGGGGCCCGGAGGCGGCCACGCTGCCCAGCTGCTTGCGGAGCTCCTCCAGCTCCTGGGCCGTCATTTTCGGGGCTGAAGAAGAGGCAGCGGTGGTGGCGGCAGAGGAGGCGATGCCGGGGCCGGCAACGGGAGCCGTGGCCACTGCCAGCTCGGCCCTCTCCTTGGCGTTCTGCTGCAGGAACTGGAGGGTCTGCGAGGGGAGAGAGAAGGGGAGGGTCGGGCGGGGTCGCAGGAGGGAGGCTCCCCCACGGCAAGCACGCCTCTCGGGGAATTGGGACGGGCTCAATCCAGGTTACTCTCTATTTGAGAAGCTAGGTTTGAGAATGCAGAATGAAACAGAATACAATAGCTTTGTTGTCATGGTGCTGTCGCACAACAAAATTAAATGCGTTTCCAGCACACATCACAAAACAACACGCCCATCCCTCTGCACCCCACCCACCGCCACACAGCCCCCAATGCCACATCAACGCAAAGCCATAGAGTTCAATGTAGTCACAGCTCTGCTTGTCCTTGCCTTTGTCACCCTGTGGCCTCAGCCCCATGGTTCTTAACTGGCCATTGTTCTTAACTGGGATGTCCTGTAGAGTAACGCCCATCCAACGATAACCTCTCTCCCCCACCGCACGTGGCCACGGAGGCCCCTCCCCTTCTCCCAAAAGGGGCGGGGCCTGCTGCTGTCACTCACTCACTCACTCACTCACTCACCGGGGGGTCCCCTGCGAGGCGGGCGAGGAGGCCGAGCAGGGCGTCAAGGTGCCGCACGTTCTTGCCCTTCAGCTCCTCGTACTTCCGCAGGAAGGTCTCCGGGCAGCGGGAGCACTCCGCCAGCTTGGCCTGAGGAAACGGAGAGGGAAGGAGAAACAGGAAAGCGGTCAGTGTTGCCCAAGGCTCCCACAGCCAGGATCACTGGGTTGTCTTCCAGGCTGCATGTCCATGTTCCAGCAGCATTCTCCCCTGACATTTTACCTGCATCTATGGCTGAAAGTGAAGCAAGTGGAGTCTAGGGAGAGAGAGAGATGTGGGAGGGGCCTGTGGTAGTGGGAGGGGCTGAAGGGAGAATCAACTTATATATATATGGTATATGGGGTGGGAGGGGCTGAAGGGAGTGGAGGGGGCTCTGGTGGTGGGAGGGGCCTAGAGGAGTGGGAAGAGCTGATGGGAGCATGAATTGATTGATATTTATGTATCAATGTATTATGTATTTATGTGCTGGAAGGGGCCTGTGGTGGTGGGAGGGGCCTGAGGGAGTAGGAGGGGGTGATGGCAACATCAGTTGATTTATATTTATGTACATATATGTGGGGTGGTGGGAGGGGCTGGAGGGTGTGGAGGGGGCTGTGGTGATGGGAGGGGCTGATGGTAGTCTTGATTTTATGTATATAGGTAAAGCAGAGGGAGCACGAATTGATTGATATTTATATATATATTTATGTAGAGTGGTGGGAGGGGTGTGTGGTGGTGGGAGGACCTGATGGTGGGAGCAGCCAGTGATTTATAGTTATGTGGGGGCTGAAGGGAGCAGAGGGGCCTGTGATGGCCGGGGTCCTGGGGAGTAGAAGAGGCTGATGTATATTATATATATATATATATATATATATATATATATATATATATATATATATATATATAGGGGTGGTGGGAGGGGCTGAAGGGGGCCTGTGGTGGTGGGAGGAGCTGAAGGGAGAACCCATGGATTTATGTTTATGTATATTTATGATTATGTATCTATATGTGGGGTGGTGGGAGGGGTTGAAGGGAGTGGCCTGTGGTGGGAGGGGTCTTGGGGAGTAGGAGGGGCTGATGGCAGCATCCATTGAGATATGTGGGGTGGTGGGAGGGGCTGAAGGGGGCCTGTGATGGGTGGAGCCTGTGGTGGTGGGAGGAGCTGAAGGGAGAACCCATGGATTTATGCTTATGTCTATCTATGTAGGGCAGGGGAGGGCCTGCCGGGAGGGGAAGGGGTCGGGGGAGCATCCCTTGATTTATGCTTATGTAAAAAGGTAAAGGTCGTCCCCTGACATTAAGTCCAGTCATGTCTGACACTGGGGTGTGGTGCTCATCTCCATTTCTAAGCCGAAGAGCCAGCGTTGTCCGTAGACACCTCCAAGGTCATGTGGCCGGCATGACTGCATGGAGCGCCGTTACCTTCCGCCGGCGCGGTACCTATTGATCTACTCACATTTGCATGTTTTCGAACTGCTAGGTTGGCAGAAGCTAGGGCTGACAGCGGAAGCTCACGCTGCTCCCTAGAATCGAACCTGCGACCTTTCGATCAACAAGCTCAGCAGCTCAGCGCTTTAACCCACTGCGCCACTGGGGGCTCCTATGCTTATGTGTGTGTGTGTATATATATATATATATATATATGTGGGGTGGTGGGAGGGGTTGCAGGGAGGGGTGGGGGCAGCGCTTCTTTCTCCACATCTGTGGGCCCCTCCCCCCTCCCTCCCTCCTGGCTGGGGGTTCTGGGAGTTGTAGGCCAAGACCCCTGGGCGAGTGAGGGCGTCGTCACAGGGCTTCCTTCCCCGCTCCCTCCCTCCCCCCCTCCCCTCCGGGCCTGACCTTGGCGGCGGCGGCGTTGGCGGCGGAGGGCGGCGGGGCGTGTCCGTGCTGGGCGCGGCTCTTCTGGAGGAGCTCCACGAAGCCCTCGCCGCCCCCGCACCCGCCCTCGCCCCGCAACAGCAGCAGCCGCACAAGCTCGTCCACGTCGCGGTGCAGCCGGAACTCCGCCATGCCCGCCCGCCCGCCCGGGAGGCGGAGACGGAGAGAGAGAGGAGGGGAAGGACAGGCCCAGCTCCCGCTCGCTCGCTCGCTCGACCCTTCCCGCCGTCTCCGGGCAACGAAAACCTCCTCCCCTTCCGCCTTAACCGGAAGCCAAGGGGCGGGGCCTCCCTCAGGCCAATCCCTCCTGCAGAAATGATATGGCTCCTCCCCTTCCGCCTTAACCGGAAGCCAAGGGGCAGAGCCTCCCTCAGGCCAATCCCTCCTGCAGCTATTTATGGCTCCTCCCCTTCCGCCCTAACCGGAAGTCAAGGGGCGGAGCCTCCTTCGGGCCAATCCCCCCTGCAGCTCTTTATGGCTCCTCCCTTTCCGCCCTAACCGGAAGTCAAGGGGCGGAGCCTCCTTCGGGCCAATCCCTCCTGCAGCCCGCTATGGCGCAGTTTCGCTCCTCCCTTTCCGGCTTAACCGGAAGCCAAGGGGCGGAGCTTCCCTGAGGGAAAGGGCAGCTGGGATGGAGAGTTAGGCTTTCTCGCCCCGCCTCTTCCGCTTCGGCCAGGAAGCCAAGGGAAAATGGCGGCCTCCGCGGCAACCGCGGCCGGCTCCGTCTGCGGGCCTTTCCGCTTCCGCCCGGCGCGGCTCCGCTTCCCGGCTCACCACCCCTTCTTCGAGGTGCCCGGATGTTGGGGAGGGAGGGAGGGGGGGGGAGGGAGGGAGGGGAAGGGAAGCCACGCCCCTCGCCGTGCGGTGCGCTTTCTCTGTCGTCCGGCGGAGAAGCCCGGCCCGGGAGGAAGGTTCCGCCCCCACTTTGAGGCCAAACGCCTTTCCAGAATAGAATGCTCGAGATGGAAGAAGAAGGCCCCTTCTGGGCAGGAAGGCACCACACGATCCCTCCCGGCAGATGCCCATCCAGCCTCGGAATAAATAATAATAATAATAATAGGAACCATAATATAATAATAGGAACCATATAATAATAATAATAATAATAGTAGGAAGCATAATATAATAGTAATAGGAAGCATAATATAATAATAATAGGAACCATAATATTATGATAATAGTAATAATAATAGGAACCATAATACAATAATAAGAATAGGAACCATAATATGAGAATAATAATAGGAAGCATAATATAATAATAATAATAGGAAGCATAACATAATATATGTTATCTCTTGCTGGAATAACTTTGGTTCGTGTACAAGGATTTTTTCATTTGTTGTGTGCCTTCGAAGTGGATGACAGTCTATAATATTGATGTTGGAAACCGGCCTGAGTCCCTCGAACAGAGGTGAGAAGACCGGTATACAAAACTGCTAAATAAATAAATAAAATAATATTAATAGGAAGCATAATATAATAATAATAATAATAACATAATAATAATAATAGGAAGCATAAAATAATAATAATATAATAATAGGAAGCATAATATAATAATAATAGGAACCATACTATAAGAAGAAGAACCATAGACTGCTAGAAGGCCCCAAAGAAGACCCCTTATTCTGTCATGAAGGGAGGCCCCACGACCCCCTCCTTCCTTCCCTCCCTCAGTCCTTGTCTCTGGGGTCTCTCTGGCCGCAGGAAGGCGATGTCCAGCGGCACCTGTCCCTCTGCCAGGCCACGCTGGCCCTCTCTGCAGCCCAAAGCGAGGAGGAGGCCGAAGGTGGAGGAGGAGAGGAGGCCCAGTTGGATGGGAGACGGTGAGTAAAGGGACAGGAGGAAGAGCAGTCCCATAACCATTGTGTGTGTGTGTGGAGCCCCCGGTGATGCACCAGGTTAAACTGCTGAACTTGCCGACCAAAAAGTTGGTGGTTCGAATCCAGGGAGCGGGGTGAGCTCCTGCTGTCAGCCCCAGCTTCTGCCCACCTAGCAGTTCAAAAACATGCAAATGTGAGTAGTCAGTAGGTAACGCTCCAGCGGGAAGGTAAAGGCACTCAATGCAGTCATGCCCGTGGCCACATGACCTTGGAGGTGTCTACAGACAACACCGGCTCTTCGGCTTAGAAATGGAGATGAGCAACACTCTTCAGAGTCAGACACGACTAAACTTAATGTCAGGGGAAACCTCTACCTTTACTATATTACATATTGCATGCAATATTACTAATAGTATTGTGGCATAGTGGTATAGTACAATATAGAAATGTATAATACTAATCCATACTGTCATGCTGGCCACATGACCTTGGAGGGTGTCTACAGACAACGCCGGCTCTTCAGCTTAGAAATGGAGATGAGCAACACCCTTCACAGTCAGACACGACTAGGCTTAATGTCAGGGGAAACCTCTACCTTTACTATATTATATATTGCATGCAATATTACTAATAATATTGTGGTATAGTGGTATAGTACAATATAAAAATGTATAATACTACTCCGTGCAGTCATGCTGGCCACATGACCTTGGAGGTGTCTGCGGACAATGCTGGCTCTTGGGCCGAGAAATGGAGATGAGCACCAGAGTCGGACACGACTGGACTTAATGTCAGGGGAAAACACACACAGGCTACCCCTAAGTTACAAACATCTGACTTACAAACAGTGTCTCTCCTTCCTTCCTTCCTTCCTTCCTTCCTTCCTTCCTTCCTTCCTTCCTTCCTAGGGCGGAGGTGCGTTGCCACTTCCAGGGCTGCGGGGAGGCCTTTGCCTCTTTGGGGGCTTTTGAGCACCACTACGACCTGCTCCACCGGGACGTCTGCTCCGCCTGCCGCCGGGCCTTCCCATCTCGGCGCCTGCTGGACCTCCACCTCCTGGAGCAGCATGGGGCGGCCCTCTTCCAGCTCCAGGCCCAGCAGCGCAGCATGGTAGGAGCCCCGGGGCCAGGCAAAGGCATCACACAAGCCTGGGGCTGGTGGTCGGAGGATGCTTGGCTGCCTGTGCCTCTGCTCAGAGGGTTTTCCTTCCCTTCCTGTCCCTGTGATCATTGTGTTTTGGGGAATGTGGAAACCAGGACTCCTTGTGCAGCCAAGAGACTGACCACTGACCCTCCCTTCCCTCTCTCTCCCAGTTCCAGTGTTTGGTGGAGGGCTGCCCGGAGGCCTTCAGGAGCCCAGAGGACCGCAAGGAGCACCTGGTCACCACCCACTGCTACCCCCCGGACTTCCGCTTTGACAAGACACCCAAACACGGAAGGTACTTGCCCACAGAGGGATGCCCAATAGTTTCATCCCACTCTCATGGCTTTGTGCTCCTCCTCCTCCTCCATTGAGACCTTGTGAGGAAGGTCTGGGCGGGGGGAGAGAAGGCAAGAGGGGGGATGGCCCGCCTCCCTGGGCCTCTCCTACCTTTCAAAGGGCGGCCACACGTTGCTTGGGCCTCAACCCTCCTCTCTCTTCCGGCAGCAGAGCAAAGGCAAGGAGGCCCCAATCTGGGAAGGACGACACTGAGCCCATGGAGGTGGCAGACCAAAAGGAGGGGGCGGTGGAGGAGGAGGCGATGCCCACGGCGGATGCCATGGAAGAGGAGGAGCCCAGGGGGTCCCTCCAGACCCAGAGGCAGGCGACACCTAGGGAGCGGCCCTTGAGATCCCGGTGAGTGGCTTCATCCTTTTGGGGGGAGCCATTGCGGCAGATGGAAGGGGGCAACGGAGGTGTGTGTGTGGGGGGGGGAGAATTGCCCCTTGCTTAACCCTTCAGTGGACGTGTGTGACCACATGTCTGTTAGAACTGTATTTCCACACAGTAATGCACAATGGAGTTACACACCAGGGGTTGAGAAGGGCAGGGTATCAATATCTGAAATAATAAATAAATACTGTATATACCTGAGTATAAGCCTAGATTTTCAGCCCTTTTTTAGGATGATAAAGCTCCCCTCGGCATATCCTCGAGTCAAGGTTATTTATTATTTTACTCTATTATTATTATTATTATTACATTTATAGGTTAACTTTATTATTTTATTATTATTACATTTATTATTTTACTCTATTATTATTATTATTATCATTATTATTACATTTATAGGTTAACTTTATTATTTTTATTATTATTACATTTATTACTTTATTATTATTACATTTATTATTTTACTCTATTATTATTATTGTTATTATTATTACATTTATAGTTTAACTTTATTATTTTTATTATTATTACATTTATTATTTTACTCTATTATTATTATTATTACATTTATAGGTTAAATTTATTATTTTATTATTATTACATTTATTATTTTACTCTATTATTATTATTATTACATTTATAGGTTAACTTTATTATTTTTATTATTATTACATTTATTACTTTATTATTATTATTACATTTATTATTTTACTCTATTATTATTATTATTACGTTTATAGGTTAACTTTGTTATTGTTATTATTATTACATTTATTACTTTACTCTATTATTATTGGAAGGATACGTAAACACATGTACATTGAAGGAGGTCAGAATAATGGTTTAGTCAGAGTTGGACAGTCTTATCTTACAGTTTTATGTAAATATTAATAAATAGTCAACCTACTGATGATTCAATTAATGTAATTTTATTGGTATCTATTTTTATTTGGAAACTGACCCATAGGGGCTGCATTTCCCACTCTTGGCTTATACTCGAGTCAATAAGTTTTCCCAGTGTTTTGGGGTAAAAAGAGGTGCCTCGGCTTATACTCGAGTATATACGGTAAATATCTCAGAACGCCTTATTTACCTAACGGACCCCCAACCCCGAAACCAGAAATAGTGGAAATGATAAAGATCCTCGTCCAGCTGAAGTGATCACTATCAATAGTATTGTCTCAAATGGAGTTACCATAGAATCCTAGAATCCAAGAGTGGGAAGAGACCTCCTGGGCCATCCTCCAGTCCAACCCCATTCCACCAAGAAGCAGGAATATTGCATTCAAAGCACCCCTGACAGATGGCCATCCAGCCTCTCATAGAGTCATAGAATCCTAGAGTGGGAAGAGACCTCCTGGCCATCCTCCAGTCCAACCCCATTCTGCCAAGAAGCAGGAATATTGCATTCAAAGCACCCCTGACAGATGGCCATCCAGCCTTTATATAGAATCCTAGAGTGGGAAGAGACCTCCTGGGCCATCCTCCAGTCCAACCCCATTCCACCAAGAAGCAGGAATATTGCATTCAAAGCACCCCTGACAGATGGCCATCCAGCCTCTCATAGAGTCATAGAATCCTAGAGTGGGAAGAGACCTCCTGGGCCATCCTCCAGTCCAACCCCATTCCACCAAGAAGCAGGAATATTGCATTCAAAGCACCCCTGACAGATGGCCATCCAGCCTCTCATAGAGCATAGAATCCTAGAGTGGGAAGAGACCTCCTGGGCCATCCTCCAGTCCAACCCCATTCCACCAAGAAGCAGGAATACAGCATATATGTAAAGTCCTCTGTATATATTTCTTAGAAATTCCATAAACCGTCCCCAGTCTGTTTCCTGGCGGTGGGTGTTGTTCTGAGCAAGTTTTTGGCTGAGAAGGTCCATATTCATGATGCCCATCCATCACTTTCAGAATCCAATTTTCTTTCGTGGTTATTCTTGGTGTTTTCCATAATTGTGCCAGGGTTATTCTGGCTCCGGTTATTAAATGAAAAAAAATCCTGTTTGTGTTTTTGTTCATCTCAAAATCTGTATTTATTTATTTATTTATCGAGTCATCAGTAATAAATACAAACTACAGAATACAAAATTTATGACTTTGATAGTTGATTAAATGTCCTTTGACCAGTCTCTGGCCACTTGGAGTGCTTCTGGTGTTGCCGCAAGAAGGTCCTCCCTGGTGCATCATGTGGCAGAAGGGCTCAGGTTGCATTGCAGCAGGTGGTCAGTGGTTGGCTCTTCTCCACACTCACATGTCGTGGATTCCACTGTGTGGCCCCGTTTCTGAAGGTTGGCTCTGCATCTCGTGGTGCCAGAGCACAGTCTGTTCAACGCCTTCCAAGTCGCCCCGTCTTCTGTGTGCCCAGGGGGGAGTCTCTCATTTGGTATCAGCCATTGGTTGAGGTTCTGGGTTTGAGCCTGCCACTTTTGGACTCTCGCTTGCTGAGGTGTTCCAGCGAGTATCTCTGTAGATCTAAGAAAACTATTTCTTGATTTAAGTCGTTGACGTGCTGGCTGATACCCAAACAAGGGATGAGCTGGAGATGTCTCTGCCTTGGTCCTTTCACTCTTGGCTGCCACTTCCCGGCGGATGTCAGGTGGTGATCCCTAATAAAAAATACTTGGGCTTAAAGTCAAATCTTAGATTCAGAATGTTTTCTATTTCTTTGTAAATTTGATGCCAGTGTTTAATTTGTTTACATCTCCACCACATAGGACTAAAGTCTCCTTATGTTTCCCACATTTTCAACATTTCCCGTCACTTTTTCCCCCTTTGAATTTTGCCAATTGTTCTGGAATTTCTAAGAAATAAATACAGAGGACTTTACATTAAATTAAATGTAAAATTAAAAGAAACCCTCCCCCTTTCTCTTCTTTTCTTTCTTTTTGTATTCTTTCATTACTTACATTACTTTTTTTTCTTCTGTCAAGTTTCAAACTTTCTTTCATCTTCAGTTGTTCCACCACTTTCATTGTATGTTTTTTTTTCAAACATCAGTTTTACTTTATGCAAAATTTCTTAATAAAAAGCATAAATTAAAAAAAATGCGGCTGAAAGAAACAGCTGAGGGCAACTGAGCAGCAAACAAGGCTCTGCATTGAGGAGGGAAATAGAGGCCGGCCCTGCATCCCGGCTGGAAGCAGATTGGGGGGGGGATCCCCCCAAGTGACCCCTCCTTCCTCTCCTATCAAGGGCCAGGGGAGTGGGATACATGCCTTTCTGGCGCGGGATCTGCTCACTTTCCAAGCAGGATTCTCTCCTTTCCAGGTTTGCTTGGGAGGGAAGTGGTCACCGGGGAGGGGAGCACTTGGGGCCGAGCCTTGACCAGACCCCTCTCTCTCCTCTTGCTTTCCAGGGTCCCAGCCAGTATTTCCTTTGGGCAGGGAGCCCCCCGGGCCTTTGAAGGCAGGAGCAGCAGGAGGAAGAGGCCCTGAGCAGGAGGGCAGCCTGCCTGCCGGACAGCGCTCTCCCGTCCCCTACCCCCCCCCCTTTTTGGCCTTGGACGCGGTCAAGAGTGGCCCCCCTCCATCCGAGGGCAAGGGCCAGTCTCCTCAGGGATGTTCAGCAATAAAGCAGCGTCCAGCCCATACAGTCGTGTTTCCAATCTATTCTGCACACCTGGAAGGAAACCCAGGACGCCAAAAAGGTATAAAGTCCTTATTTCCAACTGAATGTAAATGATAATAAATGTTATGTAAATAAAACTGACATGTGCACAGGATGCATGTGTTTACACTACTGGCAAGACGCTCTCGTCTGTTCAATCAAAATCTGCCCTCCTGAAACTAGATTTCTCTGCCTTTTTACTCTCTCAACTGAAGCTTTCTCTCCAGTCTTTGTTTCCACAACAAACCAAATCCAATTCTCACAGGGACAAAAACTTTGGGAATGTTTGTATTTGGGTCCAATATTTTCGGGCTTCTGCAAGACCACAATATGATAAGAATATCCCAATATCGTGCTCGTGTTTACAACAATTGTCTTTGTGTATCTTAGAGTCTGCCTGGCATCAAATGCCACTCTTTTTTTCCAGTGTGAATTCTATGATGTTTATGTAGAGTTGAATTCTGAGAGAATAATAATAATAATAAACCTTTATTTGTACCCCGCATCTACCATCTCCCGCAGGACTCGGTGCGGCTTACAAGAGGCCGAGCCCAAAGTACATCATTAACATAAACACAACAGGCAGTAATACAATGCAACAATACATAAGCAAACAATAAAACAGTAACAAAGCACGACACTGTTAAAAACCTGTGGCAGGGCCAAATGTAAGAGTTAAAATTCTAAAAATGCTGGGCATGTCCAGGTGAGATAGACTGGATATTTTGGGAATAGAAGGGTGTGCAGACAATTCCAACTCTCTCGTAAAGTGCATTAGGGACAATTGCTTGGGATTCCTTAATCTGGGAAGGCACACTGGAACATCCATGTTTTCAAGCTCCTTCTGAATACTGCCAGTGTTGGGGAATGCCTGATGTCCTTGGGGAGGGAGTTCCAGAGTCGTGGGGCCACCACCGAGAAGGCCCTGTCCCTCGTCCCTACCAATCGCGCTTGCGATGCTGGTGGGATCGTGAGCAGGGCCTCTCCAGATGAACGAAGGGATCATGTGGGTTCGTATACGGAAATGCGGTCACGCAGGTAGGTGGGTCCCAAACCGTTTAGGGCTGGAAGCGCTTTCCACACTCCAGGCATTTATAGGGTTTCTCCCCAGTGTGAGTCCTTTGATGAGGAGCTTACAGGCTTTTCTAGGCCCTCCATCCTGGCTGCTAAAAGGTAAGGGTTCATTACAGAGGCATTCCTCATCTCTCTGGGCAATGAGTTCCAGAGTTGGGGGGCCACGGAGGAGAAGGCTCTCTCCCTTGTAGATTTCCACGGTGAGTGAAGCTCTTTCCACGCTCTAGGCATGTATAGGGTTTTTCTCCCCAGTGTGAGTCCTTTGGTGTGAATGTAGGTTTCCACTCCGAGTGAAGCTCTTTCCACACTCCTGGCACGTGTAGGGTTTCTCCCCAGTGTGAGTTCTATAATGAGAACAGAGACGCGAGATTTCGGAGAAGCTCTTTCCACATTCTGTGCATTTACAGGGCTTTTCCCCAGTGTGAGTCCTTTGGTGTCTGTGGAGACTTCCACTCTGAGAGAAGCGCTTTCCACACTCCTGGCACGCGTAGGGTTTCTCCCCGGTGTGAGTCCTTTGGTGTGACTGTAGATCTCCACTCTGAGAGAAGCGCTTTCCACACTCCAGGCACGCGTAGGGTTTCTCCTCAGTGTGGGTTCTATCACGAGAACTTTCAGAGAGGCTCTTTCCACACTCGGTGCACGCACAGGCTTTTCCCCCAGCATGAGATCTTTGGTGTGAACGTAGACTTCCACTCTCGGTGAAGCTCTTCCCACACTCCCAGCACGTATAGGGCTTCTCCCCAGTGTGTGTCCTCTGATGTTTATAGAAGTCTCCGCTCCGAGTGAAGCCCTTTCCACACTCCAGGCACGTATAGGGTTTCTCCCCAGTGTGAGTCCTTTGATGGGAATGTAGGTCTCCACTCTGAGCGAAGCCTTTCCCACACTCCTGGCACGTGTAGGGTTTCTCTCCAGTATGGGTTCTATAATGAGAATGTAGGTGCGAAGTTTCCGAGAAACTCTTTCCACACTCCAGGCACGTATAGGGTTTCTCCCCAGTGTGAGTTCTTTGATGTTTGTGTAGACTTCCTCTCTGCGCAAAGCTCTTTCCGCACTCCTGGCACGTGTAGGGCTTCTCCCCAGTGTGGGTCCTTACATGTAACTGTAGGTAATCCCTCCGAGTGAAGCTCTTTCCACACGCCAGGCATCCATAGGGCTTCTCCATATTCACAGGGACATATATGGATGTTTGGGCCTTCTGTTTTCCTTTCTGATCCAAAGGGAGTTGGGTCATTCGTCACAATCAGGACCTTGGGAGGATTCTTCTTCCTACGGGACTCTTTTCTTGACTGTTCTTTTTGTTTCCAAATTCCTCAATGCCCACTTGATGCTGGTTTGTTTCCCTTCACGCCAGAGCCGGATCCACAGAATCCTTATTTCCTGGTCAAGAAAGAAGAAGCAAAAGATCAGGCACGAAGCCCACAGCCTCCCTTACCTCTTTCCCCTTCGTGGGTCAAGTTGGCTGTTAGGGATTGTGGGGAGCTGCAGTCCAAACACCCGGAGGGAGGGACGAAGTTGGCCCATGCCAGCACCAACTCCAGAGTGAAGAGAGAGCGGGGGGGAAGGCAGTCCCATCTGGTCTCCTGTGCTTTACTAATAATATAATAGAATATATTGTATATAAATATAATATTTATGATATTATAATGTAATTCAATACAATAATAAAATATTATAATTTTATATTTTATATTACATGTAATATTACTAATAATATTAAAATATAATGGTATAGTACAATATAGTAATATAGAATACTGATATTGTGCTATGCTAATACTATATTGTATATAGTGATGTCCAACTCTGTCACTCCTTTCCACCTGCTACTAAGGAGGCTGTCCAGGTCCTGAACCGGTGCTTGGCCGCTGTGACGGTCTGGATGAGGGCGAACAAATTGAAATTGAATCCAGACAAGACAGAGGTACTCCTGGTCAGTCGCAAGGCCGAACAGGGCATAGGGTTACAGCCTGTGTTGGATGGGGTCGCACTCCCCTGAAGACGCAGGTTCGCAGCTTGGGTGTGACCCTGGACTCATCACTGAGCCTGGAACCCCAGGTTTCGGCGGTGACCAGGGGAGCATTCGCACAGTTAAAACTCGTGCGCCAGCTGCGCCCGTACCTTGGGAAGTCTGACTTGGCCACGGTAGTCCACGCTCTGGTTACATCCCGTTTAGACTACTGCAACGCTCTCTACGTGGGGTTGCCTTTGAAGACTGCTCGGAAGCTTCAATTGGTCCAACGCTCGGCAGCCATGATACTAACAGGAGCGGACGCAGGGAGCATACAACGCCCTTGTTGTACCAGCTCCACTGGCTACCGATTTGCTACCGGGCCCAATTCAAGGTGCTGGTGTTGGCCTACAAAGCCCTAAACGATTCTGGCCCAAAACTACCTATCTGACCGCATCTCTGCCTATGAACCCACCAGGACTTTGAGATCTTCCGGGGAGACCCTGCTCTCGATCCCGCCTGCTTCTCAAGCTCGGCTGGCGGGGACGAGAGATAGAGCCTTCTCGGTGGTGGCTCCTCGGCTGTGGAACGCCCTTCCTACGGACATTAGACTAGCACCATCTCTAATGGTATTCCGCAAAAAGGTGAAGACCTGGATGTTTGTGCAGGCGTTTGAGTAATTTAGTGCAATCTGGTAATGGAACATAGGAATGGAACAATGGACGACGAACCTGGACTACGCTTGGATGATGAGAAGATTGGGTACGGTTGTTTTTTGTAATAATTGTGCATTGTAATTGCTTATTGGTAATTTATGGATAATGTGTTAAGTCAATTGTTATATGTTGTATGGAACCACTGCTGTTTCTACTGTTTTTACTGTTTGTGAACCGCTGTGAGTCGCCTTCGGGCTTGAGATACAGCCGTATAGAAGCAAAGTAAATAAATAAATAAATAAATATATACATATAATATATTATAATGTAATGCAATATAATACTAATAATATAGTATAATTATATATTTTATATTACATGTAATATTATAATAATATTACAATGTAATGGTATAGTACAATTTAGTAATAAATACTGATATTGTACTATGCTAATAATATATTGTATATACATATAATATAATGTAATGCAATATAATACCAATAATATATTATAATTGTATATTTTATATTACATGTAATATTACTAATAGTACAATATAATGGTATAGTACAATATAGTAATAAATAATACTATGCTAATAATATATTGTATATACATATAATATAATGTAATGCAATATAATACAAATAATATATTATATTTATATTTTATATTACATGTAATATTACTAATAATACTACAATATAATGGTATACTACAATTTAGTAATAAATACTGATATTGTACTATGCTAATAATATATTGTATATACATATAATATTATAATGTAATGCAATATAATACTAATACTATATTATAATTGTATATTTTATATTACATGTAATATTACTAATAATACTACAATATTATGGTATAGTACAATTTAGTAATATATAATACTGATATTATACTATGCAAATAATATAATATATTGTATGTATATATATATATTGTAAGCTGCTCTGAGTCCCCTTTCGGGTGAGAAGGGCGGCATATAAATGTCGTAAATAAATAAATAAACACATCCAAATCTAAAAGACAACTATGAAATAACACAAGATACGCAGTAGACGACATGGAATACTTGGGAGAACATGGTGGGGAAAAGCAGCTTTGATTCTGAGACGGCAAGACACAGCCGGAGGAATGAAGGGAACCCACTTGGAGGCCTCGTCAGAGTCGCCGGGCTGGGATTTCTTCCTTTGCTTTGGGGCCCAACGGGGGTCAGTCCCTGGAGCCCCGCATTCCCATTTCCCAACAGGCTTTGCTTGTGGCCCTCTTGTCAGCAGGGAGGGAGGAAAGAGAAAGAGGGAGGGCAGGAGCGCGAGACTCTTGTACTCCAAACCATGAGGAGCGGCTGAAAGAGCCAGGCATGTTAAGCCTGGAGAAGAGAACAGGATGGGAGGAGGCAGGATGAGAGCCATGAATACATAGGTATTGTGAATTATAATTACAATTATTAATAATCATGAATAATATATATTAATTATTTGTTAGTAATTACTAATAACACTAACAATAATTATTAATAATATACTTAATGATAATAATAACAATTAATATTATTAATAATAATAGATATGTGAGGGGAAGATGTCCGCCTGAACCTGAGGAAGAACTTCCTGACTGTGAGAGCTGTTCAGCAGTGGAACTCTCTGCCTCTTGTGGAGTGTTGGTGGAGGCTCCTTCTTTGGAGGCTGGGGGGGGGGGCTTTGAAGGCGACCCCCAGGTTAAAGGAAGGAAGGAAGGGAGGGAGGGAGGGTGAAAGGCAGAGGGGGCGAGGAAGGAAGACAACCAAGAGGAAGGAAGGAAGGAAGGAAGGAAGGAAGGAAGGAAGGAAAGAAGGAAGGAAGGAAAGAAGGAAGGAAGGAAGGAAGGAAGGAAGGCAGGGAGGGAGGGAGAGGCAGAGGGGGCGAGGAAGGAAGACAACCAGAGGAAGGAAGGAAGGGAAGGAAGGAAGGAAGGAAGGAAAGAAGGAAGGAAGGAAGGAAGGAAGGAAGGAAGGAAGGAAGGAAGGAAGGCAGGGAGGGAGGGTGAAAGGCAGAGGGGGCGAGGAAGGAAGACAACCAAGAGGAAGGAAGGAAGGAAGGAAGGAAGGAAGGAAGGAAGGAAAGAAGGAAGGAAGGAAGGAAGGAAGGAAGGAAGGAAGGAAGGAAGGAAGGCAGGGAGGGAGGGTGAAAGGCAGAGGGGGCGAGGAAGGAAGACAACCAAGAGGAAGGAGGGCGGCGAGGCCAAGGCTCCCCTCCCTCCCTCCCCCCCCCCCCCGGAAACAGGAAAAGGCGGGGCTCCCTCTGCCGGAAGCTGTTCCGGGGTCAAAGGCCAGGAAGGGACGAGGCCTGAAGCCTGAGAGGGAAAGGAGACGGAGGCGCAAAGCAGCCTGGGAAAGGGCCATATCCGGCGGGGCCGCTCTTTCCCTCTCCCTTCGCTCACCTCCTTTTCCTCTCGCCCCGATCCTCCTCCTCCAGCCTCCAAGCCCCGCCCCTTCCGGAGGAGGCACCCCTCTAGGAATGTGTCCAGGCCCCGCCCACTCGCTCTTTGCTCTCCCAGGCGGAGGAGAAGCAGGTCCCAGTATTATATTAATTATGTTATGTTATATTATATTATATTAGAAAACCCTAGATATATAAAATGTAGTAATAATAGGATATAATTACAACTTAACATGATAGTGCTATCGAGCTCTTTGGGGGGGGGGGGTCTCTCCAAGGGGGGAGACCCCTAGGACTGCACCAAAGAGAGTCCTGGAGACCTTGGTGAGATTTTTCCGGAAGCCAATCCAAGAGCGCAGGAATATTTTTAATATATAATCAGCTCACCAGAGGCGGAAGAAGTCCAGCGATCGAAGTTTATTTGCGATTCAGCTGAGTCGGATGCAATTGTAGGGATAGTTCCTCTACAAGCATACAGATACAAAGATTTCAGGCATTTTTATACAGTACAGGACAAAAGAAAGCAGTTTGAAACTCCCGCCGCCCCTTGCCGGCCGGCTTGACGCTGATTGGCTGAGGCTGGAACAGCTGGGAGGAGGCTTGGCGGCCCGCCCCAGCTTTTAGCCAATCAGAACGTTCCCGCGCCTCGGGAGGGCCAATAGGCACCCTCCGCTCGCTTCTGAGTTTGGACCAATCAGGAGCGAGGAGGGCGGGACAGCCGCAGACAAAGGGGAAAGATGATGGGATTTGGATTTCCTGCCCGCTGGAATGCGGGCTTTGTCTTGGGCGGGAAAAGGGTGATATTTGGTAAACAAAGAGCTTTCCTGTCCTTGATGGGTCTGGCGAGTGATTTGAATGGGCTAGATCGATATCGGACCACCCGGAGGGTCAACAATATCTGGGTGAATTAATCAGTCTCTTTTTCCGAGGCTCTGCTGACCCCTCTTCCCTTGCTGGCCTTGCTCCGAGGGCTAGGGTTGGGGATCAGCAGCATTGTCCGTGCTGATGAGTCAATCAATGGGAGATTGAGGAAGAGGCTGGGGCTCTTTCCCCAGGCAATTCCTGGTCACGCCGGTTTTGTGGGGCAGAGGCCAAGGGAGGGTGATGGCATAGGGAAATTCATACATATCATAATCATAAGGCATAGGCATCTCGAACTTACAGGCATTTCATATTCTTACAACTCATAATCCATCCCAACCCCAGTTTATTACAGTAAGAAAATATTTTATTTATTTCATAAAGAGAAAAGGAAAACTAGAAATCCCAAAGTCCGGGCGAAGAAGCTTGGAGGTGGAGGTCAGCCCATGGCCCGGGCTGGCCAACAGAAGACCGGTTCCTCCTTGAAGCAGGAGCTGGAGCTGAAGGGGGAGCTGGGTTCCACTGTTCTGTCCTTGGTAAAACTAGCGCTCCCAACCGAGGATTGGGCCTCCCTGCCCGACCCTCCTCTCCCAAGGCTCCCCTTTCGGCAGCGGCGGTGGGTCCCCGGCGGCGGGGACCATGCAGGAGCAAGCGGCAGCGAGCGGGATGCAGCAGTCCGGAAAAGCCGGCGAAATTTGACAATTTATTTATTTATCAATCAGCTGTTGACTCGGCCAGATTTAATATTTAAACAAAAACAATTATTTCCCGGGTGCAGGAGTCCAAAATGAGAAAACCAAGATGGCAGTTAGTCTTAGAATTTAATGCAGAAAAATATGAAATTTAAACGGGGCCGATCCGCCATGTTGTTGTTTTGGCGGATAAGGGGGCCCATTAGGAAAACCTCCGTATCCGCGGTTTTAACTAACGCAGATTTGGGGGCCCGGGGAAGCCGGGAAGGCATCCCCAGTGAGCTCACGGTTCCCCGGAGCCCAGAAAAAGGTTCATTTTATGTTAGAAAAGTTTCAGTCAGTAAAGGACACAAAGTATCAAGCAGAAAGGATTTAAAGTTTCAAATCTTAAGTGTTTTATTAGGGGCTTTGTTACAAAGAGAGGGAGAGGGGAAAGTGAAAGAAAAGCTTCATGCAGCCTTGAGTTTAGCTTGAGCTGCTCACTGGGGCACATTCCATCAGTCAGACTCAACTTGGTTCTCCGGAACTGCGGAACTCCCTGCTGCGGTTCAGACCAGCTTGAAGGCGGGAGATCCTGCCGCCTGGGGGGATATCAATAGCACAATTATATCATTGTGATATAATATATAATTGTTATATAACATAAAATATAATAATATATAAAAAGAAGCCCCATCAAAGCCTTGGCAGACCGTGCAAAAAGAATCTGCGAAGCCCACCTCCTCCAAGATGGACTGAACCCCCTCAACTGGGCTCTCCAGGCCAAGGGAGACTCCACCTCAGACATCAGGAGAGCTGCAAGACCACCGAGAAGAAGCCACAAGAGTCAAGATGAAGATCCACCCAGAGGAAAAGTGTTCCTGCCAGACATCAAGGGAACCACTGACCGCAGAGGGAAGCTGAGGAGGAAACACAACATACAAACTATCTGCAGACCCACCAAGAAAATCCAACCAATGCTCTGTTCAGCAAAGGACAAGAGGGATCCTCTCACCTCTGCAGGAGTCTACCATTGTATACCATGCAGCTGTGGACAAGTCTCCAGAGGGACCACCAAACGCAGCCCTGCCCAAACATGAATCAAGGAACATGAAAGGCACTGCAGACTTCTTCAACCAGAGAAGTCAGCCATAGCAGAGCACCTGATGAACCAGCCTGGACACAGCAGATTATTGGAGAACACAGAAATGCTGGACCACTCCACAACCACCATGTCAGACTACACAGAGAAGCCATTGAAATCCACAAGCATGTGGACAATTTCAACAGAAAGGAAGAGACCATGAAAATGAACAAAATCTGGCTACCAGTATTAAAAAACTCTAAAATTGCAACAGCATAAAACAGAGAGGAAACAGGCAGGGACATCTAATCACCTTTCAAGAAGAGTTTGCTCCAGGCACAGTCAGCCCATTGTATGCTAATCAGGTGGTCAGTTGAAAGATCCACACCCAGCCCAACTTACAAAAGCCTTTTGTCCCACCCTGGTCATTCCACAGATATATAAACCCCTTTTTCCCCATTTCCAGCAGACCTCACCTCTGAGGATGCCTGCCATAGATGCAGGGGAAACGTCAGGAGAAATGCCTCTAGAACATGGCCATATAGCCCGAAAAAACCCACAAGAACTGAGTAATAATATATTATAATATAACACAATTATACGATTATAATGAAATATAATTGTATCATACAGTTATAATTTAATTATAATTACATTGTCCCAGCCCGAGAGAGAGAGAGATCTATATAATGCAGTAATAATAGGATATAATTATAATTTAATATAATAATAATAATAATAATAATAATTGTGATACAATATATAATTGTTATATAATATATCATAATAGATTATAATAATATAACACAAACTATACGATTATAATGAATTGTAATTGCATCCTACAGTTATAGCCGCCTATTGCTTTGTTATTGTTATTTTCAAAGCTAATTGTATTGTTTTAATCTGCTTCTGTAAACCGCTCCGAGCCAAATTGGGAGTAGCGATATACAAGTTAAATAAATAAATTAAAAAATAAGTAATTTAATTATATTAAATTGTATTAAATTACATTGTGTCAGGAGTGACTTGAGAAACTGCAAGTCGCTTCTGGTGTTGGGCAAGTTTATAATATAATAATATAATATATGCAAATAGATAAACAATATAATATATATATAATATATGCAAATATATAAATAATATTATATATATATATATATATATAATATGCAAATATATAAATAATATATAAAATAAATAATAATATAATATATGCAAATATATAAATAATATATAAAATAATAAAATATAATAATATAATATATGCAAATATATAAATAATAAGTTTGGTCCAGGTCCATCATGGGTGGAGGACACAATTTCTCTTGTTGTGGGTGAACTACAACTCCCAGAAAGGAAGGTCCGTTCCCCCCCAAAGCCCTCCAGGAATCAAATTTCAGCATATCAGGTCTGTGTGCCAAGTTTGGTCCAGATCCATTGTTGTTTGGGTTCACAGTGCTCTCTGGACGGAGGTGAACTACAACTCCCTCAAATAAAGCTGAATTTCCCCCAAAGATTTCCAGTATTTCTTTGCTGGTCCTGGGGGCTCTGTGTGCCAAGTTTGATCCAATTCCATCTTTGGTGGAGTTCAGAGTGCTCATTGGTTAGAGGTGAACTATACATCCCAGTACCCACAACTCCATAATGTCCAGGTCAATTCCCTTCAAACCCCTCCAGTATTCAAATGTGGGCATATCGGGTATGCGTGCCAAGTTTGGTCCAGATCCATCATTGTTTGGGTTCACAATACTCTTGGGTTGCAGGTGAACTACAACTCCTATAAATCCCTCCAAAGACCTCCAGTATTTTTTGTTTGTCGTGAGGGTTCTGTGTGTCAAGATAGTTCCAGGTTCATCGTTGGTTGGAGTTCAGAGTGCTCTTTGATTGCAGGCGAACTATACATCCCAGTACCTACAACCCATATAAATCGTGGTGAATTCTCCCCAAACTTCTCTAGTAGGTTCAGTTGCTGATCAATTCTGCTCTGTTTGTTGTGTGCTGTAGAAAAGAATAGGAAAGGGTTACGGGAGAGGTAGTGGGCGGAGTCATGCAAATTCCACGCCAATGGAGAATAAGAAACACTGGGATGCCTGTGGTGGGAAGTCTTGTGTTTGTGGAGGCAGGAGCACTCCAGCCACATACACACATCAATAGTCTCACTTTTATTATGTGTATAGATAGATAATGTTGTTGTTGTATTATATACTCGTATTATTATTATTATTATTATGTTGCGTTTTAATAAACATCCCCCTTTCTCCTAATATAGGGATCGAATATATGGATTGCAACCAAATTTTTCACTTTGCGGCAACTGAAGTCAACCTGAGTTCGAAGAAAAAAATCAGGACGTTTTAGAGGCCTCTGGAAAAGGGAGATATATATATATATATTTAATTCAGGTAAGAGATGCATTTCTTTTGGAAAGGGAGAGCGTCTCCCTCTATTTCCTTTCGCTCTGGACTTCCTCCAGCTCTTCGCTGCTGCTGCTGCTGCTGCTTCCACTGGATTCGGCCTTCTTCTGATAACTGAAATCTAGGCTGTTGGAAGGAAAAAGGGAAGAAGCAGGGAGGAAATAGATAAATACACAAATAAAAGAAATATCCCAGGTTCCTCTCCTAAACAACAACAACAACAACAATAATAATAATAATAATAATCAGATTTCCTCTCCTAAATGACTATAAATAATAATAATAATAGATACATAGCCAATAATAATAATAATAATAATAGAGACATTTTCCTCTCCTAAATGACTATTAATAATAATAATAATAATAATAATAATAATAATAATAGAGACATAGCCATTTTGAGTCTCCTTCGAGAAAGATAAAACAGGGTATAAATAAATATAATAAAATAATAGATAAATAATAATACTAATAATAATAGAGACAGAGCTGCTTTGAGTCTCCTTCGGGAGAGATAAAGAGGTATTAATAATAATAATAATAATAATAATAGATACATAGCTACTTTGAGTCTCCTTTGGGAGATATAAAGCAGGATATAAATAATAATAATAATAATAATAATAATAATATAATGGGTACATAGCCGCTTTGAGTCTCCTTAAGGAGAGATAAAGTGGGATATAAATACATATAATAATAATATAATGGATGCATACCTGCTTTGAGTCTCCTTCGGGAGACATAAAGCAGGATATAAATATAATAATAATAATAATAATAATAATAATAATAATAATAATAGATATACATAGCTACTTTGAGTCTCCTTTGGGAGATATAAAGTGGGATATAAATACATATAATAATAATAATAATAATATAATGGATACATAGCCACTTTGAGTCCCCTTCGGGAGAGATAAAGTGGGGTATAAATACATATAGCAATACTACTAATAATAGTTGCGCTTGCCTGGATTCGGATTCAGAGGAGGAGGAGGAGCTCCCTTCGCTGCTGCTGCTGCTTCCTTCCTCCTCGCGCAGCTGTGCCAGGACGGTCTTGGCCACATGTGCGGGGAGCTTCCGGCAGCCGCCTTCCCCTTTGGCGGCCCTCTCGATCCGGGCCTTGAGCTCCCGCCGCTTCCTGCGCTCCTCCCGGCCGGTGGCCCCGCGCAAGGCCCGCACGGCCCCGATCCACAGCCCCATCGCCTCCTCGTCACTCGAGTCCCTGCCGGTGGGAAACGCATGCTGGAAAGACCAACCTCCTGCAAGCCTCCTGGACTAGTTATTGGTTATGCATATAATTCAGGTTGCTTACTATACTGTAGATGTGTATATCGGTATGCAGTCTATGAGTTGTGGGAGGGACTGCAGACCATGTGATCCGATCTGGGACTATTCAGGCAGAGACTCCATTTTAGAAGTCTGTGTTGTGTTGTGTGTTGTAGAGTTAATGTTCGTTAGTGGAGAGCATGGACAAACTTTGGCTCTCCAGGTGTTTTGGACTTCAACTCCCACAATTCCTAACAGCCAGTAATAATAATAATAATAATAATAATAATAATAATAAGTAGGTTCTTGTGGGTTTTTTCGGGCTATATGGCCATGTTCTAGAGGCATTTTCTCCTGACATTTCGCCTCCTGACGTTTCACAGTAACTGGTTGTAACTACTTTGAATTAACAGAAAAGCAAAGAACACTGGATTTGCCAAAAAGGCTGATCCCCAAAGGCCCACTGAGCCCGCAGACACTGGTTGTAACCAGTGGTAGTGAGGATGCTTGCCATAGATGCAGGCGAAATGTCAGGAGAAAATGCCTCTAGAACATGGCCATGTAGTCCGAAAAAACCCACAGGAACCTAGTGATTCCAGCCATGAAAGCCTTCGACAATAATAATAATTTTTGTTGTGTCAGGAGCGTTGCTTCTGATGTGAGAGAATTGGCTGTCTGCAAGGACATTGCCCAGGGGACATTGCCTGGATGATTTGATGTTTTTATCATCCTTGTGGGAGGCTTCTCTCATGTCCCCTTTGCATGAGGAGCTGGAGCTGATAAAGGGAGCTCATCTGCGCTCTCCCCGGATTCGAACCTGCGACCTGTCGGTCTTCAGTCCTGCCGGCACAAGGGGGGTTTAACCCACTGCGCCACCGGGGGCTCCAATAATAATAATAATAATAATAATAATAATAATAATAATAATAATGCCTGCTCTATTATAATTATAATTATTATTATTACATAATAATAATAATAATAATAATAATAATAATAATAATGTAATAATAATATAATATAATAATAATAATGCCTGCTCTATTATTATTATATTATATTATTATTACATTATTATTATTATATTATTACATAATAATAATAATGTAATAATAATATAATTATAATAATAATGCCTGCTCTATTATTATTATTATTATTATATTATTATTATTATTATTTAATAATAATAATATAATAATAATATAATAGAGCAGGCATGGGCAAACTATATAAAATGAAATGAAAGCATTTAGGAAGTGCGGGTGAACACTTCCCTATCATAAATATAAATATAATCTAATAAAATCAAAGGGAAGCCTTTAGGGGGTGCGGGCAGACACTTCCCCATCATAAATATTAATTAATATAATAGAAATCTAAAATGAAATGAAAGCATCGAGGAGGTGTGTTAGAACACTTCCTCAGAATAAATATAAATACAGTATAACCCAAGCTGGGGAAAAGGGCAGAAAGTGGGCCTACACTTCCTCGTCCATGTCGCCCTGGAAGGTGAGGGGAGCCATGCAGACGGAGCAGGTGTTGTTCAGGTACTGATAGCAGCCGGAGCAGTAGATCCCTGTCCAGGTGAAAACGGGTTGGATAGGTTTAGTAATAATAATAATAATAATAACAACAACATTTCTCCTTCCCATTCGGCTCAGCCAAAAGCAAATGGTCGCAGCTTCCTTTACGCTTAACAAACTGGGGCAGTATGACCTTTGACCCCCCCCCCCTTTTAGGCGCCGGACCTTGGCAGGAGGGGGTGCTGCAGGTCACAAAGTCCTCGCTGGCCTCTCCGTCCCGGATCTTCCCGCAGCCCATGCAGTACGAGGCGTGGACGCCCAGCTTCTTTGCTAGCCACTTGCAGATGGGGAACCTGTTTGGTAGACGACACGCTGTTAGGCAGGAAGGCATTGGCGGTAACCCCATCTTGTAAGACTGGTAAAAGGCAGTTCCAAAAGGGTCAGAAAAATAGCAGATACAAAAATAGCAATAATCCAAAAAGGGCAAAGTACATAAAGTCAAGAGTGCCGAAATCCACGGCGATACTTCAAACAGAAATCCGTAAACAAGACAGGAGAGCCAACACCACTTAATTTAAGCCCGACCAAGTAGCCATGAGATCATGCCGAACGCACCTGGGCTTCAAGGTCTTCTCACAGATTCCCTCAGAACATCAAATTAGTCTATTTTTCACTCCCTCCATTCTCAAGCCTAATCTGGCTTCCTGGGAAAACTCCCATTGCCCGAAGGCCGTTCCCCAAGAAAACTAATTTCACCATCCCTGGTTGCCTGGTCATGAGCATAGGAATGCAAAACATCATCCTCAACTGCCCGCAATTCTCTCCCAGCACTGACAGACTCATCACTTTGAAACCCATCAAACCCCTCGTCCTCCAACGAGTCAGAAAAATCCTCTGCCGCTTGCTGAGCTACAACACCATGGCCTTGTCTCGAGACCGAGATACCCAGGATGCACAACTCCAATGCGAGAAGAGGCCCTCCGAGGCTCGTATGGGTCTTACTTGGCGGCAAAGATGAGGAGGATGTTCTGGTGGCCTCCGTCTGCCGACCGGTGCCGAATGGCCTTCATGATGGCCGAGGCCAAGCCGGTCCGCCGGGTCAGGATGGTGTTGTAGAGGTAGGAGATGCGCTCCTGGGAGGAAAGGACAACGAAGAGCCATCGGCCTTACACAAGACCCTATCCTGACATAAAAAGGAGATGTAGTATGGATCTGCTCACTCACTCGTTCGCGGGAGGGATAGTACCAGGCGCAGACGACACGCTGCAGGCGCTGGATGTAGACTCCAAAGATGGCCGTGAAGAAGCAGATGCCGTACAGGATGCCTGGAGGCACACATAGACACACAACTATATGTACATACATACATATACATACCTGCACATAAACATATACACATAACTATATATATATACCTCTATATACTCACACACACTTACACACACTACTGTATAAACATAAATATATGTACCTACCCACACACATACACACATAACTTATTTCTCGTGTCAGGGCAGCCAGTCAAATATATTACATTTCTAACAGAACAAAGCAAACAAACAGAGAAAATACAAAATGTGTGAGTTTGGTAGTTGATGAAATGTCCTTTGACCAGTATCTGGCCCCTTGGAGTGTGTCTGGTGTTGCCGCAAGAAGGTCCTCCCTTGTGCATCATGTGACAGGGCTCAGGTTGCATTGCAGCAGGTGGTCAGTGGTTTGCTCTTCTTCTCCACACTCGCATGTCGAGGATTCCACTGTGTGGCCCCATTTCTGAAGGTTGGCTCTGCATCTCGTGGTGCCAGAGCGCAGTCTGTTCAGCGCCTTCCAAGTTGCCCCGTCTTCTGTGTGCCCAGGGGGAGTCTCTCATCTGGTATCAGCCATTGGTTGAGGTTCTGGGTTTGAGCCTGCCACTTTTGGACTCTCGCTTGCTGAGATGTTCCAGTGAGTGTCTCTGTAGATCTTAGAAAACTATTTCTAGATTTAAGTCATTGATGTGCTGGCTGATACCCAAACAGGGGATGAGCTGGAGATGTCTCTGCCTTGGCCCTTTCACTGTTGGCTGCTCCTTCCCGGCGGATGTCAGGTGGTGCAATACCGGCTAAGCAGTGTCATTTCTCCCTTTGGTGTAGGGCGCAGGCACCCCGTGATAATGTGACATGTCTCATTAAGAGCCACATCCACTGTTTTAGCGTGGTGAGATGTGTTCCACGCTGGGCATGCATACTCAGCAGCAGAGTAGCACAGCGCAAGGGCGGATGTCTTCACTGTGTCTGGTTGTGATCCCCAGGTTGTGCCAGTCAGCTTTCGTATGATATTGTTTCTAGCACCCACTTTTTGCTTGAGGTTCAGGCAGTGCTTCTTGTAGGTCAGAGCACGGTCCAGAGTGACTCCCATGTACTTGGGTGCGCTGCAATGCTCCCGTGGGATGCCTTCCTTCCCAGGTAATAATCGTCCGAGCTCGGGATGCTTCTCTGTTCTTGAGATGAAAGGCACATGTCTGTGTTTTAGATGGATTAGGGATCAGCTGGTTTTCCCTGTAATAGGCAGTAAGGGCAGCTAGAGCTTCGGAGAGCTTCTGTTCTACCACCTTAAAGCTCCTTGCTTGAGTGGTGATGGCACGATCATCAGCATAGATGAATCTCTCTGTCCCTTCTGGCAGTGGCTGGTCATTTGTGTCGATGTGGAACATGTATACACATAACTGTATATACATAACAATATATACATACAAGCATAACCACCTAGAGACCGATCTAACCCCTCCCTCTCACCGAGGACGGCGTATCCGTGGTAGTCGGGCTCGGAGGGGCGCAGGAGGCAGCGGTGGGAGAGGACGCTGACGTTTCCTTGCTGCAGCACCGAGAAGGAGGAGACCATGTCCCGGTACATCTCTCCCGAGTAGCCGGACCCTTCCACGTCCACCGTCATGGTCACTGGGGCTGGAAAGGGGGGGGCATAAGGGGTCCGCCTGACCATCAGCGTGGGTCTGAATGGTTCGGAGCCTGGCCCCCCGCGACCCCTGACCTTCCCTCACCTCTCGCGACGACCTCCCCTTGCAGCTGATAACGCACCAGGTCAAAGAGCCAGAAGATGGAGTAGTCGGCCGCGATGAGGAGGATGACCACCATCATCTGCCGGCAGATGGAGACCAGGGACAAGGCGTAGCGGAGCTGCTCCTTCCGGGGCAGGGTCAGCGAGGCTGAGGGGCAGGAGGAGGGCAACGCACTGTTCGAGGGGGTTTGGGGCAGGATCCGGTCCCGAAGCGGACGAATAGACAGAGGGACAGGTCCTACTTACCGGGGCGGATGTAGCGGCCGCTCTCCTTGGACGAGAGCGGCAGGACGGTGGGCCTCTTGAGCCTCCGGCGCATGGCGTCCATCTCCAGGAAGGGCCTCGTGATGTAGATGTTGTCGTAGCCGTCGTCCTGCAAGTAGCGCTTCCGGTACATCAAGGCCCTGTTCGGAGTTGGAAAGAGACTTGGGGAAAGCAGCTCGTTTGGTGAGATGGGCTGGATGGTCTCTAGGGGCCCCTCCCCACAGTTCTTTCTATGCTGGAGAATGGGTGCAGTGGGTGACGCCACAGCTCAGTACTGTGGGACCGTGGGGTGTGTTTTGGGGCCCTCACTTGATGTAGACGAAGAGGATGATGAAGGAGGAGACGTAGCCGAACATCCCGATGGCCTCCCTGGCCGGCTGCAGGCGGTTGCCCACGTCCTCCATGATGTCGGCGGCCACCTGCGAGAGGCTCTTGCTGGCGTTGACCGTCACGTCGTAGGTGTTGATGGTGGTCAGGTTGAACTCGAACTCGCCCCGGATGCGCTTCAGGACGCCCACAATGGCTGCGGACAGGAACACCACACGCACAAACGTGAAAGGAGGCCGGAATCCGCCAAGACATGCGCTTCCACTCCTTGGCAAAGACGAGATTTCTGGATTTGCTAATTCCCAGTCTGTTTGCTCCACAATAACTGGCAAAGCAATATAGTAAGTGGGTTGTTGTAGGGTTTTTTCGGGCTATATGGCCATGTTCTCGAGGCATTCTCTCCTGACGTTTCACCTGCATCTATGGCAAGCATCCTCAGGTCTGTTGGAACTAGGAAAAGGGGTTTATATATCTGTGGAATAATGACCAGGGTGGGACAAAGGACTCTTGTCTACTGGAGGGAAAACAATCAGGGACAGCTAATCACCTCTCAACAAAAGATTGCTCCAGGCACTGTCGGGCTATCAAATGGTAATCAAGGTGGTCAGTTGAAACATTCACACCTAGCTGCAGTAGACAAGAGTCCTTTGTCCCGCCCTGGTCATTCCACAGATATATAAACCCATTTTTCTAGTTCCAACAGACCTCACAACCTCTGAGGATGCTTGCCACAAATGCAGGTGAAACATCAGGAGAGAATGCCTCTAGAACATGGCCACGAAGCCCGAAAAAACCTACAACAACCCAGTGATTCTGGCCATGAAAGCCTTCAACAATATAGTAAATGTTTGAGACCAATACTAGATAAGGACAACAGCACAGGGTCATCTGCATACAAGAATGAGGGAAGATGTGGTATCCCGCCTCGAGCCGTGAGGGAGAAGCGGGTAAGAAATAAAATTATTATTAATATGGGTTGACTTAAGGTCAGGGGAGAACCTTGACCTTGACGTATGGGTTGGATGTATCTTGGGACTATGAGCATTCACCAATTGCAGGGAAATAAATGGATTGCAGTCGGGGCCAGTACGCAGCCTTGCTTGACCCGACTTGTTGTTCTCATTCTAGCAGTTAACTGACCTTCCTCAGAGCATCTAATTAGTGTACAATTGCCTCATTAGAAACAAAAGTCTAGGGTCAACGCCCAATACTCACGTTCGGCCACTTTTTGGCGCAGGAACGGGACAATGTAGTTGGGGATGATGCAGAAGACGAGGAGGACTGCCGGGAAGAAACAAGGCCAGCGTGAGGAGAGCGGTCTCGTCCCGCCACGGCCCCTGTGGCCACTTGGCCGGGCAGGACTGACCGCTAGTCAAGGACAAGACAATGCATTCAAAGACAATGCACTCAGGGTTCCTTAGCTGTTTGTGCTTGGAGTCATCGCCCATTCATAGCACTCTGAAACCAAGTGAGATGTGGGTCAAGCGGCCAAAGGAAGAGGTGTCCTTTCTCAAGAGCCCTCCCTCCGGCGGTCAGGGGTCCACTCACGGTTGGCCAGGCCGCAGAGGTACTTGAAGAGCAGGACGACGTAGCAGAAGATGAAGAGCAAGGGCACGACCCGCATGCACTCGTCCTTGGCCTTCTCGAAGAGGGCCACGCACTTCTTGTAGGGGGCCCCCATCTCCAGGTTGCAGATCTCCCCCAAATGCACCAGCCAGTACCAGACGTTGCGCAGGCAGCGGGCTGCGAGGGAAGCCCGAGGGCCCGGGAAACAGAACGCAGCTCATCATATATAATATAATACGTTTGTAACTCGGGGATGACCCCGTCCATACTTTCCCGTCTCAGCGCACCCTCCGCCTTCCCCTTTCCCCCCATTTGCTTCTGAAATGTCCCCGTTTCTCTCTTCCTTCCCCCTTGGTCCTCGCCTTCCTTCGCTGCCAACCCCACTTGAGGCTCACCGACGTGATTGACGGCGTCCATGACGGAGCTGAAGAGTTTCCGCACGCGGTCGCCCACCACTTTGGCCTTCCGCGCGATGTCCTTGATCTTCTGCAAGGCGTCTGGGCAGCGGGCACAAAAGGGACACCCCGCCTCAGACAGACAGCTCCGCCTCCCTTGGTTTGTTTGTTTAAACTATAGAGCCATTTGCGGCTGAGTCCCCCTCCCTCCCTTCCTTCCTTCCTTCCTTCCCTCCTTCCTTCCTTCCTTCCTTCCTTCCCTCCCTCCCTCCCTCCTTCCTTCCTTCCTTCCTTCTCCAAAAAACTATAAGATGGAGATCACTGCAGCTCCGCTCTTCTCTCTTCCCTTCTTTCTCCGAAGGATACTGTTTACAAAACCTGGAATTGAGTTCTTTGGCGGAAGGAGGAAGGAGAGAAGAGGGGAGCAGAAGAAAGGAAGGGAGGGAGGGAGGCTGGCTCAGCCCCAGGTAGCTCTGCGACCGTTATGCAAGGAACACAAAAATACTGGATTTGTCAGGTGCGACAATGACATGGCGGCGACCTTTATGTGAGGAAATATGGTGGTCGGATTAGGACACTTACACTTGGGGCTCAGGCGTCAGTGGTGGCCGGGAGGGCCTTTGCTCAATTAAGACTCGTGCGCCAACTGCGACCGTACCTCGTGAAGGCTGATCTGGCCTTGGTCACTTCCAGATTGGACTACTGTAATGCACTCTCCGTGGGGCTTCCCTTGAAAACAGCCCGGAAATTTCAATTGGTCCAGTGGACGGCGGCCAGGTTGTTAACTGGTGCTCCTTACAGGGAGCGGTCAACCCTCCTGTTTAAGGAGCTCCACTGGCTGTCGTTCATTTTCCGGTCCCAATTCAAGGTGCAGGTACTTACCTGCAAAGCCCTAAACAGTTTGGGACCCGCCTACCTGTGTACGAGCCCACACGATCTCTTCGATCATCTGGAGAGGCCCTGCTCGCGCTCCCACCTGCATCGCAGGCGCGATTGTTGGGGATGAGGGACAGGGTCTTCTCGGTGGTGGCCCCTCGACTCTGGAACTCCCTCCCCAAGGACATCAGGCATGCCCCAACGCTGGCACTCTTTAGAAGGAGCTTGAAAACGTGGTTGTTCCAGTGTGCCTTCCCAGAATAAGGAAACTCTAAACAATATGCCCCAAATGCACTTTACTAGAGATCTAGAATGGCCTGCACGCCCCACCTATCCCTAAAATATCTATCCTATTTCACCTGATCATGCCCAACATTTTTAAAGATGTTAAGTACTACATTTGGCTCTGCCACTGATTTTAATGCGCCGCGGTGTTATTGTTTATGTTTTTTTGCTTTGTTTATGAGTTTTTTTTATTATTGTACTGTTGTTGTTGTGTTTTACTGATGTATTTGGGCTCGGCCTCTTGTAAGCCGCACCGAATCCTTCGGGAGATGGTAGCGGGGTACAAATAAAGGTTTACTATTATTATTATTATTATTATTATTATTATTTGGGGCTCCATCTCCCCGACTCCCCCAAAGGCCCTTTCCCAGCCCGTGTCCGTCTCGCTCCTCACTCACTCAGGAGGGGTTGCTTGGCGCGCTGCACCATCTCGGCTGTCTGGTTGAGGGCGAGTTCGGCGCCGCAGCAAACGGCCTCCGCGCTGCGCGTGAAGTTGCGCAGGATGTTGGTGAAGGGCCCTTCTATGGCCAGGCAGAAGGCCAGGAACAGCAGCATCGTCTTGCCCTCGCCTGCAGGGGGTACACAACGGCCAGCGGGAAGGCAAGAGTTATTTGTGTCGTTTTCAAGATTGCGCTCTCGCCCTGAGATTCCTCCCAGTTGCCGTTGGGCAGACACGGGACAACATCGGCCCTCTCTCCCTCCACGTGGTTTGGATTCCAACTCCCACAAGGCCTAATAGATAGATAGATAAGGAACCCCCAAAGGTCATCAATAGCAATCTCCTTGATGTTATTATTATCATACATAATAGAATGATGTACCTCAGAGAAGCCTACCTTCAGATCCCGGGTAAATTGATGATACAGAGGCCTACCTTCAGGTCCCAATAGATAGATACATATGACTTCTTAAGCATCTACATCAGGTATGAGAAAACTTCAACCCACCCTCCAGGTGTTTTGTGCTTCAACTTGCACAATTCCTAACATCCTATCTATTAAAAATCCAATGAATGTTATCAAAAGCCTTCTCTGCATCCAAGAACATCAACCCTCCTTGCTGTTCTTTATGCCCCTGTAAATATTCCATAGCATAATATATCAAATATTTGTCAGGTAGGGAAATGCTGTATTAGATAGATATGCATTGCATGTAACTCTATTATGATAAAAATACAGTTCTAATGGACATGTGTTCACAGCACAGCCCACTGAAACAGGTAAGAGAGTGGAGATGTGATCCTAGAGGGACAGCTGAGTCATTTCCTGTGGTCCTGGGGGAGGGGAGAATGGGAGTGGCTTGTTTGTGCACTTCCTCTTTGCCATGATCTCTCTGCATCCGTAATCCGTTGCCCTCCTCATTGTGCGAGTGTCTTGCTATGGCTGTATTTCAGCTATAAATAGTTGTGTGTAGCAACGACTGAAGAATCAACCTCCGAAGGAGTTTGGATCAAACCCAGAGCTCAAGTGTGTTTATTCAAACTGGTGTGCTACTTGTGGTATGAAATCTCTGCTAACAGTGACCAAGACTCTGCAGTATTTTGGGGATCGGAACTACCTGCTTGCCTTGGAGACAGTCTGTCCCATTGCACAGCTGGAAGAGGCCGTGAGAGGATTGACTTAATGTGCATTTACTCTCCCTTCTGCCCCCCTTGACAATATTCCAGCCACTCACGGGAGAAGACCTGCGGCATGGTGAGCAGGACGGTGGCCCGGACCTTGCGGGAGAAGGCCAAGCCCAGGGCCAGGCTGAAGGCCAGCGTCAGGGTGGACATCAGGCAGTACCAGATGTTGTATCCCTGGGCGAAGATGACCACCGCCCCGTAGGCCCCCGCCAGCACCAGGCCCAGCGTGAAGCCCCCCACGCTGCGCACCAAGGCCCGCCCCTGGCTCTCCTCCAAGGACGCCGGGATCTTCTCATCCTCGGCCGCCCGCTTCCGCCGGCCCTTCTGCAAGGAGGCCTTCACCCGCTGCGGGGAGAGGTTGGCCAGGAGGCCCATGGCCCAGGGAGGGAGGGACAATGGGGGCCCACCCTCAGCCCCGCCCACCACCTGCCAGGTTCTGAGCTGGACCTGCCCTTCAGCCCCGCCCACATTCCAGCCGGGCCCCACCCCCATTCTAAGATGGCCCCTCCCATTGTCCTCCATGGCATCTGGCCCCACCCACATTCCAGGCAGGCCCCACCCCTTGCCTTTAGCCCCACCCACATTCTAAGCTGCCCCCTTCTTTTTTTCTTGAGGGAGTTCCTCCCGACATCTAGCCCCACCCACATTCCGGCCAGGCCCCGCCCCATGCCTGTAGCCTCACCCACATTCTGAATAGGCCCCACCCACATTCTAAGATAGCCCTGCCCTTTGTTCTTGGTATCTAACCCCCACCCACATTCCAACCAGACCCCACCCATCTCTAGTCCCACCCACATTCTGAATAGGCCCCACCCACATTCTAATATGGCCCCTCCCCTTTCCTCTTTGTCCCTTCTGGCATCTAGCCCCACCCACATTCTGGCCAGGCCCTGCCCCTTGTCTCTAGCCTGTCAGTCTTGGCACTTTGTATCCGGATGAGGCTCCGCCCTGAGATGCTTACAGCCCCTCCCACATTTCACTGTCTCCGCCCCTTTTTCTGAAGTTCCTTCGTCTTGCTGCCCTGCCTGCGTTCTGACGAAACCCCACCCCTTGCATCTAGCCACGCCCACTTCCCAAGAAGTCCCGCCCCTTGTTTCTGAGATCCTGCCAGTCTTGGCAACTAGCTCCACCCACATTCCAGCCAGGCCCCGCCCCTTGCTTTTAAGCCCACCCACACCCTGCCTTGTGAGGAATTGTGGGAGTTGAAGTCCAAAACAACCCACCAAGGCGCTAGAACTCATTGGCTGCTTTTATTATCTTTCCAAAACGGAGGGGAGGGCGCGCACGCGGCTGGGGTCAATGGCGGGAGGTGCGCTCGTCCTCCTCGTTCTCCAGTTCGTAGGCCGGCCGGTAGCTCTCTCGCCCGCGGGCGTCGGTGTAGCGCAAGGCAGGGTTCTTCTTGGTGTTGCTCATGCTCCCCAAGGACGTGTACCTGAAGGCGGGGGGGGGGGGGAAGAGGGAAAGGGTTGCATGCCTTGAGTGGGGCCACCCAGGCTAAGGATGTCTCCAGGCTAAGGATGTCTCCATTCAGAGGGGAACAAAGGCCAGGCTACTACTATGATGATGATGATGATGATGTCTCCAGGCAGGAAGCAATCAAGGGCCAGTGAGCCCCACCCAGGCTAAGGATGTCTCCAAAGGAGCAATCAATTCAGAAGGAAAGAAGGGCAGGCTACTTCTATAATAATAATAATAATAATAATAATAATAATAATAATAATATGTCTCCAGGCAGAGAGCAATCTAGCACTAGTGAACACTAATAATAATAATAATGTTAAACACATAGAATCATAGAATCCTAGAATTGGAAGAGACCTCATGGGCCTTCATCCAGTCCAACCCCATTCTGCCAAGAAGCAGGAATATTGCATTCAAAGCACCCCCCACAGATGGCCATCCACCCTCTGCTTAATAATAATAATAATAATAATAATAATAATAATAATAATAGAATCCTAGAGTTGGAAGAGACCTCATGGGCCATCCAGTCCAACCCCATTATGCCAAGAAGCAGGAATATTGCATTCAAATCACCCCTGACAGATGGCCATCCAGCCTCTGTTTAAAAGCTTCCAAAGAAGGAGCCTCCACCACACTCCGGGGCAGAGAGTTCCACTGCTGAACAGCTCTCATAGTCAGGAAGTTCTTCCTAATGTTCAGATGGAATCTCCTTTCTTCTAGTTTGAAGGCATTGTTCCACATCCGAGTGTCCAGGGCAGCAGAAAACAAGCTTGCTCCCTCCTCCCTGTGGCTTCCTCTCACATATTTATACATGGCTATCATCACATCTCCTCTCAGCCTTCTCTTCTTCAGGCTAAACATGCCCAGCTCCTTAAGCCGCTCCTCATAGGGCTTGTTCTCCAGACCCTTGATCATTTTAGTCGCTCTCCTCTGGACACATTCCAGCTTGTCAATATCTCTCTTGAATTGTGGTGCCCAGAATTGGACACAGTATTCCAGGTGTGGTCTAACCAAGGTGGAATAGAGGGGTAGCATTACTTCCCTGGACCCAGACACTAGGCTCCTCTTGATACAGGCCAAAATCCCATTGGCTTTTTTTGCCGCCACATCACATTGTTGGCTCATGTTGAACTTGTTGTCCACGAGGACTCCAAGATCTTTAATAATAACTTGTAATAATAATAATAATAATAATAGCTTGGCCTTTGTTCCCTTGCCTGGAGACATCCTTAGCCTGGGTGGTGCTCACTACCTCTTGATGGCCATCTGTTGGGGGGGCTTTGATGGTGCCTTCCCTGCCTGGCAGGAGAAAGGGGGTTGGACTGCATGGCCTCTGGGGGTCCTTTCCAACTCTGTGAGTCTTCTCTATGTCTTATGGGGAAAGGGGTTGGACTGGATGGCCTTCTTTGGGTCCCTTTCCCCACCCTATGAGGCCTTGTTGATTGAGTCGGTCCCCTGCCTTGAGAGAAAACACGAAGCCTTCCTACCCTTTGTCGTAAAGGATGCAGTAAGGGACGTAGAGGCTGCGGAGGAAGGTCCATATGTCCCGGTAGGTCCAGTCCTGTGGGGCAGAAAGCAGAGAGACCTCAATCGGACGATGCCCAGGCTTGTACCCCCCTCGGGACGGCCCTCAGAGCCCGACTGACCAGGAGGGGGTTGACCCTCATGTAGGGGGGCCAGCCGGGGTCCGTGGGGCTGAAGGCCGACAAGGTGCAGGAGTAGGGGTCCGTGCGGCGCGTGCCCATCAGGACGGCCTCCAGCTCCGGGTGCTGGGCCTTCAGGTCCCCCAGCGCCTCCCTGATGTTCCCGTGGACGTCGCAGACCTGGAGGTTGTACCTGCCGGAGGATGGGAAGAAGCTCTGTCAGGACGACCCGAAAGTAAGGAACGTCGTAATGCTCACGGCGCTTCTGAATCAGGCCTGGGCCATCTTTGACCCTCGCTCCAGGCCGCTCTTGGGTCTATCGCTCTCTCAGCTTAGCCATCGGAACCTGAAGGTAGGCCTCTCTTAGATCTATTATTCTCCCGTCTTATTTATCGAGACCTGAAGGTAGGCTCTCTCAGGTCTATCCCTCTATCATCTAGCTTATGCGGCTGAGGGGGAAAAGGAAAGGGCCTGAGGCTGTGAGGAATGGTGTGAGTTGGAGTCCAAAACACCTGGAGCGAGGGCCCAAAGATGGCCCAAGCCTGCTTCTACACACTAAATATGGAATATTTAAAAAGCAAATGGATTTCTGATACGTTACAACATGCAACTAGAGCCCTGGTGTCACTGCAGAACTGACAAAGAGAGGACAAAAGAAGGGAACGTTGGCTGAACTTTGCGCATGCTCAAATGTTCCGACGATAAAACTGCGGGGTGGGAAGGGCGGGGTAAAAATGCTGTAAGTAAATAATTAATTAATTAATAAATAGATGTTCCGCAAGATCTAAAGCAAAGACTGAGAGGGTGACTCCCACCGTTGCGCCGTGTCTCGGATGAACTCCTCCATCTCCGGGAAAGGGGAGACGGTGCGGATGTAGAGCGCCTTCAGCTTCTCCGTCCTCCCCGGGTGTCTCCTGGGTGGGAAGGAGAGCACAGGAAGGACCTCTTTCAATGGGGAAGCCGCAGGGCTGGCCATTGGGGCCTTGAGCACAACACCGGCCCTAGAGAGGCAGGGCCAGAACGACCCTCCGGTCAAGTAGGGCAAATGTCATATCCAGGGTGTCAACATAGAGATAAGCATGCACGCAGAGAGATAACAGGGCCTCACCGTGTGCTTACTCTCGCTCTCCCGCCCTGAACGTCTTGAGTAACTAATTGTGAATAAATAATTTGGAACAATAATAAACAATGAACCGCAAAGGGCTCTTGGCAGAGATAGAGAGCTCCAGTGTGCTTGATTGAAGAAGCACAGAGGCAGGGGAACAGCAGAGAAGCGCAACTGCTTCAAAAACGCATGTCTCAGATCCAACTGCTCAGGATCTAGAGGCTTCTGATTCCAGGGACGAGGCCGACAGACTATGCTTCCCATTATCCCCAGTCATGACCCCATTATCTGGGATGCCCCTCTCTCATGAAAGAGGGTGGCAAAGGGAGGGAGCGAGGGAAGGAAGGGGGCTCACTTCTGGACGGCCGCGTGGAAGAGGTGGAGCAGGGCGGTGCAGTCCTTGCCCCCGTTGAAGCCCACGCACAGCCCCGAGAAGGGGTAGCGGTCCAAGGCCTCCTCGATGGTGCGGACGGCGGCTGCCACTTTCTGGCCGAGAGGGGACCCTGCGGGGAAGGAGCAAGGAGCATCGGCCCAAAAGCAACACTGGGTTGCCCTCCTCTCTATGATCGTTGCCATGACCTCCTACCTGGCAACATTCTCAGTTTCACCTCTCAAGTCCCCCAGGAACCACGTCCCACACCAAAGAGAGCCACCTACCGGACTCCGCCAATGCAGACACGTCCTCGGCCGCTCGGGAGACAGGGTCGGTCACCACAGGCACCACAGCCTCCTTGGGCAGCGCCTCCATCAGGTGCGCGTAGGCCTCCTCCAGGTCTGCCTCGGAGTCGGAGTCCAGGGTGAGCTTGACCCGGAAGTAGTTGCTGGCCCAGTCCGGGTAGGAGCCCAGGCTGGTGCGCCGCCCAAAGCTGGCCTGGGCGCGGTCCAGGAGGGGCGCCAGTTGGGCCTCGTCGGCATCCAGGTAGATCTCCCGGGAGCGGAAGCGGGTCTCTTTGTTGAGGAAGAGGTGGCCCAGCCCCTCGAGGGCCCGACGCATCAGGGACGGGACGCCGGGGAAGACGTAGACGTTGCGGACGCTGACCAGCGGGAAGGGCAGCCTCTGGCCGGTGGCCTTGTCCACGCCGTAGTGGAGGAGGGCGGAGGGGGGCAGGCGGGCCAGCTTGGCAGCCCCGGAGCCGGCGGCCTCCGACCGGCCAAAGAAGCGCTCCACCAGCGCCTCCATCTCCGGGTGCGGGGTGGTCCGCTCCCCAAAGGCCTGGGCCACCGCCTCGAAGGTGACGTCATCATGTGTTGGGCCGACACCCCCCGAGGTCAGGACGAAAGAGAACCGGGCGGAGAAGGAGGAGACCTCCCCTGCGATGGCCGCCACGTCGTCCGGCACCACCGAGATCCTGGCCACGCGGACACCCAGCGAGCGCAGCACCTTGCACATGAAGGAGGAGTTCGTGTCCTGCGTGTAGCCCTAAGGAGAGCGAGGGAGGCCGGCCGGGAGAGAGAGAGAGGGGATCAGGGCCCGAAAGGACAGGTCGGAGGAGAGAGAGAAAGAGGGGCCAAAACAGAATTGAGAACAACACCAAGGGAATAATAACAATAACAATGAGGTAAATATTTCCCCTTGACCTTAAGTCTAGTTGTGACTCTGGGACTCATCTCCATTTCTAATCTGAAGAGTGGGCATTGTCCGTGGACACCTCCAAGGTCATGTGGCCAGCATGACTCCATGGAGTGCCCATTCTCTTCCCGCAGAAGCGGTACCTATTGATGGTCTAGTACGATATAGCCATATATAATACTGATATTGTGCTATGCTAATAATATATTGTATGTATATATATCTTGTACCTTCGGGGTGAGAAGGGTGGCATATAAATGTTGCAAATAAATAAATAAATACTTCAACTCAAACAATTCCTATCAGCCTATCCCAAACACCTGGAGGGCCGAAGTTGGCCCGCCCACTCTGTTTGTAATCTTCCATCATTTTAGTTGTGGAGCCCCCGATGGGTGGCGCAGTGGGTTAAATCCTTGTGCCGGCAGGACTGAAGACCGACAGTTCGTAGGTTCGAGTCTGGGGAGAGGCAGATGAGCTCCCTCTATCAGCTCCAGCTCCTCGTGCAAAGGGGACATGAGAGAAGCCTCCCACAAGGATGATAAAACATCAAATCATCCAGGTGTCCCCTGGGCAACGTCCTTGCAGATAGCCAAATCTCTCACACCAGAAGCGACTTGCAGTTTCTCAGGTCGCTTCTGACACGACCAAATTTTTTCAGTTGTGCTTGCTTATTGTATACCTGCTGTTGTTTGCATTTTATTTGGTGTTATTACCTGTTTGTTGCATGTTACTTTGTGGCATTGTAACTCTTGGGCTTGGCCTCACGTTATTATTATTATACGTACAACTCTACATGGGGTTGCCCTTGAAGACTGTTCGGAAACTTCAACTAGTCCAACGAGCGGCAGCCAGATTGCTCACCGGAGCGACATACAGGGAGCACACCACCCCCCTGCTGTGTCAGCTCCACTGGCTGCCGGTTCAGTTCCGAGCACAATTCAAGGTGCTAGTTTTGACCTACAAAACCCAGTACGGTTCCGGTCCAGTGTATCTGTCCGAACGCATCTCCCTCTACGTCCCACCCCGGAGTCTGAGATCATCTGGGGAAGCCCTGCTCTCGACCCCACCGCTATCACAAGTGAGGTTGGTGGGGACGAGGAGCAGGGCCTTCTCAGTGGTGGCCCCTCACCTGTGGAATTCACTCCCCGGGGAAATTAGGTCATCGACATCCCTCCTCTCCTTCAGGAGGAAGGTAAAGACGTGGTTGTGGGACCAGGCCTTTGGGCAATCTGACAACTAGACAAGGACAACCAGACGAATAGGACTGACAGGACTGACAATGTGGAATTGGAATTTGGACTATGAGATAGCGAACGCTGACTGTCTATGTGAGGAGTAATTGGGTTTGTATTTTTTTATTGGTTTTATGGTTGTAATGCAGGAATTGTTGTTTAACTGTTTAATGGATGTTATTTTGTGTTACTACTGTGATGTGATGCTGGCATCGAATTGTGCCTTTGTAAGCCGCCCTGAGTCCCCTTCGGGGTGAGAAGAAGGGCGGAGAAGAAGAAACCGAAATAAATAAATAATAAAAATAAAATATTCTTATTTGCCCATGACTGGGCTAGATGGTCTTGGGAAGAGCCGCCTTCTACAAGCCTCCTAGACTAGTTATTTGTCACGTGTATTATTCTTGTTGTTTATAAGTGATTTATATTCATTGTATTGTTTTATTTGCTTATTGCTTTTTGTTATTGATGTGTTGTTGGGCTCGGCCTCATGTAAGCCGCTCCGAGTCCCCTTGGGGAGAGAGATGGTGGCAGCGGGGTATTAATAAAGTTTTATTTATTTATTATTATTATTCAGATTGTTTACTGTATTGTATATGTGTATCTTGACTTTTCCTTATAATATTACAATATAGTGGTATGCTGCAATGTTTAATGCTGATATTGTACTATGCTAATAATGTAATATATTGTATGTAATATATACTTTTCGGGGTGAGAAGGGCGACATACAAATGTAAATAAATAAATAGTTATTTATCACGTGTATGATTCAGATTGTTTACTGTATTGTGTACGTGTGTCTTGTCTTTTCCTTGACTCTGTGCGGTGGGCGGGGCTGCAGTCCACGTGACCCGCTCTGGGCCTGTTCAGGACTCAGACTCGGGCCAGAGAGATGGAGTCTCTGCCCAGAGAGGCCACTTCCGGCTCACCTTCAAGATCTCGTCGCCAATGATGATGATCCCGGCGGTGACGTCGCCGCCCTCGCCCTCCCCCTCTGTCCCGGAAGTGACGCCATCTCTCCGCGCGGCCATGGCTGGCCCCCTCCCGCAGAGGCCCCTCACGAGGGCCAGGCTCCTGCGCAGGCGCATCCGCAGCGGCGCGGCCCTCAGCCTGCGGAGAGACAAAGGGAGGGAGGGAGGAAGGGACGCGGCCGGGTCGCTCTTAAGGCGCTCTGCACACGCTCAGGGGCCAAGCCCCAGAAATCCCACCCTACCCACAATACCAACACCGGCGGCGTCCCCTTTAAGAGCTCTCCCCGCTCACCTGCCGCTCCCTCCGCCCGTTAGTTCCGCTTCCCCGACCTCCCTTCCCTCCCATTGGCCAAGCCGGGAGAGGGGCGGGAATAACGGGGGCAAAGTCCGAATCCGATTGGCCGTAGTCCCCGCCCCCTAGCGGGCCTGTACGTCAGACGAGGTTGACTGACGCTCTGGGACTACAACTCCCGGCGGCCTTTGCGCCTGGAAATAAGGTGAAATAGGTGGAATGAATTTGAAAGGGGCACTTGAGGGCCTGCGCATGCGTCTGCTAAGCGGACGGGGAACGAACGTTGCACTGCGCAGGCGTAGAACTGACTTCGCGCCGGAAGTGACGCCACGGCGCTTTCTCTACTTCCTCTCCCACCCAAGATGGCGCCGCCCGAGAAGCCGCTCCGCCTGTGAGTGAGGGAAGGGAAGCGCCCAGGAAAGGTAGGCGGGCGGGCGGGCGGGCGAGCGGGCCCTCATGACGGTTCTCCTCTCTGTCTCGGTCTCCCGGCAGGCTGGTGTGCGGCGACGTGGAGGGCCGCCTGGGGGCGCTCTTCGCCCGCGTCCGCGCCGTCCAGAAGAAGAGCGGGCCCTTCGAGGTAGGCAGGCGCGCGACGTCACTTCCGCCCTGCTCCTGCCCGCCCGCGCATGCGCCCTCTCCTCACGCCTCTCCGCCTTTCCCCGCAGCTCCTGCTCTGCGCCGGAAGCTTCTTCGGCTCCGCCCGCGACCCCGAGTGGGAGGACTTCCGGGGCGGGGCCAAGAAGGGTGAGTGAGTCGCCATGGCAACGAAGTCTCTAGCAAGACAAGGCAGTCATCCTAGGATAATAATAATAATAATAATAATAATAATGTGAAACATACAATATTGTATAATAATATAATAATATATAAATATGTAACAGTGTAGAAAAACAGTAATATATATATATATATATATAAATATATAAATATTATAATAGCATATAATATGATAATACTAGAATAATAATAAGTAATACACAATAATATAATGATACAATAATGATAATACTAATGCTGCAATAATATACAATCATTACATAGAACAGTATATAATACTATGCAATATATAATATTATATAAAAACAATAATATGTATTAACATTATGGTAACATATATGATAATAGTACTACTACTACAACAACAATAATAATATGTAATATATAATAATATAATGATACAATAATAATGTGTAAATACTAATGCTAAAATATATAATCATAAAATATAATAATAATAAACTTTATTTAATACTTTGCCAGCATCTCCCCAATGGGGACTCGGGGCGGCTTACATGAGGCCAAGCCCAACAGCGTATTACAATAAAATAAAACCAACACACAATAACAACACAATAAAATACATATAACATATGAGTACAAAGACGATGAAGCAAAACCATACACAGTAGAATAACATAACATAATAATGAGCGGGCCGCATGTGCAAGATAAAAACTAAGATACTAAAATTTTAGGGATGGAGCAGATTGTTTGTGAGGGACAATGATATATAATCATACTATAATATATAATACTTGTGCAATAATAAAAATAATATAATTATAATAATATGGGGCAAAACATAAAATACTACCACAATAATATAATCATCATAATATATAATAATACAATAATCTATAATGTTACAATAAAATAATAATGCAATATTATATAATAAGGTATAAAATACAACAACAACAACAACAACAATAATAATAATAATAATAATATAAAATTACAATAGCACCATGTAGCCCAATTTTTGTTCTTGGGTAATCAGTGTCATCCTTTCCTAATTGGTTCTATCATCAAAACAGAATGTATCCATAGATAGATATGGAATATAGAAAATAAAGCTGTAGATGAGCCTCCTCCCCGCAAGCTCTCCTTGCTCCCTCGCTCCCTCCCTCAGCTCCCATCCCGACGTTCATCCTGGGCGCCAACAACGAGGAAACGGCTGGACACTTCCCGGATCCTGGCGGTGGCGAACTGGCCGAGAACATCACTTACCTGGGTGAGTTTGGCAGGCGGAGCAGAGCAAAAGCAGTGGGAACTTTCTAGGTGCTTTGTTTTGGTACCAAAAGCAATTGGTAACTTTATTGATACTTTGTTTTGGTAGCAAAAGGGGTTCGGAACTTTCTTGGTACTTTGTTTTGGTAACAAACCAATTGGTAACTTTATTGATATTTTATTTTGGTAGCAAAAGCAGTGGGAACTTTCTAAGTACTTTGTTTTGGTAGCAAACACAACTGGTAACTTTATTGATATTTTATTTTGGTAGCAAAAGCAATTGGAAACGTTATTGATACTTTGTTTTGGTAACAAAAGCAAGTGGGAACTTTATTGATATTTTATATTGGTAGCAAAAGCAGTGGGAACTTTCTAAATACTTTGTTTTGGTAGTAAACACAATTGGTAACGTTATTGATACTTTGTTTTGGTAGCAAAAGCGGTTGGGAACTTTCTTGGTACTTTGTTTTGGTAGAAAAAGCAATTGGTAACTTTATTGATATTTTATTTTGGTTGCAAAAGCAGTGGGAACTTTCTAAGTACTTTGTTTTGGTAGCAAACGCAATTGGTCACATTATTGATACTTTGTTTTGGTATCAAAAGGGGTTGGGAACTTTCTTGGTACTTTGTTTTGGTAGCAAACCAATTGGTAACTTTATTGGCACTTTGTTTTTGTAGCAAAATAGTTGAGAACTTGTATTGTTGAAGGCTTTCATGGCCGGAATCACTGGGTTGTTGTAGGTTTTTTCGGGCTATATGGCCATGTTCTAGAGGCATTCTCTCCTGACGTTTCGCCTGCATCTATGGCAAGCATCCTCAGAGTTGAGAACTTTATTGCTGCTCAGTTTTGGTAGCAAAAAGCAACCTTGCCTAGGCTGTAATTGTCAGGACTGTGGGTCTGGTCCCAGTTGCAAGATTTAAGGGTCTTGCATCTGAAATTTGGTGCAGTGCTCTTTGCGGGCCAGCGTGTGGTTGCCATTCCCTGCCTGAGTGCCCATTTGTGTCCTAACATTGTATTCTTCTCATGCCTTTCTTCCATCCTTTGTGCCCCTCGCTCCCAGGCCGCAAGGGCGTCTTCAGTGGGGCCTCTGGGCTGCAGATCGCCTACCTGAGTGGCACCGAGTCCACGCAAGAGCCGGCCCCGGCCCACAGCTTCAGCGCCCACGACGTGGCTGAGCTCCGGGCCTCCTTGCTCTCTGCTCCGGGCTTCAAAGGCGTGGACATCCTGCTGACCTCTCCCTGGCCCAGGGGTGTCCAGGCCTTTGCAAACAATGCCCCGGTGAGTGTTCAGCCCCTATGCTGGCACCATAAAGGTTGCACAGAGCTCTCAGGGTGGGTGGGGGGGGGGAGCAGGCCAATTGGGCTTTTGCAGCCCAAAGGTCAGCAGCAAGCTCCCTCGCTTGGATGCTTTCCCCAAGACAAGGCATCTCTATGTCCCAGAGTTCCAGACATCTCCTTCCTTCTTTCCTCCGTCTGTCTGCTTTCCTTCCTTACTTACTTTGTTCATCCATCTTCCTTCTTGTTTTCCTTCCTTCCTTTGTCCATCATCCATTCATCTTCTTTCCTTCCTTCTTCCTTCTTTCTTTCAATCCTTCCTCCATAGTAATAGTCATAATAATAATCATAATAAACTTTATTTATACCCCGCCACCATCTCCCCAACGGGGCCTCGGAGCGGCTTACATGGGGCCAAGCCCGAACAACAAACAACAATATAAAAATACAAATTGCAGTAAAATAATCAACATAACATGAAGGTATAAAACATCAAGACATATAAAACAATATACACAGAACATAGAAACCAAACATAATGGCAGAGAGTGGCATCCTGCTTTCTTCTTTCTTTCCTTCCTTCTTTCGATCCCTCCTTCCTTCCTCCCTCCATCTTCTTTCTTCTTCTAATGAGTTTTGGGACTGAGGGGGCAGACCTTCCTCTCACCCAGAGTTTTTGGGGACCTGTTGGATGAACCTTCTAAAACCTTCTCAAAGGGAACCCTGTGATTGAGACGCGTGCGCTTCCCCTCGCAGGGCTCCGTCCAGAGCCAAGCGCCCGGCAGCTCAGAGCTGGTCTCCCTCTTGGCCGCCAGCCTCAAGCCCCGCTACCACTTTGCCGCCCTGCAGAAGGTGCATTACGAGAGGCTGCCTTACAGGTGCGTTGCTGGTCTGTCGGACCACGGGGGGGTTGTATCGCTGCCGTCAGGGGCTTCCCCGCGCCCTTTGACGGATCCCCGTTGCCTCTTGCAGGAACCATGCTGTGCTCCAGGAAGCCGCCCAACACGCCAGCCGGTTCATCGCCCTGGCAAACGTGGGCAACACGGACAAGAGCAAGGTGAGGGAGCCCTGATTTATTATTATTATTATTATTATTAGGTTTATACCCTGCTGTATCTCTCCCAAAGGAGTCTCAAGGCGGTGATGTCTCTGATGTTGTTGTTGTGTTTATACCCCACTTTATCTCTCCCGAAGGAGACTCAAAAGGGCTCTGTATCTATTATTAGTGCTAGACTGTATTCTCCCTTTTAAAAAAACCCGCAGTTTGGATGTAGCATTAGTTTTCTCCTAAGTTATTTGTTGTCCCTTTCTTCTTCTCCTCCCCTCTCCGGCAATGCATCCTCTCTCTTTCTCCGGCAGTACCTGTATGCCTTCAGCATCCTCCCCATGGCTTCCATGGACCCGGCGGAGCTGGTCAAGCAGCCCCAGGACGTCACCGAGAACCCTTACCGGCAGGCCTGGGGCAGCAAGGGCAGCGCCTCCCACCTCCTGCCGGGCGCAAAGGTATCTCTGGGACCGCAGAGAGGGAGAGAGGGAGCGAGGGAAGGGCTGGTTGGTTGACTGAGGCCCTTATTCCAGGCTTTGGTGCAGGCCTTAGAGCAGGCATGGGCAGACTTTGGCCCTCCAGGTGTTTTGGACTCCAACTCCCACCAGTCCTAACACCTCAGGCCCTTTCCTTTTATTTATTATTATTTATTTTGGGTATTTTTGCCCCGCCCTTCTCAACCCCCTGGGGGTGGGGGGGACGACGACACTCAGGGCAGCTTCCAGCCGGCACATGTTTGATGCCTACAAGTAAACACATTAAAATACACCTCAAAAACAATAATCTATATATAAATAACAATATAATGTTCGTTTGTGGGCTTAACTCAAAAACCACTCGACGAATTGACACAAATTTGGACACTACACCCCTAACAGACCAACAAGTGACCATCACTCATAAAATCCCCCCCAAAACAGCGGAAAGGACTTAAAACTCCCCCAAAAAGCTAAATGATGAAAAACTAAATGACAGTGCAGAAAAAAGAAGGGAAGGAGAGAAAGAAAAAAGAAAGAGAAAAAGAGGGAGGGAAAGAAAGAAGGAAGGCAAGAGGTAGAGAAAGGAGAAGGAAAAGAAATAGGGGGGAAGAAAGGAAAGAAGTAGAGAAGGAAGGAGAGAAAGAAAATAAGGGAAGGAAAGAGGGAGCAAGAGAAGGAAAGAGAGAAGGAAGGAAAGACAGAAGGAAGAGGTAGAAAAGGAAGAAAGGAGAGGAAAAAGGGGGAAAGAAAAGGGGAGGGGAAGGAAGGAAAGAGGTAGAGAAGGAAGGAAGGAGAGAAAGAAAAAAGGAAATAAATAAATAAAACTTTGTTTATACTCCCACCATTCCTAACATCCTCAGGACCTTTCCTTTTCCCCCTCAGCTGCTTAAGCAGAAAAGGAAAGAGATAAGGAAAAGGAAGGGGCCGGGGCCGTTAGGAATGGAGGGAGTTGAAGTCCAAAACTCCTGGAAGGAGGGCCCAAGTTGGCCTTGCCTGCAGAAGAGGGCTGGACTTGGGGGCCTCTCCAACCCCCCAACCCCCTTCTCTCTCTCTCTCTCTCTCTCTCTCTCTCTCTCTGCAGGGAGAAGACACGGAGCCGGCCTCCCAGTTCTTCTTTGACCTGAGCCGCAAGCCCAAGGGCCGGAAGCGGCCTGCGGAGGGAGGGGGCGGGGGTGGGCCCCGGCAGGAGAAGCAGCAGAAGCAGCAGCACCGGCCCCCAGGCAGCAGCAGGCGCCCCCGTGAGTCCTGCAGGGATTGGCCTTGCGCCAGAGGGATTGGTCTTGGGACGTAAACGGAGGCAGGCCGGAGGGAGGGAGGAGTGGCCCCGACTTCTGAGGGAAGCGGTGCTTCTCGCTTGTGGTGACGCTGCCCTTCCTTCCTTCCTTCCTTCCTTCCTTCCTTCCTTCCTTCCTTCCTCCCTCCCTCCCTCCCTCCCTCCCTCCCTCCCTCCCTCCCTTCTTTTCCTCCCAAAGCCCTGCCGCCGGCCGCCTGCTGGTTCTGCCTGGCCAGCCCCCAAGTGGAGAAGCACCTCGTCGTCAGCATCGGCTCCCAGGTGAGGCCCAGGCACCCCTTCCCTGTGTCCTAGTTTATTAAACTACGAAATAATATAATAATATAATACAACAGCAACACTCTGTAACACTATGTTTTGTGTTCCTGGGCTATCCATGTCATCTCCTATTTGGTTCTATCATAAAAACATGGGGAAAGTTTGTCATACTGTCAAAATTTGGTCTTTACGGGCGGGAGGGACGGACATCCTGCAGCACATTATAGTGTAGTATTACTGGGAGTCGTCTGCATTAAGATCACTACTGACTGAAAGGTCATGAGTTCGAAGCCAGCCTGGGTCGGAGTGAGCTTCCAACCAATTGTGCAGCTTGTTGTCGACCTTTGCAACGTGAAAGACAGCTGCATTTGTCAAGTAGGAAAATTAGGTACCACCTCTGTGTGGGAGGCTAATTTAGCAAATTAACGAGGCCATAAAAAAAATCTCTAGCAAAAGCATGCGAGGAATGAGGAAGTACTTCGTCAGTGTTGCAGATGGACGGGGAAGCGACAGCTCCCCTGATGGCCAGAAAAGTTGGAATTTTAAATAATAGCCTCTGACTGTCTGTTTATTACATGTGTTGTGTGTCTATGGCATTGAATGTTTGCCATGTATATGTTCATTGTAATCCGCCCTGAGTCCCCTGCGGGGTGACGAGAAGGGCGGAATATAAATACTTTAAATAGATAACTATTATATTGCTATAGTGATATACTGTTATATTATAATATGTTACACCATGTAACATGATTGGATTGTGCCTTCCTGCCTGGCAGAAGGACTGGGTGGTCTTCTTTGGGGCCCCTTCCCACTCTCAAATTCTGTCTGTCGCTCTATTACGGCAGAAGGGGCTTCGACAAGATGGCCACGGGGTCTCTTCCCCCTTTTCTAGAACTCTCTGATACTGAATAGTATTAAAATAATAATTAAGTATTGGAAATAATCTTATTAGAATAATAATAAATGATATTAAAGTATGACTGTTGCAGCTCCAATGTGGGCCTAACGGCTGGGGGTCTCCCTCCCTCCCTCCCTTTCCCTGCCTGCCTCAGTGTTACCTGGCGCTGGCCAAGGGGGCCCTGTGCGCGGACCACGTCCTCATCCTGCCCATCGGCCACTGCCAGTCCGTGGTGGAGCTGCCCGGCGACGTGGTGGAGGAGGTGGAGCAGTACAAGGCGGCCCTGCGGAGGTTCTTTGGGGCCAGGGGCAAGCGGTGCGTCGTCTACGAGAGGAACTTCCGCAGCCAGCACCTCCAGCTCCAGGTACGAGCCAAGGAGGGAGGGAGGCAGGGAGAGCACACCTGGATTGCCATTGTACGTTTGACAAGGGAATGAAAGGCCATCCCAATACATATCATACCCTTCCACATTCTAATCACCCTTTCACAGCTCCTAATGCCAATCTCCTGGTGACTGGGATGGATAAATGATCAGGTAGATGGGTTGGTGGATCAATAGGTAGATGATAGAGAAAGACACAGGTGGAGAGAGAGAGAGAGAGAAAGAGGGAAATGTATTGGTGAATGGATGGATGGGTAGGTAGTAGGCATGTGCAATCCATGGTTCTAAATGGTTCTAAAGTACTTACAAAACTAAAGTTCTGGTGGTGAACACTAGGGGGCGCTGATGCTTTGCTTCTACAGTGTTGCTAAAGTTCTGGTGGTGAAAATTTCAGAACTCTAACAAAACTTTCAAAATTTCATTATTATTTCATTATTGGTGATTTTTTGACAGAACCAATTAGGAAATGCCATTTATAATGAAATTTTGAAAGTTTTGAAATGCCTAGTAGATAGATAGAGAAAGGCAGAGGTGAAGAGAAAGAAATATATTGATGAAAGGAATGGCAGGTAGGTAGGTGGATAGAGACACAGGTGAAGAGATCGATGGGGAAAGAGGGAATGTATTGGCGAATGGATGGTGAAGAGAGAGAGACATGGAGATGGATCGAGAAATAGATGACAGAGGAAGACTGAGAAAGAAATGGAGAGCTAAGTAGGTAGGCCGACAAAGAGAGAATAGAATATAATAACTTTGTTGTCATAGCACATCATACAACGGAATTAAATGCCATCCCAATACAATACAATATTATATGATATGATATGATATGATATGATATGATATATATATATATATATAATTTACTGTATTTATACCCCGCTCTTCTCAACCCCGAAGGGGACTCAGAGCGGTTTACAGATTATCTATCTATCTATCTGCATGCTAGTCATCCCCTGCTACATGTTGCTGTGGCCCAGTCTGTGTATATGTGTTTTGTGTGTGTGTTGGTGTGTGTGTGTGTATATATATATATATATATATATATGTATGTATATGAGTATATATGTGTGTTTGTGTATATATGTGGTTTTGCGCATGTGTTGTAATGGATTTTTGTTTTGTTTTTGTTTGGTTTTTTGGCTTTATAAGTCTCTTTCACTGTGCCTTTCAGTGTTTTTATGAGTGATGGTCACTCGTTGGCCTGATAGGTGTCTTGTGTCCAAATTTGGTGTCAATTCATCCAGTACTTTTTGAGTTCTGTTAATCCCACAAACGAACATTACATTTTTATTTATATAGTTATCTCCCCCCCCCCCCCCAAATATATAAAATGTGGATACTTAAAAAGCCTTACAATTACTAAATATTGCTGACTCTTTACAAAGACAAGACTAAACATATTCCCCTCAGAGCTGCTCAGAGGCAGGCTGTCTGGAATCCCTTACTCCCAAAGACTACGTCCCTGTGAGGAAAAGGAAGTAGAAACAATAGAACACATTTTATTGCAGTGCCGCTATTACGCAGTGCAACGTAGCCTACTTTCATATCCAATCCTGTCCGCATGACCAGCCACCCTCCCATATGCAGGGGATTGTGAGGTACCTTTTAGAGGGCAAGTGCCACAGGGCGAATCTCATCGTGGCAAAACTCCTCACAGTGACAACAAGGCTGAGAAAGGAACACACCTCCGAGAGTGGCTTTACTTGAAACCATGTAGATGTGTCTTGTACAACGGAGTTCTCCTGAGATGGGAGAATTTATCAATGACTGTTTATTCACTGATAGGTCTGTGCACTGCAATATATATTGTTGTTGTATATAATAATAATAATAATAATACTAAATAATAATAATACTAATAATAAAGAATTACCAAAATATAAATAATATATAGAATTACCAGAACCAGATACCCATCCTTCCACATTCTCATCACACATTGGGAGAGGGATGTGGCCTTGGGGACCGTTGTGGCAGACGCCCCGCCTTCCCGGCCAGGCGGAAGCAGTGCCTGGTTGGGCCACGGCTGCCACAGAGAGAGACCGGGAGGAAGGGCCAAAGGAGGAGGAGGGTCCAGGAGAGGAAGGGTCCCTCCGCCCACCGCCCCACCCCCACAACACGACCCATAAGTTTAAGCCTGAAACGAGGAGGCTGTTGCCTTTCTCTGTGATGAAGAGCCTTGCTGAGGGGCGCTGGTCCCCGTGATGTGTTTCCGTCTCTGGGGGAACGGGCCTCCCCCAAGACCTTATCTTTGCCCTCTCATTAACCGCCCCCCCCCCAACCACGGGTCCCTCCCTCCCTCCCTCCGTCCAGGTGATCCCGGTCCCCAAGCAGCGCTGCTCCGCCGAAGACATCAAGGAGGCCTTCCTGTCCCAAGCCGAAGAGCAGCACATTGAACTGATGGAGATCCCGGAGCACTCGGCTCTCAAGCAGGTAGGTCAGGTTAGAAGAGTAAACACACAAAGCAACTCTGCTAGGAAGAAACGTCAATTCCTCCTCTCGCGGTTTCTCCTCCAGCGGCGCAATGGGCCAGACTGCCTCAAAGGCAAGAAGTTAGTTCCCATCCCTCGAACATTGCAGAGTCTTGGTTACAGTTTGCAGAGATTTATATCACAAGTAGCTCACTAGTTTGAGTAAGCACACTTGAGCTCTGGCTTTCACCGAAGCTTCTTTGGAGGTTGAACGGGAGGGATTGTCGCCCACGAGGCACCCACGTCCTCCTCTTTTGGGCCTTGCAGATCGTGCAGCCAGGGACGCCGTACTTTTACGTGGAGCTGGATAACGGAGAGAAGCTCTTCCATCGCATTGGGAAGACCTTCCCCTTGCAGTTCGGGAGGTACGTTGTTGTCGCCGCTCGGTTTGCAGCTGGATGTCTGGGGCTGGGTGGCCATCTGTCGGGAGTGCTTTGATGATGATTTTACTTTTCCTGAATGGCAGAATAAAGTTGGTTGGACTGGGCGGCCCCTGGAGTTGCTCCTATTACTATTACTACAAGGGCTGAGTGGCCATCTGTTGGGGGTGCTTTTATTGTGCTTTCCCTGCATGACAACAGGAGGGGTGGGACTGGGTGGCTTCTGGGGTGTTCCACTGAAATACTGTTGCGTTTCTGTTGGTCAGAATGTGTCGCCCACGCCGGGTGTTTTCCCTTTCCGCAGGGAGGTGCTGTGCAGTCCGGCGGTGCTGGGCTTGCCCGGCCGGGCGGACTGGAGGGACTGCCAACTGGGGCGGGAGGAGGAAGCGGCCGCCGCTCAGGACTTCCGCCGGGCCTTTGAGCCCTTCGACTTGCCCCAAGCGGACTGAGAAAGAAAGGGGGAGGGGACCCTTGACCCCTGGAGGTCTTGACCCTTGAGACCCGTGGAAGGCTGTTCTCTGTGGCCGGAACCTCGATCCCCAGGTGGCCGGTGGCCTTTGGAGCGGGAGGACATTCTTTCAGTGGCTTCTGTGTTGATGTTGGTAAAGAAAAGCACTGTAAACATGCGGCATTTTGTAAGTTTGTAAATAAATAAAAGACTGGTTTTTACACATGCACGCAACAGCTTTTATTGGCAAAGGCACGCTGTCCTGACTCCACCCTTACATGGAATCAATGATGGGGAGGGGGAACGTGTTCTCCCTTCCAACTATACGTTTCAGAGATTGTTGTGATGAGATGGGCTCTGGTTCTGCGGCCATGTCTTGATTTACCTGTCTGAACGCATCTCCCCCTATGAACCACCGCAGAGATTAAGATCTTCTGGGGAGGCCCTGCTCTCGGTCCCACCACCATCCCAGGCGCGTTTGGCAGGGACGAGAGACAGAGCCTTCTCTGTGATGGCCCCTCGGCTATGGAACTCCCTTCCTAATGAGATCAGGCCAGCCCCCTCCCTCTTGTCCTTCAGAAGGATGATAAAAACGTGGCTGTGGGACCGAGCCTTTGGGACTGCGCAATGAGGCAGCAAGAGGAACCCTGAGTATGCCAACCCAATTCGATATGGTTGTTGAGACAGTCTTAACTAGTGGATTTTAACGTCAAGATATGTGATCTTAATGCTTTTGTACGTGTATGGTCTAATACAGGGGTCCTCAAACTAAGGCCCGAGGGCCGGATATGGCCCTCCAAGGTCATTTACCCGGCCCTCGCTCAGGGTCAACCTAAGTCTGAAATGACTTGAAAGCACGCAACAACAACAATCCTCTCTCATCAGCCAAAAGCAGTCCCACACTTCCCATTGAAATACTAATAAGATTATATTTGTTAAATATTATTCTTCATTTTAATCATTGTATTGTTTTTAAGTGTTTTTGCACTACAAATAAGAGATGTGCAGTGTGCACAGGAATTCATTCATGCTTTTCTCAAATTGTGATCTGGCCCTCCAACAGTTTGAGGGACTGTGACCTTGCCCTCTGTTTAAAAAGTTTGAGGACCCCTGGTCTAATATGTTTCGGCATTGAATGTTTGCCGTGTATACGCTGTGCTCCGCCCTGAGTCCCCTGAGTCCCCGGGGTGAGAAGGGCGGAATAGAAACGCTTGAAATAAATAAATAAATAAATAGTCTTCCTTTATGACAGAACTAGCTGTGCCCTGCCAATAGTAAGAATTTTCGAAGTAGAGGTAGATATCTGGACCCCCTTTTTCTTCCCCTTCCCCTTTCTCTCCTTTCTTCCTTCTCTACCTCTTTCTTTCATTCCTTCTTTCGCTCTTTGGTTTCATCCTTCCTTCTCTCTTTCCTTCCTTCCCTCCCCCTTTCTCTACTTCTTCCTTTGTCTCCTTTCATCCCTCCCTGTTTCCTTCCTTCTTTCACTTTTTTATTTCCTTTTCTCCTTCCTTCTTTCTTTATTTCTTTCCTGCATTTCCCTCCATTTTTCTTTCCTTTCTACTTTTTCTTCTTCCTTCCTTCGGTACCTCTTGCTTTCCTTCCTTCTCTCCTTCCTTCCCTTTTTCCTTCCCTCCTTCCTTCTTTCCCTCCCTCCTTCTCTCTTTCCTTCCTTCCCCCTTTCCCTCCTTCATTCCTTCCCTTTTCCCTCCCTCCCTGCTTCTCTCTTTCCTTCCCCCTTTCCCTCCTTCATTCCTTCCCTTTTTCCTTCCTTCCCTCCTTCTCTCTTTCCTTCCTTCCCCCTTTCCCTCCTTCATTCCTTCCCTTTTTCCTTCCTTCCCTCCTTCCTTCTTTCCCTCCCTCCTTCTCTCTTTCCCTCCTTCCCCTTTCCCTCTTTCATTCCTTCCCTTTTTCCCTCCCTCCTTCCTTCTTTCCCTCCTTCCCCCTTTCCCTTCTTCATTCCTTCCCTTTTTCCCTCCCTCTTTCCTTCTTTCCCTCCCTTCCTTCTTTCCTTCCTTCCCCCTTTCCCTCCTTCATTCCTTCCCTTTTCCCCTCCCTCTTTCCTTCTTTCCCTCCCTCCTTCTCTCTTTCCTTCCTTCCCCCTTTCCCTCCTTCATTCCTTCCCTTTTTCCCTCCCTCTTTCCTTCTTTCCCTCCCTCCTTCTCGCTTTCCTTCCTTCCCCCTTTCCCTCCTTCATTCCTTCCCTCTTTTTCCAGTGATGGTCACTCCTTGGATTGTGAGGAGTTTTATTGCCAAATTTGGGGTGATTTGGCCCCGTAGTTTTTTTGTTTTTAAGCCACTCATTATGCACAGAGTATTTTTATATATATAGATAGGGTTGGACTAGGTGACCTTCAAACTCTAGGATTCACAGGTTCTATGGACATCTGTTGGGAGGGGTTAAACTGTGTCTTCCTGCCTGCCAGAATGGGAGATAATCTGCCATGTCTCCCCGCTCACATGGAATTAATGACGTGGTGGGGGAACAAGTCAGATTTTTATGGGAGTCAAGCTCCAGAAGCCTGACTTGCAGTGTCCGCATTGGCAAGCATTCCGCGTGCGTCCAAAGGCAGGCCAACGGCTTGGCTCTCTCTGAGAATAATCAGGGAACGCCATTGTGAACGAAAGGATCCGATCCCAGCGCGAGAAGGGAGCTGGTCCCGACCCCTCCGAAGGTGCCCCTCCCATTCCGCTCCCTGCAAGTCGGTCCTCAGGCTGTTCCTTCAAACACAGGGAGGCGACTTGTGACCTAGATAGATAGGTACACACTTACATTCCTACAGGGTTTGATTACGCTATGTTCCTGGTTTGAAAGTCTTACTTCCTATGCAATTGTGCCGTCCTTCCTTTGCAAGTATTGTTTCTCCTCCAGAAACTTTGTTTTGGTGGCCACCAAGTCTGTCGAATTGCTCGAGACTCTCTGAGATTTTGCAGAACTAGATTTTGCAGAACTAGAGACAAATGTCCCTCCCGTAAAAAACCCGATGTTTGTGCAGTTTTTGCCCGAGTCAGTCAGTCGGTCAGTTGGTCAGTTGGGGAGCCGGTCTGGCGAGTGAGGCCCGGATTGCGAAAAGAGAGGCAGCTGGGTCCGGATTCCTGCGCAGATTGCGCCACTGATTCATTCCTAAGCCGAACCAGAGACTCAACCCCGGAGGCGAGTGCCGCGTCCCTAATTCGGCCGGAGAGCGAGGAAGGAGTGACCAGATCCCTCCCTGCAGTCCCTCCGAGGGAAGGAAGAAAGGAGGATGCACCGGGTGAGGCGCGCTCTCAAGGTGGGACAAGGTGAGATGGGGGGCCCTGCTTTCCCCCCCCCTCGCAGCCCCCAAAGTAATACTCCAGCAGCACTTTCTCCTGACATTTTCCCCATATCTGTGGCTATTGCCATCTGCAGAGGATCTGATGGGAGTCAAGCAAGTAGAGTATACAATATTCCTGTGGAGGAAAGCCCAGGGTGGGAGAAAGACCCCTTCTGCAAGAGGCAAGGCGGGTTCGCATGTGTCTGTCCACCCATTAACGTGAAGATTGCGTAATCAATTCACGAGGGGCCTCTGCTTAGAAGCACCCTGGCCTTCCTTCCTTGTGGATTGTTTGCTGACTGAAGACATCGTAACAGCGATATGGATCATTGTTACGCCAGGCGGTGCTCACGAGCCCTTGTTTCCTTGCTGCATGAAGACAATAATAATAACAGCATTAATAATTATAGAAACAGCCAGGCCTTTGTTCCCTTGGAAGGGTTTATTGCCTGGAGACAGTCAATCAGTGAGGCTCTCTGCATAGAGGTGGCCTGGCTGTTGTTGCCTGGAGTCACCCTCTGTGGAATGATGTCCAGGGTGGGAGGAAAGAAGAACCCTTGTTTGACTGACGCAAGTGTGCAGTCAGCTTGATTAGCCTTGCAGCTGCAAAGTCAATCAGTGAGGGTGTCTGCATAGAGGCAGCCTGGCTGTTGTTGCCTGATGTCCAGGGTGGGAGGAAAGAAACTTATATTTTGTTTTGGTAATCTTATGGTTATGTTGTTTTTTTACTTTGTATGTTTTGTGATGTTACCTGGGAACCGCTCTGAGTCCCTTTGGGGAGAAGTTTTATATTATTGTTATTATTATTATTATTATTATTACCCTTGTTTGATTGAAGCATGTGTGCACATTGCAATTAGCCAGCTTGATTAGCCTTGCAGCTGCAAAGTTAATCAGTGAGGGTGTCTGCATAGAGGCAGCCTGGCTGTTGTTGCCTGGAGGCACCCTTTGCTTGGGAAGGGTGTGCTGGGCCCTTGATTGCTTCTTGTCAGGAGCAAACTTCATGGCTGCTCCAAGGGTAATTCCAGCTGGGTAATGGCAACACCCTCACTGGCCTTGGACAGACAGGGTCCTTCCTTCCTTCCTTCCTTCCTTCCTTCCTTCCTTCCTTCCTTCCTTCCTCGTTTCCCCTTCTTGAATGTCTTCCCTCTTTTCAGGCTGGAGAGGGAAGGGGACGAGGGCCCCTCCCGGCCTGCCCCCCGGCCCGCGCCCGCTGCCCTTCCTGGGGAACGCCCTGCAGGTCGACACCAAGAACTTCCCCAGGTCCGTGGAGAAGGTGAGTCGCCAGGTCAATGCTGTGGGCTTCGGGGGGGGGGGGGGGGGGGGTGTTCACATCAAAACGCCCAGAGTGGGACCCTTCCCTCCCTTCTTCCTCCTCTTTTTCCTGCAGCTGAGCCAGCGCTACGGGCCGGTCTTCACGCTCTACCTGGGCTCTCAGCGGGCGGTGGTGCTCTTCGGCCAGGAGGTGGTGCAGGAGGCCCTGGGGCCCCGGGGGGAGGACTTTGGCGGCCGCGGAGGGAGCCCCATCCTGGACAAGACCATCGGCGGGACAGGTGCGTCGGCCGCGGGGGGGCGGGTGGGTGGCAGTGCTGTGGGAAAAGGGGAGGAGCATTGCTCAATGGCAGGGCGCCCAACACCAACGCCCCCCCCCCCCCCTGAGACCTTGGAACTAAACCAGAGCCCACGCAGAAAGACTTCCTAATGAAACCTAGATAGTTGAATGAGGGGCCCTCCAAAGGTCATCTAGACCTATCTCCCTGATCTCATCAAAAATATATAGATAGATAATAGAGGGATGGACCTACGGTCAGGCCCCGATAGATAGATAGATAGATAGATAGATAGATAGATAGATAGATAGATAGATAGGTAGATAGGTAGATAGGTAGATAGATAGATAAATAAATAGGTAGATGGATAGATGATAAATAGAGCCCACCTTCATGTCCAGAAAGAGCAGTGGTTCTCAACCTGTGGGTCCCCAGGTGTTTTGGCCTCCAACTCCCAGAAATCCCAGCCAATTTACCAGCTGTTAGGTTCTCTAGAAGGCCAAAACATCTGGGGAACCACAGGGTGAGAACCACTGAGATAGGTAGAGACATAGAGTGAGGGACCTAAGAGAGGCCCACCTGCAGGTCCCAATAGAGAGAGAGAGAGAGAGAGAGAGAGATAGACAGATAGACAGACAGACAGACAGACAGATAGACAGACAGTGGTGGACCTAAGAGAGGCCTACCTCCAGGTCCCAATAAATAGATGGATGGATGGATAGAGTGATGGACCTAAGAGAGGCCTAACTTTCAGGTCCCGATAGATAGATAGATAGATAGATAGATAGATAGATAGATAGATAGATAGATAGACAGACAGACAGACAGATAGACAGTGATGTACCTAAGAGAAGCCTACCTCTAGGTCCAGATAGATAGATGGATGGATGGAGGGATAGAGTGATGGACCTGAGAGAGGCCTAACTTCAGGTCCCAATAGATGGATAGATAGACAGACAGACAGACAGTGGTGGACCTAAGAGAGGCCTACCTTCAGGTCTCGATAGATAGATAGACAGACAGACAGATAGATAGACAGTGGTGGACCTAAGAGAGGCCTACCTCCAGGTCCCAATAGATAGATAACAGTAATGGGCTTAAGCTAGAGTGATAGATCCAAGAGAGTCCTCCTTTCAAGTCCCATCCGAGGGTGGGCCCATGCCTGTTCTACAGAGAGTGGTGGTCTCTTCCCCCCCTCCCTCCCCCCTCCCCCCCTCCTCCTAGGCATCGGGTTCAGCAACGGGGAGACCTGGAGGCAGCTCCGCCGCTTTGCCGAAGAGACGCTCCGCGAGTTGGAGGCGCCGACCGAGGCGTGGATCCAAGAGGAGGCCGCCTTCCTGGCAGAGAGGCTGCACAGCACGGAAGGTGAGCCAGGGAGGAGGGGGTGGGGGGGGGCTGCATCTCTGGAAGGGGCTGGTGGGAGTGGGAGGGGCCAAATGGAGTGGGAAGGTCTTAAGGAAGTGGGAGGGGCTAAAGAGGGTGGGAGGGGCTGGAAGGAGTGGGAGGAGCCAAGTGTGGTGGGAGGGGCCTGGAGCTGTGGGAATATCTATCTTATATAAATAAAAATGTCATGTTTGTTTGTGGGATTAGCATAACTCAAAAACCACTAGATGAATTGACACCAAATTTGGACACAAGGCACTTCTCACTCATAAAAACACTGGAAAACACAGCGGAAGGGACATTAAAATCAAAAAAGTACATTACAGTGCATGCACAAAACCACATATATATATGCAAACACACATATATAGACATAGACACAAATATATATACACATATACATATACTGGGCCACAGCAACACACACACATATATATATATTGTTAAGATTAACTTCATAGTTCAGCAGCAGATCAGTTGCACAACTTCAGCGCTTTCCAGAAGCTTCTTCCTGCACAGCTCTCTTCAGTCAACGTCTCCCACAGCCTGCAGTCACGCTGGAACCTTTTACAGACACTTGAGCACTATGCCCGGCCATGGTCAGTTTGACCATTGCCTTTCCCCCAGCCTAGATGATGTTACAGACTCACCACAGGTCCTAGCAGACAGGTTCTTCAATTACATATAGCCTTCGACAACACAACATCACGACACAAGGAGAAATATACACTGTACATGGCTTCCTTATATACAATACACATAGCAATCCCTGATTGGTTACCAACTAATTGACCCAACCCAAACCCAGGATTGCATCATTCACAATCACCTGGACTAGGCCAGAACACATTCCCCAAATGATTCCCCATAGACAATCATTGCATGACTCAGCATTCCCAACAGAAGCCCACCAGCAGTGCATGACTCCCTTTATTATATTACAATACATTGTAAGACCTGACATACATATATATATATCTGAAGAGTGGTGGTGGTGGGAGGGGCTGAGGGGAGTGGGAGGGGCCTGTGGCGGAGGGCGGGGCCAGGGGTCGTCTCAATGTGTTGATATTGCTCTCTCTGGGGCTGGACCGCTTCCCTCTCTCCGCAGGTCGGCCCCTGAACCCTTCCCAGCTGCTGACCGCGGCCTCGACCAACGTCCTGTGCGCCGTGTCCTTCGGCTCTCGCTTCGACTACCAAGACCCCGAGTTCCTGGCCTTCCTGCATCTCCTGGGGGAGAACGCCCGGCTGCAGACCCGGCCCATGACCCAGGCAGGCGGGCCAACGAGAGAGAGAGAGAGAGGGAGAGAGAGAGAGAGGCGGCTGAGAGGAGAAGGGAGAGCGGGCGGCCACTAGGGATTGTGGGAAGGGAAGTCCAACACAGCTGGGGGGAGGGCCAGAGTTGGTAGCAATACAACAACAACAACACTTTATTTATATTCCGCTCTATCTCCCCCAGGAGGAGACTCAGAGTGGATTACAACACACACAGAGATAGGCAAACATTCCTTGCCTTTAATGTTGTGAAAATAACCATGACTCACAAGTACACAGAACAAAGGCAAAGGCTTCCCCTTCCATCTCTGGCTTCTGGGGGGGGGGGGGGGGGGGCCAACTCCGGCCATGGGGAGGGGCTCTTGCTCCATTCTACAAGCTGAGGAGCCCGTTGTCCGTAGACGCCTCCTGGTCACGTTGCCTGCATGGGCACATTGATTACCTTCCCACCAAAGCAGTACCTATTGATCTACTCACATTTGCATGTTTTCAAGCTGCTAGGTTAGCAGGAGCTGGGGCTGATAGCGGGAGCTCACCCTGACCCGCGGCTTCAAACTCAACCTTTAGGGCAGCAGAGTCAGCAGTTGCACCACCGCAGCCCCCTATGCAGATTGCCAGAGTGAGGCCCCTGGGGTCATGCACGGCGGATTTGAGGATCACACGGACGCAAATAGGACACTGCAGTCTTCTTCCGTTTTAGAAATAACAAAGTTTACTGAAAGCATTTCAAGACACGTCTACATCTTGGCGGCGAAAAATGGCGACTCGCAAAGCACAGCACAAAACACACAGTCAAAGAGCACCTGCCCTCCGGCCTGATCCGCCTTCTAGCGGGTAAACTCCCTTTTCTTCCCAGAGCAAAGGAATCCCTGTCGTCTCGTTTCAAGGACTCTCCTCTCTGGCCTGTTCTCTCTCTCTCTAATCACAACAGTCTAATGCACAGATGAACAAAACTGAACATAACTGAATCCATTTTGAAATACATATGAACCCATTATTAACACATTGAAAAACATACATATAATGCTTCCAATTATCCTGACACAGACGCCAACAAAGTGTTGTGTGTGTGTGTGTGTGTGTGTGTGTGTGTATGGGGGGGTGAGTGTGTGCCCCCCCTCCCTCGGTAGCCCTCCCTGAGCCCCCCTGACTTTCCCCTCCGCCTTCCTCCCAGCTGTACAATGTCTTCCCGGCCCTCCTGGACCCCCTCCCCGGCTCCCACCAGACCATCTTCCGGAACACAAAGGAAATGGACCGCTTCATTGCCCGGAGGGCCGAGGCCCAGAAGGAGGCCCTGCCGCCCGGCCCCGCCCGGAACTTCATCCACGCCTTTCTCCTCAAAATGGAGCAGGTAAGACGCGCGGGGGGGGGGGGGGGGGGGGGGGGGGGGTGATCCCGGCTGGTGGGCCTCACCCGGCCTGCGTGGCTCACGGAGAGAAGAAAGTGTGGTCTCAAGGGGTGGGGGAGAGCTCTCTGACCCAGAGAAACCCCTCTTGTGCCTCTCCTTCTCTTCCTTCCTTCCTTCCTTCCTTCCTTCCTTCCTTCCTTCCTTCCTTCCTCCCTCCCTCCCTCCCTCCCTCCCTCCCTCCCTCCCTCCCTCCCTCCCGCTCTGCCCCCCAAACTCCCCGCAGGAGGAGAAGCAGCAGCATGGGGAGGGGGGCCCTGCCTCCGTCTTCGACCTCCGGAGTTTGGTGAGAAGCACGATAGACTTTTTCGTGGCCGGAGCCGCGTCCACCAGCCTGGTCCTCCAGTACCTGATGCTGGTGCTCCTGAAGTACCCCGAGGTGCAAGGTGGGCAGACCCAGACCGGCTGTGCCATGAAGGAAATGCCAGGAAGGTCGTTTCCTAATGTTTGGCCCCCTCCCTCCAGGTGTTTTCTACTCCCACGATCCCTAAGAGATCAGCATTTCTCAACCTGGGGGTCGGGACCCCGGGGGGGGGGGGGGGGGTCAGAGGGGTCTCCAGAGACCATCAGACAACACACATTTCTGATGGCCTTAGGAGCCCCTTTGGCAGAGAAGGCTGAGGATCTCTCCACCTGTCTTTCTCTTCCTTTTTGGAAACAGATGGACGATCCTCCCTCCCAAAGCCCTCCTCCTGCTGTGATTGGCAGGCCTCTCAGTCAAGGGGAGGGCTCTTTCTGAGGCTCCAAGAGGGGAGGGGAGAGCAGGCGTGCTCTCCCCTAAATCACTGCCAATTCCTCCCAAACCCTTCCAGTATTTTATGTTGGTTGTGAGAGTCCTGTGTGCCAAGTTTGGTTCCATTCCATCGTTGGTGGGGTTCAGAATGCTCTTGGATTGTAGGTGAACTATAAATCCCAGCAACTACAACTCCCAAATGACAAAATCAATCTGTCAGGAGTCAATTTCTGACGGCATGAAGACATCACAAATTCCCTCCTATTCATCCTGGCTGAACCATTCTCTCTCTGTGATATTCTGAAGCCAGCAGAGGGAGCTGGAATCCTTGTGTTGGAACTTGTGAATCAACAAGTCCTAATAAGGAAACGGAGAAGAGGGGGAGGTGGGCAGGAAAGGAAGTGGTGGTGGGGAAAAGTCAGAAGTGTCTTTCTTTGCTGCAGACATACAAGCAATATATCAATTTCAAAGCAAGCCGGCTTGTGAGTGGTTATTTAATATTGCTATATAGATCCTACAGTCTGACACAATCCCCCCATAGATAGATAGATAGATAGATAGATGGATGGATGGATGGATGGATGGATGGATGATAGGGTGATGGACGTAAGAAAGGCCCACCTCCATGTCCCAATAGATAGAGAGATCTGACTTCTGAAGCAACTGGGGGGAGCCTGTGACGAGTGGGCCTTCATGGGACGCGACCCCTTTTTCCTGCAGAGAAAGTCCACCAGGAAATCGAGCGGGTGATCGGCCCGTTGAGAAGGCCTTGCTTGGCGGACCTGGCCGAGATGCCCTACACGCACGCCGTGATCCGCGAGGCCCACCGCTCCCTGGCCCTGGTCCCACTCAACGTGCCGCGCGCCACCACCCAGGACACCCTCTTCCGGCAGTTCCTCATCCCCAAGGTCAGTGGGGGTGCCATGGAAAGGGTTGGGATTGGCGCATATCAAGCCACCATGGTCAACAACGGTACGGCATTCCCACTTGGTTTTGTCACCGTTGTCAAACTATAGTCCGCCCCCCCCCCCCCCCCCCCCCCAACAGTCTGGTCAACCTCGAACTGGCCCTCGGCTTAAAGAGTTTGAGGATTCCGGACATAAAGGCTCTCAGGGAAAGACACAATCAAAGTCCTCCCAACAGATGGCCATCCAACTATAGATCTGATTGATAGACACACGGTATTCTATGTTGTACCTCGCATAGAATCCTAGAGTTGGAAGAGACCCCGAAAGAACGTCATCCAGTCCAGCCCCCTTTTTTTTCTGCCAGGCAGGAAAAGCACCATCCGATCCCTCCCAACAGATGGTCATCCAGCCTCTGCTTCAAAGCCTCCGGGGAAGGAGATTTCATCATCACCAAGATAGAATTACTATTTTTTATTATTATCCATTATGTTGTTGTTGTTATTATTATTATTATTCTACTCCTAGAGTTGGAAGGGACCCCAAAGACCATCCAGTCCGTCCCCCTTCTTTATGCCAGGCAGGAAAAGCACAATCAAAGCCCTCCCGACAGATAGCCACCCAGCCTCAGTCACGTCAATAATAATATAGAGTTGGAAGACACCCCCAAAGAGTCCAGCCCCCTTCTTTCTGCCAGGCAGGAAAAGCACCATCCGATCCCTCCCAACAGATGGCCATCCAGCCTCTGCTTCAAAGCCTCCAGGAAAGGAGATTTCATCATCACCAAGATAGAATTACTATTTATTATTATTATTATTATTATTATTATTATTATTATTATTATTCTACTCCTAGAGTTGGAAGGGACCCTAAAGACCATCCAGTCCACCCCTTTCCTTTCTGCCAGGCAGGAAAAGCACAATCAAAGCCCTCCCGACAGATAGCCACCCAGCCTTAGTCAAATCAATAATAATATAGAGTGGGAAGGGACCCACCCCCCCAAGGCCACCCAGCTCACCCCACCCCTTCCCTTTGCACGCCTGTCTTCTCCTCCTGCAGGGCACCACCATCTTCCCGGCCCTGAAGCCCTCCTTGCACGACCCCCGGGAGTTCCCCCACCCGGAGCGCTTTGACCCCGCGCACTTCCTGGACGAGGCGGGCGCCCTGCGGGAGAGCGAGTTCTTCATCCCCTTCTCCATCGGTAAGGCCTTCTCCCTCCTCCTCCCTTCACTGCTGCCCATCGCTGATTGAAACAGGGGACATTGGAAAATGGAAATCTCCATAACCTTTTGGAGAAATTACGATCTTTGGAAAGGCAGGACCTGGTCAGAAGTCATAACCTTTTAGAAAAATGATGCCATAACCTTTTTGGGGAAATGGCATTCATGCAAAGGCAGTTAGGTTTCTCAGCTGTTAGACTGATGTACCTGTTAGGGACAAAGATATGCCAAGGCACAAAGCACACACGCACACATGTAGCAGAGTTTCAGAAGTGTTTTCAGGTGCCCAAAAACACCTACTCTCCTTCAAAACATCTCGGTTTAAATCATATTCTCAAGAGACCAAAAAATAAAGGAGTCTTTGTTAAAATAGCATTGTTGGTTTACTCACAACCTTCATGTATTCAGCATACAGGTACTTTGCATATTGATCCCGTTACAGATATGTGCAGGTAACACAAGACTGACAGTGTAGATCTCAGCACAGCAAGGCAAAGAAACACATCTTTTTAGTCTAAAAACACAATATTAACAATAAACAACAACATATTAACATTAAACACAATATTAATATTAAAAACACAATGTTAAACACAATGTTTACACTAGAAGCCAAGCAGAACAAGAAGCAAGCTTCCATCTCCAGCGGCGGCTACATTGTTCCGCTCAACACCTTGCCATCTGCAATTAGTCCACACCTCCTTACATTCCACAGTGACGGGATGACGTACGCCTGCGCTCTAAGATTTATGACTCTCTAGGAATGCCGATCTCTCCATGATCCAGTTAACTCTTTCCACACAGGAATTTCACTCTCGGCACATTGCATTACATTTTTAGCACACAAACACTAACTTTGAAAACTATAATACACTATTTAAAGACATCATTCCCGTCATCAACAGCCCAAAGTCTGAAGCATCTCTCTGGCCGGAGAGTCTAATGGCGTCTCTGGAGTCTGTGCTGTTTCTACGGAAGAGTGCAGCATTCTGTTCCTACTGTCTTCCCAAAGCACACCCCTGTTTCTGCTGAATTCTCTAAGCATATTGTTTCTAAAATGGAGTCTGAGTCCTGAACAAGCCCAGACCTGATCACATCATCCACAACATAGAGCTAAGGAAAACTGCATCCCAAGACACACATGTACAAGGCAGTAAGCAATCTGGATTATATGTAAACAAAGATCTAGTACAAGAGGCTTGAAGAACAAGTACATGCCTCCCTCCATGTTGACAGGAGGAGGGCACGGTGGGGGTCTCGGTGGCTGAGCCCCTTGTTTCTTCCTTCCCTCTCCGCAGGGCAGCGTGCGTGCCTGGGTCGGCGCCTGGCCTCGACCACCCTCTTTGTGTCGCTGGCCACGCTCCTGCAGCGCTTCCGCCTGCACCCCGCCCTGCCTCCCGAGGAGCTGGACCTCTCGCCCGCCACGGGCTTCCTGACGGTGGCCCCCAAACCCTTCCAGGTCTGCCTCCTCCCCCGCTGAGCCGCAGGAAGGACACCAAGGAAGAGGAAGCGTCGCGAAGGCTGGCGGACTTTTCTCCCACGGCTTGCCCAAGGCTTTCTCTCACGGCCTGAATCACTGGGGCGTTGGGTGGTTTTCCAGGCTGCCTGCAGCATTTTCTCCTGACAATTCGCCTGCATCTGTGGCTACTGGCACCTTCAGGGGATCTGGTGGTGGTAAAGCAAGCCGAGTATGTAATATCCCTTGTCTGTTGCAATGAGCAAGCTTGGAAGCTGCAAGTCACTCAGGGAGGGTCTCTGCATGGAGGGAGCCTAACCTCCGTTGCCTGGAGGCACCCCCTGTTTGGGAGGTGTTCGCTGGTACTTGATTTGGTGCCTCCAGGCAACAACAGCCAGGCCACCTCTATGCTGGTTGGTTTTGCAGCTGCAAGGCTACTCAGCACTACTCAAGCATACTCATTGCAACATCCACACTGGATTCTTTGTCCCACCCTGGGCATCACTCCACAGAGGGTGCCTCCAGGCAACAACAGCCAGGCCACCTCTATGCTGAGACCCTCACTGATTGACTTTGCAGCTGCAAGGCTACTCAGTGCTACTCAAGCTTGCTCATTGCAACATCCACACTGGATTCTTTCTCCTGCCCTGGACATCATTCCACAGAGGGTGCCTCCAGGCAACAACAGCCAGGCCACCTCTATGCGGATACCCTCACTGATTGGCTTTGCAGCTATTATCAAGAAAGGAAGACAGGAATGGATCTCGCAAAGGGAATTTCTGAATGAAAAGTCATGGGTAGTCATGGGTTCATGGGAATGGCCGGCCTGTACGATGTGTATTGGATTGTCTCGACGTTTTACTTTTTTATATGCTGTATGCCACTTATACACCGAATAAAAACATTCAAAATTTGAAAAAATGGAAGGAAATGTGAGGTTTTGTGGCGGAGATGCCCTCAGGTCAAAGGAAGAGAGGTCCAGGTGTAACTGCAGTTCTCAAAGTAACTGCAAGTAACTACGTCACAAATGTAGACACATCCATATAAATACAAGTAACTACATCACAAATGTAAGCATTCAAAAGTAACTGTAAGTAACCACCACAAATATAAGCACACAAAAGTAACTACAACGCAAATGTAAACATACAAAAGTATAACTGCATCACAAATTGAAACATGCAAAAGTAACTATGCTTATCTACATCACAAATGTAAACATACAATAGTAACTACACCATAAATGTAAACACACAAAAGTAACTGGATTTTAATTTTTGCAGTTGTTTTAGCAGGATTGTATGTTTTTGTTTATGGCTTCCTTTTGGCCATTGAATGTTTTGCCTTGTGTTGGAAGCCGCCCTGACTGAGTCCTCTTGGGGAGATACGGCGGCAGATACAAAAATTATTATTATTATTATTATTATTATTATTATTGAAGTTTCAAAAGGAAATGTAGGGAACTACGTGGCACAACTAAATGCACAGAAATGGTAACAAGGGAAATTTAAGTAACTACATTGCAAAACTAAAGGTATAAAAGCAACGGCAACAGTAACGACAACAACAAGTAGCCGCATTGCAAAAGGAAACAGACAGAAGTATCTGGTCTGAATGGGATTGACATGAATGCTGATTAATATCAAACCCTTGACTTGAAGCCTTGCAAATGAATGAGTGACAGGGAGCCCTCCTCCTCCTCCCCCTCCCCCCCTCCCTGGGGGAGTCTCCCTTCCCGCCCTCTGATTGGCCGAGGGTCTTGTGGACCCATCAATGCGTTTCGATGCCCAGAAATGCGTGAACTGGAAACTGGCAAAGAGTAAAAATTAACCCGCGTTACGTTCCGTCTTCCTTCGCCCAAAGTCAAGGCGAGATTGAGAGAGAGAGAGAATGGCCTCCGTCCTCTCTGACCTGGTGAGTTATTGTTATCAATATGATCAATAAATTGTATATATTTAATAGTAATGATCTATAATTAAAAGCAAATAAGAATGAATTATTATTATCCAGACAAGTGTTCTCCGAGCTCAGTAGCTCCTCTTCTAGATCTTGCCTTCAAATCAAGGGATCCATGGATTCCATTCATGAATCTGAGGATCCAGTTGATCTAAAAGAACCAGTCTTTAGTTATTAAACAATCATCTTCATTGATACAGTTGCACCCTGTATTAATTTTTGGGCTCTACTTTGATCTGAGGAATAAACTTTGGTCTTGAGTCAGGGATCTGCTTGGATCCTGGAATCCGTTTTGATCCAAGATCCCACCAGAAACCCAGTGATCCCAAGATTAAAGGATATACCTTGAGTCAAGGATCACTTGGATTTATTCGATTTACCTTGAATTAGGGATCCACCTTCAATTAGCGATCCATTCCCATTCAAGGATCCACTCTGATTCGATTATTAACAATGACTCACAGATCTGATTTCAATCAAGGACTCCCAGAATCCTTAGTGGAGATTTCCACCTTGACTGAGCAGTCCACCTTGATTCAAGGAGATTGTTGAATTCATTTTGATTATGGGATCCACTCTAATCAATTGATCCACCCTGGTTTGAATGTCCCCATTTTGATCCTCATAGCCATCTTGATTATGGGGATCCACCTTGATTTGAGGATCTTCCCTGATTCATGGATTTACTCTGAAGATCTATCTCAGTTCATGAATTTGGAGGTCTATTAGATCCTGGACTGGCGGATCCTCAAAGAAAGACCCATAAAGGGACCAAGAGGAGGGGAGTGATCCTTCCTTCAGCTCTTTGGGACGGCCTCCTCTTCCTCTTCCTCCAGGTCCAGTACCGGGGCTTCTTCCAGATGATCCTGATCCTGGGGATCGGAGGCAGCTTCCCGTATGGATTCCACATCTCGGTGATCAACTACCCATCCATGGTATGGGAAGGAAGGAAGAGAACATGGCAGGGCCTCCTTCCATCTATGGAGGCTTCCAAGCAGGATGGATGGATGGATGGATGGATGGATGGATGGATGGAGGTCTGTCAAGGGGAGGGAGGGATTGGAGGGGGTCCGCCTGCTCCGTGGTGTTATGGGGGGGCTCCATCTTCCTCCTTCCTGCCTTGCCATAGCAACTCAATGCCCCTTCCATCCGTCCGTCCTTCCTTTCCATAGGCACTCAATGCCTTCTTCCTTCTCCTCCTTCCCTGCCATAGCCACGCAACGCCTTCTCCTCCTTGTCTACTCCTTCCTTCCTTCCTTCCTTCTCTTCTTCCTTTCTTCCTCCCTACCTCCCTTCCCATAGGCACTCAATGTCTCCTCCTCCTCATCTCCTTCCTTACTTCTCCTCCTCCTTCAGGATATCAAGAGGTTCATCAACGCCACCTGGTCCTCCTGCCACGGGTCCGTTCTGTCCCTGGACTCTTTCCTTCCCATCTCCTTTTCTCCTTCCTTCCTTCCTTCCTTCCTTCCTTCCTCCCTTCCTTCCTTCCTTCTATCCATCCATCCATCCACCATCCATACATCCCATCCTAATCCCTACACCACATTCACCATAGCCACTCAGCGCCCGATCTTTACCCGCCTCTGCTTCTCCGTCCTAATCCTTCATTCCTTACTTCCTATACTTCCTTCCTTCCTCGGTTCTGCCTTCTTCCTGCCGTCTTTCACCCTGGCCAATACATGCCTTCTCCTTCTACTCATCAGCAACATAAAGGTTCATGAATGCCACCTGGTCCTCCTGCCACGGGTCCGTTCTGTCCCTGGACTCTTTCCTCCTTCCTTCCTTCTATCTTCATCCATTCTCCTCCTTTCTCTCTTTTCTATTTCTATCTTGCCTTCTCCTTCCTTCCTTCCTTCCTTCCTTCCTTCCTTCCTTCCTTCCTTCCTTCCTTCCCTTCTTCCCCTGGCCACTCCATGCCTTCTCCTTCTCCTCCTTCAGCACATCAAGAGGTTCATGAATGCCACCTGGTCCTCCCGCCACGGCTCCGCTCTGTCCCCGGACTCGGTCCAGCTGCTCTGGTCCTGCATTGTCTCGGCCTACGGCCTGGGGGGCCTCCTGGGTGGGGGGGCCTGCGGCTTCCTGACCGCCCGCTTCCGCAAGTGAGTGAACGAGGAAGAAGCCTCCCTCCCTTCCTTCCTGCCTTCCTTCCACTTCCTCCCATGACACCCTCCTCCTTGTGGCCTCCTCCCAGGAAGAAGTGCCAGGCGGTGGCCAACGCGGTCATGGTGGCGGCCGCCCTGTGCGTCGGGCTGAGCGAGAGCGCCGCCTCCTTCGAGATGATCCTCCTCGGGCGCTTCCTTTACGGGGTCGGCATCGGTAATCATCATCATCACCATCCTCATCCTCAGGCCCACCTCCATCTCCCGCAAGGCATTGTGGGACATCCCTCATGCAAATGAGCCATGCATATTCATAGGGCTCGTACGCATCGTACTTCAACCCCTTATGAGACCCATCTCCGCCAATCTCCTGACTTGGACCATCATGGGGATATTATTATTCATGTTGACCTATGAATATGCAAATGACTCATGCATATTCATAGGATCGATATGAATCATACACATCTTCCCTCTTTCCTTCAGTCATTCTGGACCATCTCTGTCTCCAAACATGGGACTCTGCAATGGGAAGCCCCTCCCCCCATGCAAATGAGCCATGAATATGCAATTACCCTGCACCCCATACATACTTCCTTCCTTCCTTCCTTCTTTCCTCAGGCATTTCCTTCAGCATCCATCCACAGTATGTGGGCGAGATCTCCCCGAAGAAGCTCCGCGGCTTCGCCAACGCCACCGTCGCCGTCTTCCTGACCCTGGGAAAGGTCGCCGGGCAGGTCGCGGGCCTCAGGTCAGCAGGAAGAGGAAGTGGAAGGCTGCCCTCGCTTAAAGAAGGAAGGAAGGAAGGAGTGGAGGAGGGGGAGTTGTAGAGCTTCCTTCTTCAGGGGAAGGAAGAAGAACGCTTGGCCGGCCCACCACTCATTGTTTGTTTGTTTGCTTCCTATTTTTCTTCCCTTTCCTTCTTTTTTTCTTCCTGCCTATTCCTGCTCTTCTTCTTAATCTCTCTTCCCCTTCCATATCCCCTTCCTCCCTAATTTGCTCCTTCCTTCCTCCTCCTCCCACTTCCTCCTTCCTTCCTCCTCTCACTTCCATTTCCTCCCTCCACTTCCCCTCCTTCCCTATCTTCCTCCATCCACTTCCACTTCCTCCCTCCACTTCCCCTCCTTCCCTATCTTCCTCCGTCCACTTCCACTTCCTCCCTCCACTTCCCCTCCTTCCCTATCTTCCGCCATCTACTACCTCCTCTCACTTCCACTTCCTCCACTTCCCCTCCCTCCTTCCACTTCCTACTTCCTCTTCCACTTCCTCCTTCCAGGGAAGTGCTGGGCAGGGCCCCCTTCTGGCCCCTCCTCCTGGCCCTTACGGGCTTTTCTGCTTTGGCCCAATCGGCGGCCCTTCCTTGTTTCCCGGACTCCCCTTCCTACCTCCTCCTCCAGAAAGGAAATGAGGAGGCCTTCCTCAAAGGTAACACCCTCCCCCCCCCCCCCACTTCCCTTCCCTGAACTCCAGCTTCCTCCTTCTTCATTTGGTTAACTGAGTCCTCCATTGCTCTTCCTGCTTCCTCCCCTCACCTCCCATCTCTTCCACCTTCCTTCCTCCCTCCCTCCTGTTTTTCCTCCTTCCTCCATTCCTTCCTTCTCTTCTTCCTTCCCCTTCTCTTTTCCACTGATGTCTTTCCTTCCTCTTTTGTTTACTTTCTGCCCTTCTCTCTTCCATTTCCTCTCTCTGCTCCTTTCCCTTCTGTCTTTCCTTTTCTTCTAAATTTTATTTCCTTGTTCACATCCCTTTCGCCTTTTCCACCCTCCCTTCCTCCTTTCATCTCTTCCTTCATTTCCTTTCCCCTTAATTTCTTTCTTTCTTTCTCTCCCTTCTTGTCCCTCTTCCTCCTCCTTTTTCTCTATTTTCCTTTTCCTCTCTAACTCTTAATCCTCTTCCCTCCTTCCTTCTTCTCTTCCTTCCTTCCTTCCTCCCAGCCATCCGGCGTCTCTGGGGCCCCGGGGACCATGGGGCCGAGATCGAGGACCTCCGCAGAGAGCAAAGCCAGCGGTGCCCTTCCTCTTCCCCTCCTCCTCCCTCTTCTCCCCTTCCTCTTCCCCTTCCTCTTCCTCCTCCGAAGGGGCTCCGGGTTCGAGAGCTGCTGGCTTCCCGGTCCTTCCGGTGGCAGCTCTACATCACATTCGCCATCATGACCACCCTCCAGCTCTGCGGCATCAACGCAGTTGAGTCTATGCCGACATACGTATTCTATAGGGACAATATACATTAATATGTGTCCTATTAATGTGCAGTGATTCCCTTCGCTCTTGTGTAATATTCATGGGTAATCATTTCCTTATTTCTGTATTATTAATGGATTATCATTCCTATATTATATCTCAAGGTCATCTAGTCTGACCCCCTTCCATCCATCCACCCTCCCTTCCTTGCTTCCTTCAAGATCTACTTTCCGGCCTTTCAAAGTTTTGCAATAGGTCTAATTTATATAATAACAATAATAATAATAATAATAATAATAATAATAATAATAATTCATTTAGGGTTCTTAAAAGGTCATCTAGTCTGACCCCACTTCCTTCCTTCCTTCCTTCCAAATCTACTTTCTATCCTTTCAAAGTTTTGTAATAATAATATAGTAATAATAATAATAATAATTTAACTATCAAAGTTTTGCAACAGGCCTAGTGTGTATAATAATAATAATAATAATAATAATTTATGGTCATCTAGTCTGACCCCACTTCCTTCCTTCCTTCCTTATCTGCTTTCTATCTTTTCAAAGTTTTCTAATAATAATAGTAATAATAACAACAAAAATAATTTAATTATCAAAGTTTTGCAATAGGCCTAGTGTGAATAATAATAATAATTATTATTATTCTTATTCTTATTATTTAGGGTCACCTAGTCTGACCCCACTTCCTTCCTTGCTTCCAGATCTACTTTCTATCCTTTCAAAGTTTTGTAATAGGTCTGATGTGTCATCCTCGTTTAGGGTCCTTGGAAGGCCATCTAGCCTGACCTCCCCTCTTTCTTTCTTTCCTTCCTTTCCTTAGATCTATTTCTATTCCTTCGAAGTCTTCCACACAGCTCAGTTCGAAGAAGAGACGATCCCTTACGTGGCCCTGGGGGTCGGGGTCTGCGAGTGCCTCTCCTCCGTCCTGTGTGTAAGTCGAGCCCCTCAAACAACAACAACAACATTTATTTATTTAAGGAGCCGTGGTGGCGCAATGGGTTAAACTGTTGAACTGTTGAGTTTGTTGGCTGAAAAGTTGGCAGTTCAAAGCCATGGATTGGGGTGAGCTCCTGTTGTTAGTCCCAGCTCCTGCCAACCTTGAAAATGTGCAAATGTGAGTCAATCAATAGGTACTGCTTTGGTAGGAAGGCAATAAAGGTGCCCATGCAGCCATGACGGCAACGCGACCAGGAGGACTCTAGGAGACAACAGGATCCCCAGCTTGGAAAGGGAGAAAGAGCGCCTCTCCGTGGACAGAGTTGAAGCCGGAGATGAAAGGGGAAGCCTTTGCCTCTCTTCTGCGTTTGCTATTATTACCCTGTTGCTTCCACTGTATTAAAGGCATTGAATGTTTTCCTATCTGTGTATGTTGTAATCTGTTTTGGGTGATAGAGCGGAATATAATCAAAGTGTTGTTGTTGTTGTTATTATGTATTCCTTCCTCTTCCTTTGCAGAGTTCCCTCATTGAGCGCTTTGGAAGGAAGCGGCTGCTTTGGGGCGGATATGTGGCCATGGTCGTGGTCCTGGTCCTGCTCACCGTCACCCTCACCCTCCAGGTCGTTAGTTAATTCATTACGCTGCCAATTAACGCCCCAATCAGCCCTCCTTCCTTTGCAACTAAATGCGTCTTTCTCTCTGTTTGCAGCACCGCTTCCCATGGATGCATTACGTCAGCGTCGCCCTCATCTTCCTCTTTGTCGTCTTCTATGGCATCGGGCCCTGTCAGTAGATCCTTAGTATTGTTGTTGTTACCATTATTATGGCTTAATCAGGTTGCTTTCGTTAGTATGTATCTAATATTATGTCTGAATGGAGTTGGTCTGGATGACCTTTGGGAGTCCCTTTCAAATCTATGCTTCCTTCCTTCTTTCATTGTGTCTTCCTTGATGGAAGAACGAGGGTGGTCTAGGTGGCCTTTGGGTTCCCTTTCACATTCCTTCCTTTACTGGTAAGCTGTTAGGAATTGTGGGAATTGCAGTCCACACGTGGTCTAGATGACCTTTGGGGGTTCCTTTCACCTCCCTCCCTTCCTCCATTGCGTCTTCCTTGATGTCAGAATGGGGTCAGTCTGCATGACATCAGGAGGTCCCTTGTACCTTCCTCCCTTGTGCCTTCCTTGAGGCCGGAATGGGGTCAGTCTAGATGGCCTTTGGGGCCCCCTCTGCATATTAAGATATTTACAAGCTGGAATGTGTCCAGAGGAGGGTGACTAAAATGATCAAGGGTCTGGAGAACAAGTCCTATGAGGAGTGGCTTAAGGAGCTGGGCATGTTTAGCCTGAAGAAGGGAAGGCTGAGAGGAGACATGATGAGAGCCATGTATCAATATGTGGGAGGAAGCCACAGGGAGGAGGAGGGAGCAAGCTGGTTTTCTGCTTCCCTGGAGACTAGGACGCAAGGGAACAATGGCTACAAACTAGGAGATTCCACCTGAACACGAGGAAGAACTTCCTGACTGTGAGAGCCGTTCAGCAGTGGAACTCTCTGCCCCGGAGGGCGTGTGGTGGAGGCTCCTTCTTTGGAGGCTTTTAAACAGGGGCTGGATGGCCATCTGTCAGGGGTGATTTGAATGCAACATTCCTGCTTCTTGGCAGAATGGGGTTGGACTGGAGGATGGCCCAGGAGGTCTCTTCCCACTCTTTGATTCTAGGCTTCTAGGATTAGTCACTCCCTCTCCCTTGCAGCCGGGGCCACGATCGCGGTGATGGTGGAGATGTTCACGCAGGCCTTCCGCCCCTCGGCCTTCGTCCTGGTCGGGATCCTCAACTGGGCCGGGCTCTTCCTCCTCGGGATGGGATTCCCTTTCGTTGTGGTGAGACTCTGCACAGTATATCTTATATTTCTTTATTTTCTATTTTATTTCATATTATATATATATATATATATATAGTGTATTTTTAAATTGTACATTAAGTGTTTTATATTTTTATTTTACATTTTGTCATGCTAAATATATTGTACGACATGCTAGAGGACCTGACCTTGCGTGTTCCGTGATTCCTCGCAGGCGTGGCTGGGCCCGTTCTGCTTCCTGCTCTTCGTGGCCGTCCTTTCCGCTTCGGCCGTCTTCGTCTATCTCTTCCTCCCGGAAACCAAAGGCAAATCCATCGTGGAAATCACCGCCGAGTTCAATAAACTAAATTACGGGCGGAAGGGAGACCTCTTCAAAGCAGAACCCAACAGCCATTTCCCAAAGGAAGACCTCTTCTGCACAAGGCTCTGAGAACAGCAGCAACCACAATTAGTGTCATTATTCCTGTAACAGGGACATTCTCCAAGTTTACACGATCTCTGGATTGTTTTCAGCAGGGGAAAAAAAACAAAAGAAATGCCTTCTTGTTTACATTCATTCAATGAAACCAATAAAATGGTGCGTCTTCTGTCCTCCATCTCTCTACAAAGGTAAAGGTTTCCCCTTGACGTTAAGCCTAGCCGAGTCTGACTCTGGTGCTCATCTCCATGTCTAAGCCAAAGAGCCGGCGTTGTCCATAGACACCTCCACGGTCATGTGGCCACTGGCAGGACTGCATGGGGTGCTCTTACCTTCTCGCAGAAGCAGTACCTATTGATCTACTCACATTTGCATGTTTTCAAACAGCTAGGTTGGTGGGAACTGGGGCTAACAGCGGGAGCTCACCCCGCTCCCTGGATTCGAGCCGCCAGCCTTTCAGTCAGCAAGTTCAGTGACTCAGCGGTTTAACCCACTGCACCATCTCTATATGTGTATCTATTTATTATAAATTATTTAATAAATCAATATTTATTAATATAAATAATAAATACTAATACTAATAATATTATTATTAATGATATTATATATTAATATTATTAAAATTAATAATAATATTAATATTTAATATTGTTTATTTAATATTAAAATTAATTAATTAATATAAAATTATAACCGCTTTGAGTCCTCCCAGGGGTGAGAAAGGCGGTATATAAATACTGTAAGTAAGTAAGTCAGTAAGTAAATAATGTACCAAAACATATTATATAATACAAATTACAATATAAATATAAATAAAATTTAAATATATATAATATAATGAAACAAATCTATATTTATATTATTCTATATCTTTTTCTATCTCTATTAACTATTTTTCAACCTATAGTCTATTATATATATATTTGTATCTTTCTCTCTCTATGTATAATGCCATAACTCTCTCCCTCCATCCTGACTTAGTTCGGAAAGCAGCAGCCACTCCTTTTCCCGCCTGTTCTCTCAGCCTGCCTTTCCTAGTCTAAATTTGCATAGCCACGCCTCCTCCTCTCACCCGCGATCCTGATTGGCCTGTTTCCTCCTCGCTGCCTTTCGCTCTCTGCGGGTGTGTGCGCATGCGCCTGTGCTTTGCGTAGTGGCGTCATCGGGGAGCGCCGCACGGCTGAAAGGACCCCAAGGGAAGAAGAGGAGGGCTGCCCTTCGCGCTGCCTGATTCCCTTTCCGGCATGGCTCTCTTCCTGGTCCCGAGGTGAGCCGCGCTCTCTTCTTTCTCTTCACAAAAAGGAAACCGTCGCCACCGGAAAACATAGTGCCTAGGTCCAGGGAAGAAGTCCTGCTCCCCATGCTCTATTCCGCCTTGGTTAGACCACTTAACCTGGAATATTGTGTCCAATTCTGGGCCCCACAATTCAAGAGAGATATTGACAAGCTGGAATACTGTGTCCAGAGGAGGGCGACTCAAAGGCTCAAGGGTCTGGAGAACAAGCCCTATGAGGAGCGGCTTAAGGAGCTGCTGGGCATGTTTAGCCTGAAGAAGAGAAGGCTGAGAGGAGACATGATAGCCATGGATAAATATGTGAGAGGAAGCCACAGGGAGGAGGAGGGAGCAAGCTTCCTTTCTGCTTCCCTGGAGAGAGACTAGGACGCAATGGAACAATGGCTTCAAACTACAAGAAAGGAGATTCCATCTGAACATGAGGAAGAACTTCCTGACTGTGAGAGCCGTTCAGCAGTGGAACTCTCTGCCCCGGAGGGAGTGTGGTGGAGGCTCCTTCTTTGGAGGCTTTTAAACAGAGGCTGGGTGGCCATCTGTCAGGGGTGATTTGAATGCAATATTCCTGCTTCTTGGCAGAATGGGGTTGGACTGGAAGATGGCCCAGGAGGTCTCTTCCCACTCTTTGATTCTAGGATTCTATTTTATGATTTTCTTTGAAAAGCTTTGCGGAAATAGTTCTAACCAGCTGTTAGGAGTGATGGGAGTTGACGTCCAAAACACCCAGGGGGAGGGCTGAGGTTGGCCCAGGCCGGAGAGAGAGAGGCATTCTATTTCTAATAGTTGTAATTACAGAGCAGATACTTTCAAGTTCTAATATTTCATATTATTATATCTATATATAAAAATGCTCTGTGCATAATGAGTTTCTTAAAAACAAAGAACAAATGAACGAAATCACACCAAAATTGGCATCAAAACGTCTCACAACACAAGGAGTGACCATCACTCAAAACATTATGATTTTGTCATTTTGGAGTTGTAGTTGCTGGGATTTATAGTTCACCTACAATCAAAGAGCATTCTGAACCCCACCAACAATGGAATTGAACCAAACTTGGAACACAGAACTCCCATGACCAACAGAACTCACTAGAAAGGTTTGGTGGGCATTGACCTTGAGTTTGGGAGTTGTAGTTCACCTCCATCCAGAGAACACTGGATTCAAACAAGGATGGATCTGGACCAAACTTGACAGGAGTACTCAATATGCCCAAATGTGAACACAGATGGAGTTTGGGGGAAATAGACCTTGACATTTGGGAGTTGTAGTTACTGGGATTTATAGTTCACAGAATTGGGGCAAACTTCCCACGCAGAACCCCCATGACCAACAGAAAATACTGAAGGCCATCCAGTCCAACTCCCTTCACCTGGGCAAGAAAACGTAAGCAAAGCCGTCCTGATAAAGAGCCATCCAGCCAGAGATATAGATACATATTATTCACACAGACACACAGATATAGTGTCAAAGATTTGAAAGGGACCCCTAAAGAAGGACAATGGTATGTTCCATGTTCTAGAGCAGGCAAACCAGGCAATCTCTACATCAACACTGACAAAGAAACAACAAGAAGTATCCAGAAGCAGAAAGACATAGATTAGAAACCCACACTTTCTCATTATTTTCGAGATCACCAGACTGGGCCACAGCAACGCCTGGCCGGGGATGGCTAGTCTATATAAATAAAACTGTAGTGTTCGTTTGTGGGCTTAGCATAACTCAAAAACCACTGGATGAATTGACACCAAATTTGGTCACAAGACACCTATCAGGCCAACGAGTGACCATCACTCATTAAAACATTGAGAAACACAGCAGAAGAGACTTAAAAAGCAAAAAATATATACATTAAAACACATTCGCAAAACCACATATATATACGCAAACACACATATACACAAATATATACACACACATATACAGACACAAAACATATATACACAGACTGGGCCACAGCAACGCGTGGCAGGAGACAGCTAGTATGTCTGTGTGTGTATATACATATATCGAATTATTCATATTTTATATGCTTGATTTGTCAAATAATTCTAATCTTACTATATATATTTACCTTGTTTATATTCCGCCTGTCTCTACCCCAAAGGGGACTCAGGGCGGCTTCCCAGTGACACTAACATAGTGCCTTAGAACATCCAATATTGACTTAAAATAAATTAGATTAAAATCAATACAAATTAAACATAATAAAATGCACACACACACATAGTTCCAATCACATTTAAGTTTAAAATGTTTCTTATCATATATGTGTGTGTGTGTGTGGTTTATATTTTAAATAGTTCTAATTATATATGTATTTTATTTAAATAATGTAATAGTTCATATATATAATCATATATATATGTGTGTGTGTGTGTGGTTTATATTTTAAAATAGTTCTAATCATATTTATATATATATTCTGATAAGGAATAGAACCTTTTGTTGTTGTTTATTCGTTCAGTCGTTTCTGACTCTTTGTGACCCCATGGACCAGCCCACGCCAGAGCTCCCTATCGGCTGTGGCCACCCCCAGGGTCTCCTTCAAGGTCAAGCCAGTCTCTTCAAGAATGCCACCCATCCATCTTGCCCTTGGTCGGCCCCTCTTCCTTTTTCCTTCCATCTTCCCCAGCATCATTCCATTCCTTCCCCAGCAGCTTTCCTTTCTTCTCATGATGTGAACAAAATACTTCCTCTTGGCCTCTCATCTCCTTCCCTCCAATGAGCAGCCGGGCTTTATTTCCCGGAGGATGGACTGGTGGGATCTTTGGCCGGTCCAAGGCACTCTCAGAACTTTCCTCCAACAATAGAACCTTAGAATTGGATCAATAGGTAGATCCTACAGTTATATGACATATTTAGAGAAGTTGGAATAAATGAACAAATGTAGAATAAATGAATAAATAAATGGCCATCTGTCAGGGGTGCTTTGAATGCAATTTTCCTGCTTCTTGGCAGCATTCTTGGGTTGGGCTGGATGGTGGCCCATGAGGTCTCTTCCAACTCAAGGATTCATAGATTGTGAGCAGCTTTTGAAAGGAAAGCTGGAGATAAATGATAAATATAATAATAATAATAAAAACAACATAACCAAGTCTTGTTTATCTGAGGCATATACAGAAATAAAATGACATTATTAATAATATTATGCTTCTTCAGGTATGAAGGCGATGGGAAGAAAGAGGAGGGAAACAGCCCACAAAAAGCGTCTCAGTTGTTGCTGCGACGTTTGCAGGAAAAGGCCCTCCTTCGAGAGAAGCAGAAAACACAGCCAAACCTCACAATTTCTGGCCCCAAAATCCATGAAGAAAATGAAGTTTTGGGGTCAAAGGATGAAAATGAAGTGATTCCGGTGCAAATAAAGGGAAAGAAGCGGAAACGGGACAAATCTTTGAAGAAAGTCGGCAAAAAAAATCAGAACAAGAAACACGAGGAGGAAGATTTTGGGGAAACAGATCCAGGTGAATAAGACATGCAAAGCCCCAAATGGTTTGTGTCCTGCCCATCTTCATAACCACATATTCTCCTATGAACCTTAAGATCTTCCGTAGAAGCCCTTCTCTTGCTCCCGCCACCGTCACAAGCGCGATTGGTGGGGACGAGAGAAAGAGGGAGGGCCTTCCTTCTTGGTGGTGGCCCCCCGGCTCTGGAACTCTCCCCAGGGAGACCCACCCTGTCTGCCTTCCGTAGGGAGCTTTATTTATTTATATGTCATATCAGGAGTTAACCAATGTATTTGAGAGAACATAAAGTTTTAAAGCTTAGCATTCTATTAAATGTCCTTTGAGGAATAACTGAATGGGAAAAGCGATTAAATGTAAATATTTTATTTTGGGATTATTAATGAAGGGTGGCGTGGGCTGGTCCGTGAAGTCACAAATAGTTGGAAGCGACTGAACAAATAAACAATAAAATAAAATGTAATATATTATAATTACATAATTATAATATGATATATGATATATTAAATATTAATTATAATATAATGTATTATGTATTACATAATAATATATAATATGTTACTAAATTAAAGGGGTGAAAACAGCTGATCTAGAAGAAGGCAAAGAAGGAGGAGGAGAAGAAGAAGAAGAGAAAGATAGGAGCCCATCCGCTCCGGAGTGCAGTCCAGACCCAGCTCCTCTGAGTGCGATTGTCCTGGGCCATCGCAGCCACAGAACGGTGCAGAAGGTGACTTCCAATTGAGCCGTTCATTAGTTCAGCCGGGCCTGGAGACCTTCCTTTCCTTTCCCCCTATAACTTCTCTGCCGTCACTTCCGCAGGTGAGGCCACACTTACCGCCATGGCTGTCGGCACCGCAGCGGATCAAGAAGCGCATCAAGGCCAACCTGCTCCCTCTCGCCGACCTCCCTCACCTTCACCCGACGCTGATGAAGAAGCTGAAAGCCAACGGGATCAAAGCTTTCTTTCCAGGTATTGTCATAATAATAATAATAATAATAATAATAATAATAATAATGGAAGGTCGAAGTCAGTCCAATTGGAATCATGGAGGGGAAGCGTCCAAAATGGCCGCCGTCCCATTCTCTCCTTGCTTCTGAGGCCTATCCCTATCCCTATCCCTAGGTGGGAGATATTCGCATGGAATGTGTTGATTGATTTTGCCCCTTCTTCTCCTCCTCCTCCTCCTCCTTCTTCTTCTTCTTCTTCTTGGGCCTCCAGTCCAGGCGGAGGTGATTCCGGCCATTTTGTCTGGCTGTTCCGGGGGCTTCCTGGCCGGGCGGGGGGGCTTCCGGCCAAGCGACCTCTGCGTCTCGGCCCCCACCGGCAGCGGGAAGACCCTGGCCTTCGTGGTGCCCATCGTCCAGGTCAGAAGCAGAGCCACAACGGAGGGAGCGATAAGAGAATTGGTGAAGGGATGGGTGGATGAGTGGGCGGAGGGATGGCTGAACAGAGGGATTGATACCTGGAAGGATGGATGGGTAGGTAGAGAAATAGAAAGCTGGATAAATGGATAGATAGATGGATAGATAGATAGATAGATAGATAGATGATAAAGGGATGGAGGGATGGATAAATGGATGGATAGATAGGTAGTAGATAGATGGATGGATAAATGAATGGATGAACAGAAGGATGGAAGGAAGGAAGGAAGGAAGGAAGGAAGGAAGGAAGGAAGGAAGACTAGATAAGAGGGATTTATACCTGGAAAGATGGCTGGATGAATAAATAGATAGATAGATAGATAGATAGTTAGAGGGATAGATGAATGAATAGATCAGGCCTGGGCAAACTTTGGCCCTCCCTCCAGGTGTTTTGGACTTCAACTCCCACAATTCCTAGCAGCTGGTAGGGCCGAACTTTGCCCATGGCTGGGATAGATACATGGATGGATTGGTAGAGAGATAGGTAAAAATGAATGGATGAACAGAAGGATGGATAGAGAGATGATTTGATACATGGATAGATGGAGGGATGGATGGATAAGTAAAGCAATCTATAGCTGAATGGATGTATAGATGGATGAATGAATAGATGAATAGAAGAATGGATGAATAGATAGATAGAGGAGTTGATATATGGATACATGGAGGGATAGGTAGAGCTATAGCTAGCTAGCTAGCTGGATGGCTGGATAGATAGATAGATGGGTGGATGGATGGATGGATGGATGGATGGATAAATTAATGGATGAATAGAAGGATGGAGAAACAGAGGAATAGATGAGAGGGGGGATGGATGGATGGATAGAGGGAAGGATTGCTATATTGATAGATGGATAATTGAATTGATGGCTGGGGGATAGAGGAATAGATGGATGGATACATGGATGAAGAGGTAGAGAGAGAGGGATATATACGTATATGTAGAAAGAGAGCGAGATAGAAAGATGGATTGATAGGTGGAAAGAGAAAGAGACTTAGGTAGAGGAATAGATAGAGAGAGAGAGTCTGTGTGCGTGTATGTATATATATATTCCTTTTCCTCCCTGCCTCCTTTTCCTAGGCACTTTTGGGCCGCGTTGTCTGCCGGGTCCGAGCGCTGGTCGTCCTTCCCACGAAAGAGCTGGCCCAGCAGGTAGGGAGGAAGGCAGGGGGGGGGGGGGGGCACACTCTCTCGGCCTCAAGACGGAAGGAAGCAATAACAACAATAATAAGAAAACGAACCAGTCATATTTTTATTTGGTTTCCTAGGTGAGCAAAGTATTCAATCTGTACACCGACGGAACAGGGCTGAAAGTGGTCCAGATCACCGGCCAGAAATCCTTCGCTAAAGAACAAGAGTCGCTTGTGGAGAAAACGTGGGTCCTCAAAGGTTATATTATAGATAGATATATGTCAGGCCTGGGCAAACTTCGGCCCTCCCTCCAGGGTTTTGGACTCCAACGCCCAGCATTCCTCACAGCCTCAGGCCCCTTCCTTTCCCCCCTCAGCCGCTTAAGTGTTATATCTATCTGTCTGTCTGTATTGGGACCTGAAGGTAGGCCTCTCTTGGGTCTATCGCTCTCTCAGCTTAACTATCGGGACCTGAAGGTAGGCCTCTCTTAGATCTATTATTCTCCCGTCTTCTTTATCGGGACCTGAAGGTAGGCCTCTCTCAGGTCTATCCCTCTATCATCTAGCTTATGCGGCTGAGGGGGAAAAGGAAAGGGCCTGAGGCTGTTAGGAGTGCTGGGAGTTGGAGTCCAAAACACCTGGAGGGAAGTCCAAAGATTGCCCATGGCTATTATCTATAGATAATCTATTTCCTTTCTCGTCCCATTTCAAACAGGCTGAGTGGTTTCCGTAGCCTGGCGGACATCGTGGTGGCCACTCCGGGCCGCTTGGTGGACCACCTGCAGGAGACCCCTCACTTCGGCCTCTCACAGCTCCGCTTCCTGGTGCGGCCGCTGCCCTCTCCGTTTCCCTGGGGTTGATTCATTCCTCCGTCCTCCCCTCCCTCCCTCCCTCCCTCCCTCCCTCCCTCCCTCTTAAGCCATTCATTCATTCATTCATTCCTTCCTGCCTTCCCAGGTGATTGACGAAGCAGATCGCATGGTGGACGGGATGCACCAGGATTGGCTGAGGCAGGTGATGCAGGCCGTCTTCCGGGAGCGAGAGGCCGGTGCCGGGACCTTTGAGCGGAAGGAGGAGGCGCACCTCACGGCGGCCGGGTGAGTGCGTGGAGTGGGAGGGAGAAAGGTTAGGGGACAGCCCCACTGCCCCTCCACGCTAGGCCCCTCCCCCTCAGCCCACTCTCATTTGCATAGAGACAAGCCCCTCCCCTCCAAGGAGACATTGTGGTAGATTTAAGGCAAAGTATTGCTGAGGTAAATGCTGATTTGGAAGGAAACCGCAACTTGTGGCTCTTTCCAATTCCTTGTCACTGCTTCCTTCCTTCCTTCCTTCCTTCCTTCCTTCTGCAGGGCCTCCGTGCCTCGGCTCCCCTTCCAGAAGCTTCTCTTCTCGGCCACTTTGACACGCGACGCAGAGAAGCTGCAGACCCTGGGCCTCTTCCGCCCGAGGCTCTTCATGCCGGAAGAAGAACGGAAGGAGGAAGGAGAGGAGGAGGAGGAGGACGAAGAAGAAGGCGGAGAGGAGAAGAAATACTCGCTCCCCGAGGGCCTCTCGGTACGGCCCAGCCTGCTTTAGGGGCTGGTCGCCATCAAAATGCCCCCCTCAAAGGAGGCTCGAAGTGCGCAGGCAGCCATTTTGGATGCCTCCCCTCAATAACAACAACAATAGTGATACCCAGCTTTCCTTTCTCAAAGGAGGCTTAAAGCAGCCATTTTGGATTCCTCCCCTCAGTAATAATAATAATAACAATAATAATAATAATAATAATAATAATAATAATAATATAAATAAATCTCAAAGGCAGCTCAGAGTGTGGGGACGGCCATCTTGGGCGTGTCCCATCAGTTGGCCAATTTTCCTTCTTTACATTCTTTTTTCTTCCTCCGCCAGCAATACTTCGTGCCTTGCAGCCTGCGCTGGAAGCCGCTCTTCCTGCTGCACTTCCTCCTCCGCCTGAAGTTCTCCCGCGTCCTCTGCTTCGTCAACAGCAAGGAGACCTCCCACCGGTGAGGGAGGGATGGAGGGAGGGAGGGAGGCAGCTGCCCTCTTGGAAGGAAGCGGCCATTTTGGTCTGCCTTCGCACTCAGGACCGACTCTGGCTCCCTTTTCCCAGGTTGTTCCTGCTGGTCAAGGCCTTTGGAGGGGTCAGCGTGGCTGAGTTTTCCTCAAGGTTGACCCCGAACCAAAGGAAAGCAACGCTGAAGGAGTTTGAAAGAGGGAAGATCCAGCTGTGAGTCCAAAATGGCGGGAGGGAGAAATAGTTGAGGCTCCTCCCCTTCAGACAAGCCCCGCCCCTCCACAGGAGGCTCCTCCCTCTCAGTGTCCTGTCATTTGCATGAGAGAAGCCCCTCCCCTCCAAGTAATTAAATTCCATCTTAATCAGACTAATCAGCACGGACGCCACGGCAAGAGGCATCGACGTGGACGGGGTGAAGTGCGTCATCAGCTACGAAGCGCCACAGTTCATCCGGACTTACATCCACCGGTAATTAATGATAATTAATGATAATAATGTTGGAGGAAGCAGCCTTCTCAAGCCTCCTCCGTATGATGTTTGCCTGTTGTATAATGTGTCGTTTTATAAACTGAAGTAGATATTTCATTTGATTTGCAGTTTCCTTATCTCTATATACTTAAAGCAGTGGGAGGGGCTGCAGGTCACGTGACCGACTCAGTGACAGTTTACAATGTTCATTTTTAAACAGTTAATTTGTTCTATTCCAGGGTGGGCCGCACAGCGAGGGCTGGGAGAGCTGGCTTGGCCTTCACGCTCCTCTTAAAGCAGCAGGTTAGAAACACACAGATTTGAACCCAGAACCCATTCTGTTTCCTGCGTATTTGACTGACACCCTTCCCGTCCAATCAGGAGTCCCGCTTCCTGCGGATGCTGTCCCAAGCCGGCCTCCCCGCCGTCGATCAGCAGGTGGTCAGAGTGGACGAGATCCGGCCGCTGGTCCCTCGCTACCAAGAGGCCCTGCAGCAGCTCCAGGAGGTGGTCAAGGTAAACAAGGGGTTGCCAGTTGGACTAGGTGGCCTTTGGGGTCCCTTCAAGGGAAGCTTTAGAGGCCTGTTTCTCTGCCGTCTTTACGGCTATCGCGACGAACCTCGGGGTGCTTGCCGGCCACGTTTCATGACATTAGGGTGGGAGGAAGAAGCCATGTCTTTTTGAAGGAAGTGTGGATGTTGGAATGAGCAAGCTTGAAGAGCATTGGGTAGCCATGAAATTTGCAAAGTTAGTCAGTGAGGGTGTCTGCATAGAGGTCACCTGGCCCCTCTTGCCTGGAGGCATCCTTTGTTTGGGAGGTGTTAACTGGCCCTTGATCGCTTGTTGTCTGGAGTTCTCCTGTTTCCGAGAGGTGTTCTTTATTTACGGTCTTGATCCCGGGGTTTTTGACTACGGATTTTGCTGAACGACGCATTTGTTGAATGTTCTTGCTGGGCCTGTAGATCGCTGGCAGGCTGTCGTCTCTGCGGTTGGAAGGTAGGAGTCAATTCTCATCTGTTTCTCTGTTTTGGATGATTTGTGCGTCCCTGGTTCATTGGTGGGGCTGCTTAGTCGCAGATTTATAGTCTGTGTTTTTGTTTAGTTATAATATAATCATAATATACTATGAAGGAGCTGTCTTCATAGACCTGTCAGCGGCTTATGAGACTGTGAACCACCACTGCCTCCTCCTGAGAAAAATGTATAATATCACAAAGGACGACCACCTCACCCGCCTCATAGGAAACCTGCTACAAAACAGGAGCTTTTTTGTTGAGTTCCAGGCCAGAGAAGCAGATGGCGGAAACAGAAGAACGGCCTGCCTCAGGGGAGCGTGCTTGCTCCATCCATGTTCAACATCTACACAAATGACCAGCCACTGCCAAAAGGGACAGAGAGCTTCATCTATGCTGATGATCGTGCCATCACCGCTCAAGCAGGGAGCTTTGAGATGGTTGAACAGAAGCTCTCCGAAGCTCTAGGTGCTCTACTGCCTATTACAGGGAAAACCAGCTGATCCCTAATCCATCTAAAACACAGACATGTGCCTTTCACCTTCAGAACAGACAAGCATCCCGAGCTCTGAGGATTATTACCTGGGAAGGAAGGAATCCCACTGGAGCATTGCAGCACACCCAAATACCTGGGAGGAGTCACTCTGGACCGTGCTCTGACCTACAAGAAGCACTGCCTGAACATCAAGCAAAAAGTGGGTGCTAGAAATAATATCATACGAAAGCTGACTGGCACAACCTGGGGATCACAACCAGACACAGTGAAGACATCTGCCCTTGCGCTATGCTACTCTGCTGCTGAGTATGCATGCCCAGTGTGGAACACATCTCACCACGCTAAAACAGTGGATGTGGCTCTTAATGAGACATGCCGCATTATCACGGGGTGTCTGCGCCCTACACCACTGGAGAAATTACACTGCTTAGCCGGTATTGCACCACCTGACATCCGCCGGGAAGTAGCAGCCAATAGTGAAAGGACCAAGGCACTACATCTCCAGCTCATCCCCTGTTTGGGTATCAGCCAGCACGTCAACGACTTAAATCAAGAAATAGTTTTCTAAGATCTACAGAGACACTCGCTGGAACACCTCAGCAAGCGAGAGTCCAAAAGTGGCAGGCTCAAACCCAGAACCTCAATCAATGGCTGATACCAAATGAGAGACTCCCCCGGGCACAGAAGACTGGGCGACTTGGAAGGTGCTGAACAGACTGCGCTCTGGCACCACGAGATGCAGAGCCAACCTTAAGAAATGGGGCTACAAAGTGGAATCCACGACATGCGAGTGCGGAGAAGAGCAAACCACTGACCACCTGCTGCAATGCAACCTGAGCCCTGCCACATGCACACATGGAGGACCTCCTTGTGGCAACACCAGAGGCACTCCAAGGGGCCAGATATTGGTCAACAGGCTTGCAAACTCTGTTTTATCTGTTTGTTAAATATTTGTTAAAAATGTAATACAATTGTCTGGCTACTCCTGATGCGATAAATAAATTATAATATAATAATAATAATGTATAAATAATAATAACGTATAATCGTAGTTATTATATTATTATAACTATATAGTAATATAATAATATCAATAATGATTAAATAATAATAATAATATGCTATCCGATTTGTCATCAATCCACTCCTTCACGCGAAGCTACCATTTACCAAAATATGCGATCCTGTGCTTTTCTCTTCCATTTCTGGCCAAATTGCTTATTAAGAGTAATATAGTTTATATATATATATGTGTGTGTGTGTGTGTGTGTGTGCGCGCTTTTCAATTTTTAAATGTAACTTTGCTTTTATTATAATATAATATAAATAATAATGTTTATAATAAGAAAATAATTCTTATTTTTATGTAACCTTGCTTTTCCTCTTGCTCAAGATCCTATTATTATTATCATTGCTCTTACTTTGTTATATAATAATAATAATAATGTTTATTCACTGCTTTTCAATTCTTATTTTTATGTTACCTTACTTATTTTCCGGGTTGAGACCCAAATGTTATTATTGTTTGTATTGTTACTCTTTCTTTTCTCCCTTGATCAAGACTCAGCTATTATATTAATGATGGATTATGATAATGGATTGATACCCTGCATTTCTCTCTTGATGAAGAGCAAAATATAGTAATAATAATAATAATTTTTTTTTCTTTCAACCTCAACAGGAGGAGAGAGCTGAGAAACTGTCTTGAAAGGAAGGCAAGAAATCAGAGGAGGAGCCCATTGTCTTCAAGGCCGGCGTTGACGTCTACCTAGTATAATTGAATCCTGGATGTATGGTTTAATCTGCCCCATAAAAATAATTAAATAAATACACATTTGCATATATTTATTTATGGAGTCCTCTGGTGTTTGAGTTATTTTACACAGAAAAAAAAACCTTCGTTACCAGCAAAGACTTTCATTTTTGGAACAGGTGAGAGTTTAATTTTAGTAATAATAATAATAATAATACAATAATAATAATAATAATAATAATAATAATAATAATAATAATAATAATAATATAAAAATGCTTTATTTTTGGAACAGGTAAGAGTTTAATTTTAGTAATAATACTTTAGTAATAATAATAATGTAATAATGATAATTCAGTAATGATGATGATGATTTAATAATAGTATTTTTTAAAAGAAAAGTTAAGAAAATCAGTTTTGGGCCTGTGTAGTCTTATGAAAGTTATATTATCTTGAATCGTCGTATATGTAATCAGTAGTTTGCTAATGAATAACTAAGTGAAAGGCCTTTTGGAAAGGGACATTTCGACATTTCTGTGGGTTAATTATTTCTCTTGATTAGGAAAAATCAAGCCGCCGGACCAGAGTTGTGGGTAAGAATCCTTTGCTAGAGTCCGGAGTTCACCCCTTTTCAGGCCCCAAAAGGAAATCCCAAGATTTTTCCTTCATTTTTCCTCCTCATATTCCCAGATTTGTTCTTGTTTTTCTCCTCTTTTAATTTAGTGAGGAAGCCAAGATGGTTCTGGAGCTGTACCTGGACCTGGTCTCCCAACCTTGTCGCGCCATCTACATCTTCGCCAAAAAGAACAAGATCCCCTTCGAATTCAAACTCGTCGAACTAATTAAAGGTTTCTGATTATTATTATTCATATAATCCTTCAAAATTTGTACTAAATATATATATTTATATTTATTCTGTTTTATTTTCTGTGGCTTCTTTTTCCCTTTTCCCTGTGACTTTAATGAACAAGGTTAATGTCTTTAATATTAATATGAGATTAATTATGTCTTTTTAATCCCATAAATATCTTGTTTAATATTTATAATAATATCATTTCAATAATTAATTATGTACTTGTCAGGGCAACAGAGAGGGGAGGATTTCTTGAAAGTGAATCCGGACGGGAAAGTGCCGGCCATGAGAGACGGGGACTTTGCCTTAGCCGAGAGGTGAGGAAGGGGGCCGAGCCTACATCCACCCCGCTTTCCCGAATGCAGAAAAGGGGGCCTAACCCTAACCCCCCCCCCCCTCTTCCAACAGGCTTTTGGGAGTTGTAGTCCTGTAATATATACGTATTTATTTATTTATTTATTTATTTATTTGGTAGTTTTGTATACCGGTCTTCTCACCTCCGTTCGCGGGACTTGGCCCAGTTTCCAACATCAATATTACAGACAGTCATTCAAACATCATATTCTAAATCACACTAAAACATTAAAATAGCAAAATACAATCATATAATTACAGTGGTCAGTCGTCATCAAAAATCATTATTCGTCAAAGTAATCCATTCATATCACAGGATCATGGCTCATTCGTCGAATGCCGATCCCCAAAGCCAGGTTTTCACCTGTTTCCTGAAGGTTAAGATCGAAGGGGCAGTTCTGATCTCCAGTGGAAGGGAGTTCCAGAGTCGAGGGGCCACCACCGAGAAGGCCCTGTCTCTCGTCCCCACCAGCCGCGCCTGAGAGGGATCGAGAGCAGGGCCCCCCCAGACGATCTTAGCCATCTTGATGGCTCAGAGGGGAGGATACAATCGGACACACACACACACTAATTCCCTGTGCCTTCCTCTTCCCGCCAGCATTGCCATCCTGCTCTACCTGGTGCGGAAACACCGGGCGCCCGACCACTGGTACCCCTCCGACCTGCAGAAGAGGGCCCGCGTGGACGAGTACCTCTCCTGGCAGCACACGGGCGCCCGCCAGGCCGGCTCCAAGGTCTTCCTCATCAAGGTGCACCACGCCCGCCCCGACCCCCCAAATGGCTGCCCCCGGTTGGGATCCACGGAGCCCGCTAGGCCTCCATTGAGGCAGCCAGGCCGTGGTTAATGCCACTAGGCCTCCGCTGAGGGAGACCGGCCTCCACTGAAGCTGACAGGCCTCCATTGAGGGAGATAGGACTCTGTTGATGCAGCTAGGACTCCATTGAGGGAGGTAGCTCTCGGTTAAGGCAACAAGGCCTCATCTAATCCAGCTAGGCCTCCATTAACCCAGTTAGGCCTCCACTGAGGCAGCTAGGCTTCCATTGACTTTCCTCTGTAAAGAATGTTATTAGGCCTCCGTTGAGGCTGATAGACCTCTGTTGAAGGAGATAGGCCTCACTTAAGGCAACTAGGCCTCATTTAATCCAGCTAGGCCTCCTTTGAGCACGCTAGGGCTCCATTGAAGGAGATAGCTCTCAGTGAATAAGGCAAGAAGGCCTCATGTAATCTGTCTAGGCCTCTGTTGGTGCAGCTAGGCCTCCATTGAGGCAGCTCGGAGTCCGTTAAGAGAGACAGAGGGAGATAGTCCTCTGGTAAGACTGTTATTAGGCCTCCATTGAGGCTGATAGACCTCTGTTGAAGGAGATAGGCCTCCATTGAGGCAGCTGGCCTCCGTTGAGGGAGCGAGGCCTCAGTGAAGGCAACAGGGCCTCATTTAATCCAGCTAGGCCTCTGTTGATGCGGCTAGGCCTCCTTTGTGGGAGCTAGGCCTCAGTTAAGGCAGCTAGGACTCATTTAATCCCGCTAGGCCTCCCTTGAGGCAGATAGGCCTCAATAGATGCAGCTAGGCCTCCCTTGAGGCAGGTAGGCCTCAATAGATGCAGCTAGGCCTCCCTTGAGGCAGGTAGGCCACTCAGTTGATGCAGCTCGGCCTCAGCGGAGGAGTGGGCAAGGCCTCACTGACTCCCCCCGGGCCACCACCGTGGAGTGCAGCTGGGCCTCACGAGGGCCATTCTCTCTCCCCGCTCCCTCCCTCCCTCCCTCCCTCAGGCGCTGGTGCCGCTCTTCCTGGGCCGCCCTCTTCCCGAGGAGAAGCTGGCGGCGGCCATAAAAGAGTTGGACGAGGTGCTGGCGTTCTTTGAGGAGAAGTTCCTGGGAGAGGGGCGGCCCTTCATCGCCGGCAGCCAGCCCTCCCTGGCGGACCTGGTGGCCCTGGTCGAACTCATGCAGGTGTGTCTGTGTGTGTGCGGGGGGGGGGGGGGGAAGTGGGCACCAGTGGGGATTGTGCCATATATACATGTGTGTGTTTCCCCCCCTCAGCCCGTTGCCGCCGGCCACGACGTCTTTGCCTCCCGCCCCAAGATGGCTGCCTGGCGCTCCCGCGTGGAGGAGGCTGTGGGGAGGGAGCTCTTCCAGGAGGCCCACAAGCCCCTCTTCGACAGCAAGGACGCCAACCTGGATCACCTCCCTCCGGCCCTCAGGGAGCAGCTCACGGGCATTCTCCTCAAGTACATTGGCTGAGGCCTAGTTGGCTCAACTGAGGCCCATTTGCGTCAACTGAGGCCTAGTTGGCTCAACTGAGGATTTTTTTGCGTCAACTGAGGCCTAGTTGGCTCAACTGAGGCCTAATTGACTAAAGTGAGCCCGATTTGTGTCAACTGAGGCCTAGTTGACTTAACTGAGGCTTTTTTTTTGCGTCAAATGAGGCCTAGTTGACTCAAATGAGGCCTAATTGACTAAATTGAGGCCGACTTGTGTCAACTGAGGCCTAGTTAACCATCATTGAGGCCTAGTTAAGTCAGCTAGTTAACTAGTTGAGGCCAAGTTACCTTAACTGAAACCTAGTTGAGTCAGTTGAGGCCTACTTGACCACCATTGAGACATAGCTGACATTAGTGAGGCCACCAACTTTGTGGCAGATTGAATTCAGATTCAATTATTTTGAATTCAGATTAAAACCAGGCTTTGGATCAATAATAATGATAATAAAATATTTTTAAGCCTCAAATTAAATGTCTGATGATTTTGTTTTTGGCCACCACTGGGCAAAGGCCGTTGCCATTGACAACCAGAGGTTGGAAACCGCCATTCAGAATGCTGCAATGAAGATATTGCAAAGTATTTTAAAAGTCAAATTTAAACTATCAAGAATAATTTTCTCTAAAAGTTGTATAATATTTTAAACTTTATGAGGATTTTTCAACCAATTTATTTATATATGTAACTATGGAACTCCCTGCCTCAAGAAAAGACGGAGAATATTGTTGAAAAATGAGAAATTGTAATAAAAACGGAATTAAACATGGGTGTTCTGGCTTGGAGATCTTGTTTATTGGGCGTCGAAAAAAATAAAAAATACATTTAAATAATAGTATTAAAATATTAATATTATTAAAATAATATTAAATATTGGAAACAATGTTAAAATAATATTAAAGTATTGGAAATAATCTTATTAAAATAATAAATATTAATATATTTGAAAAAATATTTAAAAATATTCAAATAATATTAAATATTTTTGGACATACTTTTAAAATATTAAAATAATAAAATAGAAAAAGTAAATAATAGTATTAGAAATAATATTAAAATATTTTAATAATATTAAATAATATTAAAGTATTGGAAATAATATTAAAAATATCAAATAGTATTGGAATTTTTTTTACAGAAATAACAAATAATAGTAAAGTATTGGAAAAATATTGTAAAATATTATTAAAATAATATTAAAATTCTAAAATATTATTAAATCATATTGGATTAATATATTTTTACTTAAATAATATTAAAGTATTAGAAATAATATTAAAATATTATTAAATAAAGTATTATTTAAAATGATATTATTAAAATATTACTGAAATGTTGATAACGCTGGCTTTCCTCCGTGGGACCGAAGCACCTTCCTTGGGTTAAATAACACACAGAGCAAACAAGAGTCCTTTTGGGCGGCTGCCCAGATATCCGCTCTTTCCCGGAAGGCCTTATGTACTCATTAAACAACAGGGGTTGTGCCTCTACTTGCTTTGCGAAATTAAATATTAATGATTGAGATCCAAAGTCCCACTCCTCCCCTCCGGGCCCCGTCTTTCTCTCGCGTTCCCCCTTTCCCCTCCTCTCTCTCTCTCCTCCTCCTTCGTTCCCTCTTTCCAAAATGGTGCTGGAGCTCTACCTGGACCTCCTCTCCCAGCCCTGCAGGGCCGTCTACCTGTTTGCCAAAAAGAACGACATCCCTTTCGAATTCAAAGATGTGGCGCTCTTCAAAGGTAAACTTCCTTGATGATATCTCAAGTAAAACCCCCAAATTACATGGATTAAATGCCTATTTCTCTCCCGTTAGATTCCATATTAGGGAGCAGAGTCCCGAGTTCAAGTGGCGCTGAAGGCGGATCAGGTAGGAAAAGAAAACTACTATAGCCTGATATTATATTAATATAATGTTTATATCAATATGATATAAATATAATCTGGATAAATATGTAATGATATGACTAGATAAATATATTATAAAAATATAATCTGGATTGATATATAATATATAATATATTACTACATATAAATTTAATAGAGTAATAATTTTGGTTGATATATGTTAATATACTAATATATATAATTTTATATTAATATAATCTGGATTGATGCATAATTTTATAATAATACATATTTATATACCAATAATATTATTTATTTATTTACTAGCCGTCCCCCGCCAGCGTTGCTGTGGCCCACATGGGGGTTCTGTGTGGGAGGTTTGGCCCAATTCTATCATTGGTGGGTTCAGAATGCTCTGTGATTGTAGGTGAACTATAAATCCCAGCAACCACAACTCCCAAATGACAAAATCAATTTTTTTGAGTGAAGGACATACATTGGGTAGTTAGGTGTCTTGTGTCCAAATTTGGTGTCAATTCGTCCAGTAGTTTTTGAGTTCTGTTAATCCCACAAGCGAACATGACATTTTTATTTATATAGATTTACGACATTTATATGCCACCCTTCTCACCCGGAAGGGGATTGTACTCTTTATTTTCATTTTTTTTAAGGGTCGACAGACAAGATCACTTTGTCGAAGAAGGTTCCTTTCCTGAAAGACGGGGACTTCGTTTTGACCGAAGGGTAAGACCGTGTCGCCTCGATTTCTCAATGCAATTAAAATACATAGATCTAAATATGTGTTCAAACAATAATCATATAAAATAAGTAACATTAAATATTTGCAATATAATAATATAAAATAGATAATATAGGAATGTTAAATAAATAATATAAAATATGTAATGTGATAATATTATAAGATAAATAATATAAAATGTGTAATAGTATAGAATTAACAATATAATAATATAAAAGGAATAACATAAAATATGTATAATATAAAATGTAATATAATAATAGTATAAAATAAACAATACAAAATACATGTAATATAAAATAAATAGGTTCTTGTGGGTTTTTTCGGGCTATAGGGCCATGTTCTAGAGGCATTTCTTCTGACGTTTCGCCTGCATCTATGGCAGGCGAAAGGATGCTTGCCATAGATGCAGGCGAAACGTCAGAAGAAATGCCTCTAGAACATGGCCCTATAGCCCGAAAAAACCCACAAGAACCTAGTGATTCCAGCCATGAAAGCCTTCGACAATATAAAATAAATATCTGCAAAATAAAATAAATAACATAGAATACATGTGTAATATAATAATAATATAAAATGTGTGTAATAATAATAATAATTAATAATGTAAAATAGGTGTTACTCTTCCTAGATGTAGGTTCCTTTCATTTCCTGTTGTCTCAGCCCCGTTCTTAACTAGGAAGTTGTGTAACTTGATGCCTGTAACTTGAGAACAGTCTGTAATTGTATATTGTCTGTCATGGTATTTTGTCTGTACTCATTTTGAAACCACTTTGGATTAATTAGAAGATGATTCATGGTCTTCTTTTTCTTTCTTTGGTTGAGGCCGGCCATCCTTCTCTACCTGGCTCGCAAATACCACACGCCGGACCACTGGTATCCCGCAGATGCTGAGAAGCGGGCCAGAGTGGACGAATACCTCTTCTGGCACCAGAGCAACATGCGGGCACATGCCCCCAAGACCCTCTGGATCCAGGTGCGTACGTGCGAGCGAAGGGGCCAAAGACGGCCGCCGGGTTGGCAGCCATTGAGGCCTCGTTGACTCAGTTGAGGCCTAGTTGTGTCAGTTGAGGTCTAGTTGACCATCATTCAGGCCTAGTTGACTGAATTGAGGCCTCGTTGACCACCCCTGAGGCCTCGCTGACTCCGTCTCCACTGCAGGTCCTGCTGCCTCTGTTAATGGGCCAAACTCTTCCAGAAGGGAAAACCAAGGAAGTCATGGAGGGCCTGGCCTCGTCCCTGAAGCAATTAGAGGAGCTATTTCTGACGAACAAACCCTTCTTGGCTGGTGACGAGGTCTCTCTGGCCGATCTGGTGGCCATTGTGGAGCTGATGCAGGTAAGGATAAGCTATTCAGATCCAATTGCAAAGAAATCCAAGCGAACCAACCGCCATGCACGCTTGCTCTTCCAACCCTGCAGCCCTCGGGCGCCGGCTGCGACGTCTTCCAGAACCACCCGCGGCTCCTGGCCTGGCGCGAACGTGTGGAGGCGGCCGTCGGGCGAGGACTCTTCTCCGAAGCGCACAAGACGATTGCCCAAATCCGGGGCCTGACCAGCGCCCAGATCGACCCCCGGCTGAAGGCCCAGCTGGCGCCCCTCCTGGGGCAGATCCTGAAATAAAAGAGATACCAGAACAACAACCGCTCTTCTCTTTTCTTTTTGGGCCAGCTTGGGCCCTCCCTCCCTCCCTCCCTCCCTCCCTCCCTCCAAGTGTTTTGGATTCCAGCCGGCTGTCAGGAATGGTGGGAGTTGGAGTCCATAATAATAATAATATAATAATAACACATTTTATTTGAATGACTAGCTGTCCCCTGCCAGGCGTTGCTGTGGCCCATTCTGTTGATCTGGAAAATAAAGTCATGAGAAAGTGTTGGTTTCTAATCTATGTCATGTCTTTCTGCTTGTGGGTAAACAGTATTTCTTGCTGTTTCTTTGTCAGTGTTGATGTGGAGAGTGTCTGGTTTGCCTACTCTGGAACATGCAACATATAATTGCCCTTCTTTAGGGGTCCCTTTCAAATCTATCATACTATATCTGTGTGTGTGTGTGATTCATACATATCTATCTATATCTATTATTTATTTATTTATTTACTTTGCTTATATACCGCTGTATCTCAAGCCCGAAGGCGACTCACAGCGGTTCACAAACAGTAAACAGTAGAAACAGCAGTGGTTCCATATAACATATAACAATTGACTTAACACATTATCCATAAATTACCAATAAGCAATTACAATGCACAATTATTACAAAAAACAACCGTACCCATCTATGGCTGGATGGCTCTTTGTCAGGAGGGCTTTGATTATGTTTTTTTGCCCTGGTGAAGGGAGTTGGACTGGATGGCCTTAAGTATTTTCTGTTGCTCATGCATAGGGGTTCGGTGTGGGAAGTTCCCCCAATTCTGTTGTTGATGGGGTTCAGAATGCTCTTTGATTGTAGGTAACTACAACTCCCAATTTTCAAGGTCTATTCTCCCCAAACTCCTTCATGGAATATTCGTGCCAAGTTTGGTCCAGATCCATCCTTGTTTGAGTTCACAGCGCTCTCTGGATGCAAGTGAACTACAACTCCCAAACTCAAGGCCAATGCCCACCAAGCCCTTCCAGTGTTTTCTGTTGTTAGTCATGGGAGTCCTGTGTGCCACATTTGGCTCAATTCCATCATTGGTGGAGTTCAGAATGCTCTTTGATTGTAGGTTAACTATGAATCCCAGCAACTACAACTCCCAAATGACAAAATCAATTTTTTGAGTGATGGTCACTCCTTGGGTTAGTAGGTGTCTTGTGTCCAAATTTGGTGTCAATTGGCCCACTGGTTTCTGAGTTCTGTTCATCCCACAAACGAACATGACATTTTTATTTATCTCGACAATGGCTGAGACAGAAGCCTGGTTTTGCCTTCAGGAGTTGTGAGGCATTGTTGTGGGTGCCTGTGGGTGGTTTCCTCTTGTTTCTATCCCTGCCAATATAGGGAGGGATGGATGGATAGGATAGGATAGGATAGAGGAGAGAGGTAAAGGCACGCTTAGATCGGGAAGAGATAGATGAGATGAACAAATGGATTGGGAAGAGAGAGAGATGGATGGATGGGTGGATAAAAGAGAAAGGTCAATGTGTAGGTCGGTAGGTGGATAAATGGATCGATGGGCAGATAGGGAAGAGCGAGAGGAATGGGTAGATAGTGAAGATGGAGGGGAGAGAGATGGATGGATAGATGGATGGATGGAGAAGAGAGATAATCAATTGACAGATGAATACTATTGATGGATGGATAAGGAAGAGACCGATAGAGGAGCAGAGAGGTGGTCCATCTGTCCAGCCATCCTTCACCCGATTGGCCCTCCACTGTTCCGTCCATCCCTCCCTCCGGCCAATCAGAATCGGGAGAGGTTTCCGTTGCCGGGCGCCGGCCTGCGAGGGGAGGAGGAGTGTCGGCCATGGTGCTGGAGCTGTACCTGGACCTGCTCTCGCAGCCCTGCCGGGCCGTCTACCTCTTCGCCAAGAAGAACAACATCCCCTTCATGATGAAGAGCATCGAGATGCTGAAAGGTCAGAGCGCGTCGCAAAATGGCCGCCCAAGCCGGGCTGTCCCGTGACAATCTTTAGTTAGGTCAAGGTTTCCCCTTCACATTAACTTTGGGACTCTGGTGCTCATCTAAACCCAAGAGCCGGCGTTGTCCGTAGACGCCTCCAAGGTCATGTGGCCAGCATGACTGTATGGAGCGCTGCTACCTTCCCGCCAAAGCATGTTTACATGTTTTCAAAGTACTAGGTTGGCAGAAGCTGGGGCTACTAGCAGGAGCTCACCCTGCTCGCTGGATTCAAACCGCTGACCTTTTGGTCAGCCAGTTCAGCAGCTCAGCGGTTTAACCCTCAGGATCTCCGATGGATCCATAGTTGTATAGATTTATCCTGTTATGTTTTTATTGACTTAATAATGCCATATTAATAATAAAGGCTTATTATCTGGAAATGATTGATATTATTACTATTTGAGCAGGCCAAGTCTTCAGCGAGGAGTTCAACAAAGTCAACATCTTGAGGAAAGTCCCAGTTTTGAAAGATGGAGATTTCACCTTGGAAGAGAGGTACGACCCGGCTGCAACGAAAGGCCTGGATCAGGTCCTTTTAGGGTCATGGGAATAATAACCCTCCCCGCCCCCCCTTCCTTCCTTCCTCCCCAGCACCGCCATCTTGCTCTACCTGACCCGCAAGTACAACACTCCCAGCCACTGGTACCCGCCGGACATGAAGAAACGGGCCCGAGTGGACGAGTTCTTGGCCTGGCAGCATTCGAACCTCCGCCCGTGCGCCTCCAAGATCTTGTGGCTGAGGGTGAGGCTCTCTCTCGGGGGCCCAGTTCATTTGCATATAGGATAAATATCTCATCATCAATGGTGGGTCAAGGCCATTAAGCTTAATTGGTTGGTGCCTTTTGCTGGTAGAGAATCCCTTGGGTTTCCTCGGTGTTGAGAGGCCAAGCTTTTCATAGGATTCTGCAAAGACCAAAGTGTCCAAAGCGGCTTGTAGATCTTACTCAGAAAGGAGCAGTGACTACAGTATCATCAGCGTACCGGAGTTCTATCACAGACCTTGTTGTGGCCTTGCTCTTGGCTGTGGAGGTTAGAGAGCTTGCCATCTGTGTGCAGAATTCCTGCTATGAAGATGGAGAACAAGGTTGAGATCTGCTGTGATTTTCTCGGTCGCCCACACTTTTTCAATGAGCCTGTGGGGTTGCCATGTCTGCTCTGGTCCACCCTCTTTAAAGATTCCAGCAGGGATCCCATCAGGTCCGCTGGCTTTGTTATTTTGTAGTTGGCCGATGGCTTTGCCGGCTTCCTCCAAGATGATGGGAATGGTGTTTTCTTGAATTCTTTGGGGATCTTGAAGTCACACACGTCGATACCTAGATCTCATTGTGTTGCAGGTGGTGATTCCGCTCTTCCTGGGCCAGCAAGTCCCCTCCGAAAAAGTCCAGGACGCCTTGGAGGAGCTGAACATCGCCCTGCAGAAGCTGGAGGAGAAGTTCCTTCAGGACCGGCCCTTCATGATCGGGAACGAGCTCTCCCTGGCCGACCTGGTGGCCGTCGTGGAGCTCATGCAGGTCCTCTCCCATAGTCGGAAGAAGAATCGGCCCACATCTGCATTCCCCTCGGGCTTTCCTGTTATTTTCCGCCATTTTGTTATCCCCCCCAGGCTTCTGTTTTGGACTCCACCCTTTTCTTCTTCTGTCACTCAGGATTTCCTATTCCTACGTCCTTAGGGGGAGGGGCCTCTGGGAAGGAGGGGCGTGGCCTCCCTTAGGCTCCTCCCCAACTCTCTTCCCTTGCCTACAGCCCATGGGGCTCAGCAGGGTTGCGTTGGGGGGCCTCCATGCATGCGGTGGGGAGGAGGATTGGGGGAGGAGCCTGGCTTGGAGGGGGAGGGGCCTTGCTGACAGGGCATGGCCTCCCTAAGGCTCCTCCCCTTACTTACTGTGGGTGTGGGATGCGTGGAGGGCCTCCATACAAGGGATGGGAGGAAGGTTAACAGGCGGGGGCCTCTCAAAAGGGGAGGGGCCTCTCTAGGAGGGGAGGGGCCTCCCTCAGACCCCGCCCCTTGCTGCCTATCTCTTCTTCTACAGCCTGTGGGGGTGGGATGGGACGTGTTCGAGGGGGAGGCTGGGGGGGCCTTACTTGGAGGGGAGGGCGGGGCCTCATTCAGGCTCCTCCCCCTGGCACTCTCTCTAGGGTGCTTTTGAGGGGCTCAAGATGGGAGGAGGGTGAGCACCTGGGCTTGGCTTTGAGGGAGGGGCCTCTCCCTCCGGCCCCGCCCCTCACTTCCTGCCTCTCTCCTCCCTCTCCAGCCCGTGGGCGCGGGATGGGACGCCTTCGAGGGCCGCCCGCGGCTGCAGGAGTGGCGGAAGCGGGTGGAGCTGACCCTGGGGAAGGAGCTCTTCCTGGAGGCGCACGGGCGCATCCTCAACGCCCAGGAGCTGCGCAACATCGCCATCGACCCCCCGCTGAAAGCCCAGATGAAGCCCATGCTCCTCAAGATGCTCAAGTAGACAATAAACAACACACACCGGCACACGGCACCTCTCTCTCTCTCTCTCTGGTCGCCCTCCCTTTGAATCCAAATCAAGACATAATAATAATTATTATTATTTATAATAATGGCAGGTTAAGCCCTAATGGCAGAGATCAACGGCAAGACGACAACTCCCAGGATATTATTATTATGAATAGCCCTGGCTGAACGAGAGAGAGGTCACTCACCGATAGGGCAAATTGAGCCCTTAAGGCCATCCCTTTGCCGCCCTCTGGTGGACACGGGAATATTCCGATCTCTCACCCTTTGCTGCCCTCATGTGGCTGAGTCAGAGAGCGTGCCCTTGAGCCATTCTTATATTATTTCATCAACAGTAAAAGGAAGACAGGCATTACGATTAAATATTATATACATATATATACACACACATATATAATATTAATATTAAATATACACTATATTATATATATTCATATAATTATACTATATCTATCTATATATTACTAGCTTGGGAACCCGGTGCTGCCCGTGTTATTTGAGAAAGGCATTGTTTGTTTTGAGAAGTTTGGTAATATCGGTTTGGGAATGTGGCCTTTGGAAGTGAATGAAGGTACGGCAAGTCCCATTGTCCATGGCAAGTTTGGTCCAGATACATTGTTGGTTGTGTTCACAGAGCTCTTTGGATGTAGGTGAACTACAACTCCTATAAATCAAGGTCAATTCCCCAAAACCAGGTCATGGGGGTTTTACATGCCAAATATGGTCCAGGTGCATTATTGAAGTGTCTTGGACCTGGACCGCACCAAGTGCTGTGTCTTGATGTAGGGTGAACTACAAATTCCATCATGTTGAATCAGTCCCCCAAACCCCTCCAGTATGTTCAGTTGCTGATCAATTCCTCTGTGTTTGCTGTGTGCAGTAGGAAAGGGTAGGAAAAGGTTAAGGGAGAGGCAGTGGGTGGGGTCATGCAAATTCCACACAAGGAACCTTGGGATGCCTGCCTGTGGTGGAGGAAACATGTCAAATCTAGGATGAAATTCTTCTAAATGAAAGTATACCTTGGGTTGTAAGCCGTAGTGTTTGGAGAGGACATTGGCAGCATATGGACTACACGTTCATGGCGCTCGCTCTAGCCTGCAGTGTCAGTGAGAGAGTGCCTTTGGAGGGTTCTCATCACTTGGAACTATAGCCTGTTTGTGGAGGCCAGAGGCTGTCTTTGTAACTGGACACCTCTACCACATAGACACACACACATTTGTCAGTTTTATTATATGTATAGATTCTATTATTACTAAAGCTTAGTTAATATGCCCATCTCAACACATTCATGAATCGTCGTTATCATTGTTGTCTTCCATTCTGCTGTTAGGGAGGGATGCTCTGTGTCCTAATATTTGCAGAAATATTTACAAGGAATAATCACAAAAAATATTCACAGAAAATATACAGAAAAAAACTAAATTTATTCATAGAAATGTTCAGAAAAATATTTTTGGAAATAGTTATAAGGAAATAGTTATATTGAGATAAATAATCATTAAGCAGTCTCAGTTACTACAGGGGGTTCACACCAAGCAGGGATAAATATACACAAAGCAGAAGGGATGGCCTCGTGGTCCAAGGATCTTCTCTCAGTATCAAGGTTGAGGTTTATAAAGCAAAGACAAGGTATGCCAAAACCCTAGAAAGGGATGCTGTGATCACTAAAAGTCTGCATGGATTTTTCAAAAGCAAGCCATACCAGACTCTGGTCCAACCTCCTGCCAAGAAGCAGGGAAATCACATTCAAAGCACCCCCCACAGATGGCCGTCCAGCCTCTGCTTAAAAGCGTCCAAAGAAGGAGCCCCCATCACACTCTGGGCAGAGAGTTCCACTGTCCACTCTGACTGAAGGTCTTTCCACATTCCCTGCACTGGTGTGACTACTCCCCTGTGTGGGTCCTTTGGTGGGAATGCAGATCGCCACTCTGACTGAAGCTCTCTCCACACTCCATGCATTGATGGGGCTTCTCCCCTGTGTGGGTCCTTTGATGGCGGTCCAGACGTCCTTTCAGACTGAAACTCTTCCCACACTCCATGCATTGATAGGGCTTCTCCCCTGCGTGGGTCCATTCATGGGAATGCAGGTGTCCACTCTGACTGAAGCTCTTTCCACATTCCATGCACTGATGTGGCTTCTCCCCTGTGTGGGTCCTTTGATGGCGACGCAGACCTCCGCTCCGACAGAAGCTCTTTCCACATTCCGTGCATTGATAGGGCTTCTCCCCCGTGTGGGTCATTTGGTGAGAACGCAGTTCTCCGCTCTGACTGAAGCTCTTTCCACACTCCATGCATGCATATGGCTTCTCCCCAGTGTGGGTCCATTGATGGGAATGCAGCTGTCCAATCAGGCTGAAGATCTTTCCACACTCCATGCACTGATGTGGCTTCTCCCCTGTGTGGGTCCTTTGGTGGGAACGCAGATCTCCACTCCGACCAAAGCTCGCTCCACATTCCGTGCATGTATACGGTTTCTCCCCTGTGTGGGTCCTTTCATGGGAACGCAGTTCTCCACTCTGAGTGAAGCTCTTTCCACATTCCATGCACGTATATGGCTTCTCCCCTGTGTGGATCCTTTGATGGCGACGCAGCTGTCCACTGTGAATGAAGCTCTTTCCACACTCCATGCACTGATGTGGCTTCTCCCCTGTGTGGGTCCTTTGGTGGGAATGCAGATCTCCACTCTGGCTGAAGCTCTTGCCACACTCCATGCATTGATGTGGCTTCTCCCCTGTGTGGATCCTACGATGGCGATGGAGATCTCCACTCCGAGTGAAGCTCTTTCCACATTCCAGGCACATATATGGCTTCTCCCCTGTGTGGGTCCTTTGGTGGGAAAGGAGGTCTCTGCTCTGACCAAAGCCCTTTCCACATTCCATGCATGTGTAGGGCTTCTCTCCTGTGTGGGTTTGTTGATGTTTAGCCAGAGAACTTCTCCCCGTGAAACATTTCCCGCAGTCTGTACACTTATGGAGCTGCTCCCCTGTGTGTAATGTGGAACAGGGATTGAGATTTTCCATTCTTTTTATTTATGATTCAATATTATGCCAGAAGGTCACAGATATGAACACCTGAACAATACACAGGATTTCCTCTTCTCTGTCTGTGTATTGCCGTAGCCTTCTGGTCTCTTTCCCAAGCCCCTCTTTTAATGGCACAACCTTCCCTTTCCTCCAAGGATGTCGCTTGAAATACTTTTTTCTCCTACTTATTCCTTGTTCTTGCCAGTGCAGTCAGCCTTCATTTCAGTCCGAAGGCATCCCTAGAGCAAAGCTCTCACAGGTTTGTTCAGAGGTTACCTGCCAGATGAAGAAGAGGAAAACCAGACTTATTAATCTATCCCTCTATCAATATTCAAGATGGCCACCACCTACATATTGTCAGACTGTATATATTGTCAGACTGTATCTATATAGCAATATTAAATAACCACTCACAAGCTGCCTTGCTTTGAAATGGATATATTGCTTGAATCTCTGCAGCGAAGAAAGACACTACTGACTTTTCCCCACCACCACTTCCTTTTAGACACCTTTCCTGCCCATCTCCCCCTCTTCTCAGTTTCCTTATTAGAACTCGTTGCTTCACAAGTTCCAATACAAGGTTTCCAGCACCCTCTGCTACCTTCACAATGTCACAGAGAGAGAATTGATTCAGCCAGGATGGATCAGTCAGGATGTCACGAAGGGAATTTGTGATGTTGTCATGCCATCAGAAATTGACCCCTGACACATTTTTATCTCCCAATATCCAAGATGATTGCCTTTTCCTAATATCTAAGATAGCTGACTTATTAATGTATTGTTCTCCCAGTATCCAAGATGGCTCAATGGGTAAAGGAATCCGGCATAAACGCGCTCGCTCTCATCCAGAGGTTTCAGATAAACTTCCCACAGAAACCTCCAAACACAGATGGGGAGGACTAGTTTTTGGAGGGGGCGTGACACCATGATCTCTTACGCCATGCAACGATGAGCTCCCCGGTCCTGACATGGAGCACATGGTCAATGGCCGAAGGGGAGGACAGGATGCTGCAAGGACACGTGAACCAGCCATAAAAGTCCATTGACTACCCTGAGGTAGGAGAAGGCGGACTCTGGGGTGTGGGAAAGGGCTGGCCCCAGGGCTTTCGGGTGCTTGACTGACGACATTGTAGCGAAGGCTCTAGAGCAGTGGTTCTCAACCTTTCTAATGCAATGACCCCCAAATAAAGTTCCTCGTGTTGTGGCGACCCCCAACCATATTTTCGTTGCTACTGAATAAATAATTTTGCTACTCTTATGAATTCTAATGCAAATATCTAATATGCAAGATGTATTTTCATTGTTACAAATTGAACATAATTAAAGCATAGTGACTAATCACAAAAGCAATACGTTTGGGGGAGTATGGACAATGGATGATGGGATTTACAGTACCTTCAATCAATTCAGCTCTGACTTCCACAGACCACTGAAATCCCCCACGAATTACAGACCTGGACCAAACTTGGCACACAGAACTCCCATGACCAACAGAAAAACAAACTGGAGGAGTTTGGGAGGAATTGGCAGTAATTTATGGGAGATGTAGTTCACCTACATCCGGAAAGCACTGAGAACCCAAATGACTATGGATCTGGACCAAACTTGGCATGAATACTCAATATGCCCAAATTTGAACAATGGTGGAGTTTGGGGGAAATGGATCTTGATATTTGGGAGTTGCAGTTGCTGGGATTTATAATTCCTCTGCCATCAGAGAGCATTCTGAACTCCAACAAAAATGGAATTGAGGAAGACTGGCATACAGAACTCCCATAACCAACAGAAATTGCTGAATGTTTCACACCTAGCTCCAACAGACAAGAGTCCTTTGTCCCACCCTGGTCATTCCACAGATATATAAACCCTTTTTCCTGGTTCCAACAGACCTCACTACCTCTGAGGATGCTTGCCAGAGATGCAGGCAAAATGTCAGGAGAAAATGCCTCTAGACCATGGCCATATAACCTGAAAAAAAACCCCTACAACAACCCAGTGATTCCTGCCATGGAAGCCTTCGACAATACATTAAATCAAAAATATTTATGTATATAGTATTAAGAAATAATACTCTCTCTCTCTCTCTATATATATATATGTTTATGTTGGATAAGCAAGACTCTACTGTAGACAGAATATTATAATAATATATTGAGACCACTGGAAATATTATAATTAAATAAGAAATAATTATGTATATAGCATTAAGAAATAATACAACTTATATATATATATATGTGTGTGTGTGTGTATAATGTATTGAGACCATTGAAAAATATTATAATCAAATAATAGATATGTATGTATATAGTATTAAGAAATACAATTAAATATATATAATATAATATATTAATGTATTGAGACCATTGAAAAAATATTACGATTAAATAATATTTATGAATATAGCATTAAGAAATAATTATATATATATATATGTAATAAAAATAAAAAAAATCCAATCCAATCAAGTCACCTAAATAGAAAGATAAAATATATTAAAATAATATTAAATTACAGTATTAAATAATAAAACGGATAATTATACGAAAAAATAGATCAAAGGAAATAATGAAAAAGTGAAAAGAAATAAAATAATAAATCAATTAAAATGGAATGAAATAACGAAATAAATAAAAATGGGGCAAAATAATGAAAGGAAATGGAAATGAAACGAAGGCTCAGACTCACAGGCCCAGCTCCCTATCATCATTATCATTATTATTATTATTGTATTACTATTATTGTATGATCATGCCGCTTTACCTCCTCCTCCTCCTCTCGGCCGCCATCGAGGAACTCCCCTTCCGCCCGCTCTCGCTGCACTTCCGCCCGGCCCCAAGATGGCGCGCGAAGGCGGGAGGCGGGACTTCCGCCTTCCCTCCCTCCCGGGTGGGACTCCGCCCTCAAAGAATAGGCTCTATGACACTTTATCCTCGGGAGGTGCCGCTTCCCACAATGTCCACAGGATGGCAGCAGAGAGGCGCCTCCACGGCTCGGGCGTGCACTTCCCTCTCTGGCCACCGGAGGGCAGCAAAGGATCAGAGAGGAGAAGCTCAAGGCAAGTGCCAATATGCCCGTGTCCACAAGAGGGCGGCAAAGGGATTGATATCCCTAATAATAATAATAATAATAATAATAATAATAATAATAATAATAATAATAATAATAATAATAATAATAATAATAATAATAACAACAACAGGGATACTGCTACGAAGGCTCCCAAAGTGACCCATTTCAGGTGAAATCAGGTGTCAAACAGGGATTCTCCATCTTCATCGCTATGATACTTTCAGCAGACTGAAAGCCAAAACCAAGGTTACAACAACATCTGTTATAGAACTCCAGTATGCTGATGACAACATCATCTGTGTGCATTCAGAAGAAGACCTACAGGCCTAAACACCTTTGCAGAAGCATACGAGAAGTTCGGCCTGTCACTGAACATCGAGAAAACCAAAATCCTCTTCCAGCAGGACAACAGCCTGGGCATCGCACCCATTGATTCATTTGCCTGCTCATTGTTTCTGTTTTCATCCTGCCTCTCTCCTCCTGATTTGTCAAGGCGCTGAAGTAGGGAAAGCTCTCCCATTGGCTCCTGTGCAGCGGAGGAGCTCTGTGATTGGCCCTGACGCATGGATCCTCTTTGGTGGGGTCCTAGGGGTCTCTCTTACTGGGGAGACCCTCCTAAAGTCTAGCTTGACTTCAGATGGAAGAAGTCTACCATTAATTTACAACTTTGGGACTACAGGAAAACAGAATTTTCCTATTAAAATGCCTCTGCTTGAAGTCGAGCATGACCCCCCCCCCCCAACAAGGGATGGTGACTTATAGTTCTGCAAAGGACAAAGGTACCAGACTGCACAAAAGGGGTTAAGTCTTGGTCAATTTGTCAAGGCCTTAACAACAATGAGGACCCCATGAAACATTGGGAATGGCTAGACCTTGGGGTCTCTGCCTCTCTCTCTCTCGAGAGAGAGAGTTGTAGTTTTCCAAGGACCATGGGACTGGCTTCCATCCCAGCGCTGCAGGGCTTTGCGTCTTGACCCAGTGGAACTCCATAGACTCCATAGAGACTTCACTCTCTTCAAGGACTTGCTCTCTACCCATGAACTTTCTTCAAGACAACTTATGAATTCATGCTGTGTCCTGATGAGCCCGAGCGCAGCGGGGAGCCCCGCCTTCACATTGGTGTGAGCTGCAGCAGAGAGTTCCGCAGTTCCTGGACCAAGCTTTTGGGTCCAACAGATGAAATGCGCCCCAGCAGCTAGCTCAAAACCAGGAATGCTTGCAGTTTCACCTTGCTTTCCCCTTCCCTTTACTTTGTATCCTTTCCCTAATAAAAGTACTTGAAACTTGCAACTTTTTATCTTTCCGCATGCTACTTTTGTTCCTTTCTTGACTCAAACCAAATAACATTGCAATAGACCTTTTTTGGGCTCCGGAGAGCCGTGAGCCTGCGGGAGGCGCCTCCGGGCGCCCCCCGGACCCCAAATCTGCGTTCGCCTAGACCGCGGAT